GCAACTATGCAAGTTCATTCATAAATTTCGGTTATGAGTGCGTGTGTGAATCAAAACGGCGATCACATATCGGGCGTTATTTTTTTGTTATTTTTTATGAACCGTGCCGTGCCGAGAAACTGTTATGTTTTTGTTTTGCGGGAAAAACGATTAACAACATGAAAACATCATGTTGCCGTCGGTTTCGTTTGATATCGAACAGATTTTCACAGACAGAGCGTCGCCCATCATTTTCTTTCCGTAAGGATGTGCATTTGGTGACGCAAGAGATAGAAGAGCAACAAAAAAAAATGTCAGTAGTTTATGTGACCGTTTGCCGTGATTCTTACAGGAGGATGTTTTGATTGTAGCGGTTCCGATTGGTTTTTAGTCAATTTCATTTGCGGCAATTAGAGAAGAAAAACGACACTTCAAACAAGATGAAAAAAAAAAAAATAACGTACGTGAGCATGCGACTGGAATTGAGTAATTTTTTATCGTCCAATTTTTTTCCTCTCATTTGGAATCGATGGAAAATTCAAACAATATTAAATGAACACCATCTTGAGCTCTCTCATCAAAGAGCAACATTCCGTCGGTGGATTATCACAGATTAAATTGTTTCGGAAAGTTAAGCAGCGATGATCAATGATTTAGTGTCACTGGGTTCGGAGTAAAAAAAATTTAAGTATCGATATAATATTTAAATCACGCAAATATTTACACATATTCCTAGTCTTTCACAGACTTTGAATTGAAAATTCGTTGATCAGGTCAATTTTGAAAATATGTCATGTTTTATGCATTACAAACCGATTGTGATTTAATGTGGAATTTTCGATTGACGAAAAAAAAAAAATTCACAGAGAAAGAAATTTTATTTACAGAGAGAAAGTAGTATCCTTCATGCTGAATTTGATTTTCTTTACCATTCACCTGTCCATCAAATTACAAATCAACTCTACTCAAAATTGAAAAGATCAATCGATTATGTACGTGCTCAATTGTTTGCATCACTCCTTATTTTCAAATGGCCTGTGTAAATCTCTAATGAGGTGGGTATAATTATTTTCAAATTGTAAACACTGTCATATCAGTGACGAAGACATGTCAACATAAAAAAAATTACGTACGTGAATACAACAAGTGAAAATGATTTTACCCTTTTGGACAATTTTCGAAACTATTTTGAAGAAGAAAAAAATTGATGAATGAAAGAGATAATTTCAGGTAAACAACATTATTTCCCTTCATTTTCACAACGATACGCATTCTATTGATGTAAAACTTTGCGGTCACACATTTTTCTGACCAAGAGTGAGGTGAGAGGAAATAAAATAATTCCGGTATTTTCCAAATATCTTCAAAATTAAATTTTAATGATGATTGGGATTGAAATGTTTAGAAACATTCGGAACTGTCTTTTCCGAAACCATATGAAAAATTATTTGCATGAAAAGTTTCCCACTGCCATGTTTAAGTTGGGCGATTTGTAGAGATTAAGTGAGCTAAACACTGGATTACCGTTAAAATATAGATACTATGATCGGCATGGGAATTTTTCTTTTTTTTGAAACCTTTGTCTTTGATGTAACTTCGACTTTCGTTCTCTTTGTTTTCTTTTTTTTTGCACACCTTCTTTGGTCAAATCCTACTTTCGTTGTTTTTGAAATCGGACGCCGATTTTCTACAATCATATTTTAATAATCGCAGCCGATTTTAATGATCGTATAGAAAATTGGATCTTTATCATAACTCTTCCATATTGATTTTTAACATCGAAAATATGAATATTAAAGATAAAAAGAAATTTAAAAAACTCATTTCAATCGTATAAAAAGATATTTTCCATCATATCATCACTTATCTTTAGTCAAATCTCTCCTTTCTACAAATAAAACTGAAAAATAAGAAATTCCATCTATGTGAATGTCTATAAAGTAGTTTAAAAATGCATTTCGTCCAACCGTTTTTGAAAAAGAATAAATTTTATTTTGATTTCGAATGTATGCAATAAATCAATATGGTCACATCATTTTATTTGGAATCGAATATGTTGAAAAAAGACATTTTATTATCCAGTTTCAATTCCATTCCAAGTTAGTTTCAATTTTTCGAAATGGTTTAAAAATAACAAAAATCCGCTGTCATTCACAATTCGGTCACTCTTTTCAACTTAACATTTAATTCCCATGTGCACTGTGCACACACTTCAGTTTTAATTTGTGATCGTTATATTCCATTTTGTTTCACTTGGTTTATTTCCTCTTTTTAGTCTCATATTGATTCATTGGACAAAACTAAAAAAAAAACGTTTCAAAAATTTAAATGCACGTCATCACATTATAATGTCAACACCATGCACCGAATTGAATTTAATGGTTTTGAATAGTGATTATGATACCCTTATGAGCATTTTGGTTTGTAAGCACCTAAACCTAACGATAATATTTTATCAATTTTATTTTTTTTGGAACATCATTTCAAAGATTTCTCACAAAAACTTATTTAAACTTTTAATAAGGAAACACAAGGATAAATTCAGTGTAAGCACAAAAACAAAATTTATACATCAAACAACTTTTTCAAACCCATCTCAATCAGCTTGATGAATTTCAAAACGCAGTGAGTAATCATCATATTAATAATTCGCATATAGAAAAAATTGAATCCGTTCTATTTCCGTAGTGGATATTCGAATATCGAATGAGAATTAAGTGAAATAAAAAAAAAAATGAAATAGAAATTGAGAAAAAAACGGCAGACAAGTGTTGATTGCTTCGAGCTGTTATAATCAAAAACATCTAAATCACTCAACAATTAAGCGAAACAAAATGCATTGATTACTGCAGGAAGTGAAAGATTTTCGATTATGAACGTGCGTGCACTGAATCATGTGTACTGCATTATTCATATCAACAAATAAAATGGAATTTTCTTGCATAACATCAACTGACCAGCGTGAGTACCGTGAAAATATACTCTATTAAATTGTATTTAAAACAAAAATCGCCCCGCGGATCGATTCACATACGGTTGGGGTTTGTTTATCGCACATATCTTCGTGTTGCAGCATTTTTTTTAAAATGTTTCATGCTAGGCGTGAACGGCTAACAACAGGTGTGTCACTCTTTTATTCAGTGCGAAAATAAAAATTAGCGAATTTTAATGATTCATTCGACATATGCAATGGAATGTGTACAATCGACTTTGACCGAATTTCGGTCGGAAACAGTTTGGTGTGCACAAGTTTCAATCGGTTGTATACTATTCAGTTGTTTGCATTATCTGTGGTTTTTAATACATTTCAATTTCCATTGTTCTAAGTCAAGTCACACCATTCAGCCAGGTCATAAAGTCATAATGCTGATTGATTTTGTTAAACATATGCACTTTTGTCTCCATATGTCTCCTTCTCTTACTCTCTCTCTAAACACATATGGAAAATATTGACCATCATGGGAAAATATGCTCATTTCTCTGTTTCTATTCTTTCGCTTATTTTGCATCGTCTATGCAAACCTATGTTGAATGAAAAACGCTGAAAACTAAATCTACAACATATGTTTATACAAGTAAAATGATTCCAGAACGAAACAAAAGCCACAAGGAGAAAAAGAACAAGACAAAAAAATAAATGTGAATAAAATATGAATGAGTGAAGATGTGTAATATGCAAGCCATATGCGAAAATTACGCTTACGTTTGTTACACGAGTTGTAAAGATATGATGGTACACTTGGTATAGTCACAATGGAGTATTTTCTTCATACCATTCTTCTGATGTGAATGTTTGAAAATTCAGGATGATAGCTTTAAGAAGATCGTTCATATTTCCAGAAGTTACCGATAGCATGCGCAAACATCACTTCTTCAAGGACTTCAATGTTTCAAATAACCATCACTAGAGTGCGTTCATCGAAATAAACAACCTGAAACTTTCAAATATGTTTTCTTTTTTTTTTAATAGTTTTTAATTTACACGATTTCATAGTCAAATATAAATAGAAGTTTTGCAGTATAAAATCAAAGGATGTTATGAGGGAAAAAAATATTTGAATGAAATTCCGAATTTTGGTTGTTTTTTTTTGCTTTGAAACTGTTTATTGTTTTTTCGGCTTTTTGTATTACAAGATAAAAACGAAATGAATTTACAAATTAAACTGTTTTGATGTTTTAAATAACACATAATTTATAATTTAAAAAAAGGGGGAGTTAAAAAAATAATAACCAAACATAGAATGAATTTGTTTTTACGAATATTTTGTTTATGCGTGCGCATTCGTTACAATTTGTTGTTGTTATTGTGAGTGTTTTTTCTTCTCAATTAATATACCATCAACATCCAATTAAGGGACAGTCTGAATCTTTCCCACTCAAATGAGACATGTCTAGCAGCCACATTTGATAAATCCAACATTCGCGTTACCATTCCAATAATTTTGTTTTTTTTTTTTGTTTATGTTCGTTTCATCGTTTACATGCAATCGATTCGTAAATGCTTATATCTCTCATTCTTCATTCTATGTTATGGTAGTGGAACTTAAGTGATTGGTTTCTGATTTTTTTTTTGTTTCTTTCCAAATATTAGATCGTTTTCGCTATATATGTTATGAATATTTAATTTCTTTTTTTTTTTCCCATTCGATAAATTAGTTCCGTAAATGTTTTGTTATACTTTTGTTGCTTGATTTTTTTTCTCTCTCACTCACTTATGTTAAATAGTGATCAAATCCATGCATCCATTCATACATTATTTCTCGTTTAAAGCATATACACCATTTTAAATTAAATGTATGTATGCTCAATATTATGCTTTTCGTGTTCGCCGTACAGTATAGTATTTTCCGAAAAATTGTCGATTAATTTGATCATACTTTTATCCATACAATTTGCTTTTCTTCATTTTTATTTTGTTTTTTTTTTTTTAATTATTTATACTTCGATCTAAGCAGTCTTTTTTTTCTGAATTCGTAGTAGATTTTAAATACATTCTTTTCATTTTGTTTTTTACTAAAAGCTTTCGTTGATGGATGCATTTTATTTAACTTTTCTTTCTTTTGAATTTGTTTTACTTTCTGTTATAATTTATTGTGGTGAAATGTGTGTGTGTGAGTTTGGGTGTTATTTCGTTTGGAAAATGTAATGTTTCCCTGTGTGTATGTGTGTGTAGTTGTTTCATTGAAATTGATGAGAATACGTACCCAGCACACATAATTTAGTTCAACTAAATGTACATATATAATCATAGTTCTCTTTTCACATCTTTTTTTCCTATTTAGTTATTTATCCCTATTTTTTCCCTTTATCACTAAATCAATTATCATTTTGTTTCAATGTGTTTTCTTTCTGTTTTCTCTCTTTAATTATTGACAATTTATAAATTCAATTGATTCTCTAATATTTAAAATTCGCACAGCTTTGTTTTTTACTTTTTTGCATATGTGATCAGCAAAATCTGATTCAATGACGATCGATTTTTAATTTGCTGTTCTGTTTTCCTTTAAAAATCATTTTTGTTTTTCTTTGTGCATATGAAATTAGATCGATGTTTATCTATCGTTTACTATATAATTCTTTCTTTTTGTGTATCTTTTTCTCACTAGTTAAATTTTGTTTTGTTTTGTTTTGCTTATCAAAGAAGATTTTGGGTGGGCCCACAAAATTGGGGCTCGTTTGTTTCATCTTCATTTATGTGGTGGGAGAATGGTAAGTGGATAAATTGTTTAATTAAAAAATATATACGCGTAATAGTATTGTAAATCATGCAATCCATGTCTCCATTCCATATATCTGTTCTTGGCGGCTGCATAAAAATCCTTCAATTCGTATCGCGTTTTAAAATGTTTTATTTTGCATTGGTACTCATGAAGGTTTGGTGAATGGTGTGTGTGGATGTGTGGAGTATTTTTATTCTGCAGAAAATATAAAAATAAAGGTTCGAAAAGAAAATTGCGGTTAGAAAAATTGATGAAACAAAATAAATTTTAGCGAATAGGAGATATGATGAAAGACATTATAACTTACTTCCGCCAGCTGAAACGGCTGGTGCTTGAACTGTGACCGGCTGAGATTGCTGAGTGGGTGTTTGCTTCTCTTGTGGAAGACTCGTGGTTGGATTATTTTCTTGTTGGTTGTTGCCTTGGTTTTGGTTTCGCTGATTGTTGTAATTGCGTGTGTTTCGGAAGTTGCCACGATAACCACCATTATTGCCATTGTAACCGTTGTTTCGGTAGCCGTTATTACGGTTATTGAAATAGTTGCCATTGTTACCGCCCGGTCGGCCACGGTTATAGTTATAAAAGCTACAAAGATTGAGACAATAAAAAAAAATCCGAATAACACAATGGTCATTATTTATTTTAAATGTTATTGAATATTAAATAATAAATGCTTACCCTCCGCGACGTGCAGATGACACACCAAATGTTTCGCTGTTAAGCTTACGTTCAAGGCGCCAATCAGTACGATTTTTACCCTTCCGATCTGTTGCTGCTTCGCATGAAATATTGTCAAAGAATGACTTCGTCTTGTCATATCCAACAGTGACATCGTCTTCTTCTTGCTCTTGTTCACCAGCACCGGTCTCGTTGCCCGAATCGTCCTTCTTTTCAGCCTCACCGTTAACCTATTCAAACACACAAATCAATTACAAAAACAACATTAATAAACCATTTTTAATTCATTTAACATCAAAAAAAAAATGGCAAACAAATTATTTACAACTAACAGTAAAAATACATAGAAAAATTTGAATGCGTGTGAATGAAAAGTGGAAAGGGATGCGTCACAATGTGTTCAATAATGATAAAAGTCTCACATTATCAAAATAAAATTAAAATAAAAAAAATGCTCTTTTCTCCCTTTACTCACACTTTTGCTCGAAAATCATTTATAAAAAAATTGTTCACCGCATTTTTTTTTCTTGTAAAAAATAAATAAATGTAAACAGAAACAAAAATAGTACCTGCTCAGGTTTGGCTTCTTCGCCCACCTTCAATTTGGCTAATGATAAGCGCATCTCTTCAAATTTTGTATTTGCTTGTTCAAAATCAAAATCACTTTCAAACTTAATTGTGGTTTTTGGACGTCCCTTACTGTTCTGATTTTGGCGGAATGTCTGCTGCTGTAAAATGAATCGCAAAATAGCATTTTATTAGTTCTCATGAATTTACGATTTAAATGAACACAGTGTGTGTGTGTGTGTGGGTGTGGGTGTGGGCTTATGTTTGCGCGAAATGAAAACGGGGAAAAAACAAAGGTAAGTACATACCGGATGAAGACCTGGACGTCTTTGTGGTCGTTGATTATTGCGTAAATTTTGATTGTTGTTACGGTTACCCCAATTACCGCCTCGGTTCTGGTTATTATTACCTTGATACTGATTGTTGCGCTGTTGATTCTTCAAATAAAAAGCGAAGTAAACACAAAAGCAAATTAAAACGTTAACATTGAAAAATTGAAAATATTCGCTGAAAATGGTCATTGATAAAAATGATAAATGAAACTAACTCTATTTTCATGCGATCCTTGACTGTCTAAACGGCCACCTTGTGGTCCACGATTATTGTTGCGTCGTGTGCCGTCTTTTTGATTAACTTGAACTCCCATTTCGGCTGTTGGACTCTTACGTGAATTCAAACTAACAGGTGTTGTTGAACGAGATCCACCGATTAAATCAAGAACGGAATCTAAACCCAAACACAAAAAAAAAAATTGGTGTTACTTATGTCAATAAATTTAAAAGAAAGAAGCATTACTCTTAAAATTGAAAAGTTCTTAATAATAATTCAAAGTGAAATTCATTTGAAGAAGTAAAGAAAAAAAAATCATACTTTTCTGTTGCGGTTGTTGGTTGTTCTGTTGTTGTTGCTGTGATTGGCCACCGTTCGATTGCTGTTGAGGCGTTTGCTGTTGTTGAGATGGTTGTTGTTGGTTAAACGGTAATCCAGGTGTACCTTGCGGCAATTGTCCACCCTGTGCATTTGGAGTTGATATCGAACTAAATGGACCTGGTTGATTATTAGAACCCTCAAATGGACCAACTTGTCCACCAACATGTGGCATCACCGGCATCGAAAATTGCGGCTGAAAATTTGGTTGACTTTGGGCCGACACATGCATTTGCATAATAGCTGGATCGTGTGGAACACGTGGTACATTGTTAACAACGCGAATATCCTTGATGTCTGATCCACGGAACAAAATATAATCGAAAATCTCTTCTTGCGGTGGAATTGCAAATTGTCCTTGACGATCCTCTGTTCCATATGAACGCACTGGTTATCCGAAAAAAAAAAATGAAGAATAAAAATAAAGGCACACAGATTAATAAATGGCTATGAACCGTTATGCAAACGCACACACATTGCAAATGAGGTGATTTGACCGGCATGTGACTTGACTTTGGTCCCGTTATGAGCTTCCCGCCATTGCACGCGAATTAAAATTTAATACATGCGCTTTTTTTCACAACGAATTTTATGAATTTTAATCACATGATTTATGCATTTTCTGTTTTTCGGTAGCGAATAGTGCACTTTTCGATCATCGCACTTTTGCGTTTCATCTTCAAATGCTAACTATAAATTAACATATAACAAAATTTAAAGAAAAAAACTGTCTTGCGGAAATCGAATATTTTATCGAATGGAAATTTTAACATTTTTGAGCAGGGCAAAATCTTCGACACAATTCATTGAATAACATATTTAAATGTGCTACCCAAATTAAATGCATATTGGATACATAGTGTAAGCGAAAATGCGTTAGCATCACTTAGCGGTATTTTTATGGAATCATGTTCGAGATAAAAGTATTTGCGTACCATTTGCATTTTAAACGGACTCAATTTTAATTTTCGATCGATTTTAAATTTAAGTAATTTATCACTGGCATTTTTTTAAACACTAATCATACAATTGTTGTTGTTGTTTATTCTATTTGTATCTAATTTTTTACTGTATTTCGCCCCATACTATTCGTTTGTTTCTGGCTACAATGCGATCTACTTTCTTTGTTCTATTTTTCTCGAATTTTTTTTCTTCGTTGATAAAATCTACGACTACGTTTTTCAGTCTCAAAGACGAGAAAAAGAAATAAATTCACCGATTTAGCATCAATACAGCGAAACCAGATAAGAATTTATTGGATGTCTTTTGTAATTATGCGTAAATAAATCAATTTTGTACACAGTTGCGCGGCTATTGCATTTGCACATATATATATATATGTGTGTACGCGCAATTTACATAGTTTACGACGAAATCACCGAGAGAACGAACAAAAAAATATTTATACACTTCTCGTTGTTCGACTTTCACTTTTTGTTGTTTTTTTTTTAATTTGCAAAAATAAAACAATTCAATTAAATCCAAATTTGCACTTAGAATTATTTGAAATCAGTCGAATTTCAATTCAACAGCGAAACAATGACGCGATCGCAAAAAATTGTTTTGTTGTAAATATTTGGCTTTTTTTTTTGTATGTTAGAAGAAGAGTGAAAAAAAATCTTACCATTGGCTAAGGCAATTGTACATTCGTTCGGATCTACGGTATATAATTGGCCTTCATATCTAATATCTGATTTCGATATAAGACTAATCTTAGAACCCAATTCAGGCATGCTAGCCATTGTTGTAAATTAAAATAAATTTTATTCGCTGATGACTTAGATGTTATATGATGATATACACCATCGAATTACAACTGATACAACTTATTGTTCGCTAATGGCGTCCAAACGAAAATGGTAAATGGAATTGAAGCTGCTGCTGTTGCTGCTGCTATGATGATGATACGATTACCGACTGATGCTGCTCCTACCGGTTGCTACATATAACTAAACTGTTTCGCCGCTTGGTTTGGCGCATTCGAACAATTTTACATAATTCAACAAATTCAACACGGCTATCACGGTGGTGAATGTGGTAGATTTAGCATTGATTGCATGTACGTTAATTAAAAAATAATAATATTTTGGGTGCACATTAAAAAATGATGGATAAAAATATATACTTTAGTTAAAATTGTAAAAAACGGGTATTCTCTTTGTATTCGCATTCAGAATAATGCATATGCATATATGTTTCTGTACGATTCATTTCAATGGCAATGTCAGTGTATTGGTACGACTAAGTGTGGAAGAAATGGTTAAAGAGCGAAAAACATTTGTCAAATAACATATGTACAGTTCCATATTTCATTGGTTCATTTGATACCCTGAAATTGGATTTTTTCCACAAAAAATTCAAACAATTTAACAAAATTTGCGCAATTTCTAAAAGATTTGCGGAATAGAAGAAATTGGAAATCGTCCATGTTAATTACAAATGAAAAAGAAACAATGTAAGAATTCGATTGATGTGCAATGAAAACGAATGATTCAAAACTGTCATCTGGATGAACCTATAGTGCTGTCAAAATTTTGAGAGCACATACAGTGTGTGTATTAAATGTACAACAAATTCATTCACATCTTTTTCATATCGTAGTTACTAGTTTTAAAATGGCGGCCCAAGTGATATCACGGTGTTACAGCGCTGGTCTTTTGAAAAATGGCAGTAAAATTGCCATTCAAAAGGTAAATTTATTGTTTTGAGCGCACTATAAATGGTTTTCAGTTCAATTTATGTGCTTTTCGGAAAAAATCCCAGTGATAAAATTGCGTATTCAGTCTTAGAACATTCAACCAAAAATGTTCAGTGATGTAATTTAGAGCATACGTCAAATTTGTGATTGAAATGCTCTTTTCATGACAAGGATTTTATTGTTGATCATTTCAATGGAAAATCTTAAATGAAATCAAACCCATCATTCGATGGCATTATGTGGCCTCAATTAGTGACTGTTCAACATATTTTTCAATTGAAAACAAACGAATAACTTGTAAATTTAGAATATTTTATTATATAACCCAAATGAGTATAGTAAATGCCAAAATGTATGGACCAATACAACAAACATGTTACATAACAAATGGACTTTTTTTGACATTTTAGGCGAATAGTTTTTCTACCGGGCCAACATTGAAGGTTGACAAAAAGGTGAGAAATTGCCAACATCCAATGGCATACTTAGTGAAAATTTTGATTTAAATTGATGGCATATGTATGATAACATTCGATATTGGATTTTCCAGTGGTGGATTGTTGGTACACTCGCCAGTTTGACTGGTGGCTGTTGGTATGCTATTCAATCGGTTGATGCTTCAGATCTAAAAGCAATGCCAGCCCATTTGCCATGGACTCACAAATCCCTTCTCAAAGGATTCGATCATGCCAGGTCTGTATTATAGCATTGAAACTATCACATCGTGTGTGTTAATAACATTTAAGAAAAGCATAAACAGCCCAAGAAAATTCGTTTATAAGACTTAAAACCTACCCATAACTGTCTTACACATTGATTCGAAGGCAATATTTGTGTACAAAAGAACTGTGAAAAGTTGCAGTCAAGATTTAAGTCTTCTGACCGATTTTCATTGGGAGGTGAAGATTTTTCAGTTTAAAGAACCACATAAAATATAACATCGAACCAAACATCCATAGTGTCTTAATATTATGTGTTAAAATTGCAGTATGCGTCGAGGCTACGAAGTGTACAAGCAAGTGTGTGCATCATGTCATTCGTTGCAATACCTCGCATACCGACATTTAGTTGGACAAACGCATACGGAAGAAGAGGCCAAAGCTGAAGCTGCAGAGATGACCGTAGGTTACATTTTGCATATTGAAGGAAGAAAAAAAAAATCCACAAATGTTAATTGAAATTTTGTTGTTCAAATAATCTCATTCATAGGTCATTGATGGTCCAGATGATACTGGTAATATGTTCGAGCGGCCCGGTCGATTAACTGATTATATCACTGGCCCATATAAAAATGAACAGGAGGCTCGTTTTGCAAACAATGGTGCTTATCCACCCGATCTTAGTCTTATTGTGTTAGCTCGTAAAGGCGAAGAAGATTATATTTTCCACTTGCTTACCAATTATACCGATACACCCGCTGGCGTTAAACTTGCCGAAGGTCAATCGTACAATCCATATTTCGCAGGAGGTGCCATCGGTATGCCACAAGTTATTTTTGACGGCGTAAGTTAACAAACAACTAATTCCAACCAAATATTCCATCGTGTGATGATAATTCGATCATTAAATATATTTACTCATATTTTAGCTCGTCGATTATGCGGATGGAACACCAAACTCTGCTGCACAATTGGCTAAGGATGTTGTAACATTTTTGGCTTGGGTGGCCGACCGTCGTCTTGAAGATAGAAAGGAGATTGGAATTAAAGCACTACCGATCCTAGCCCTCTTGTGGATTGGCTCTTGGTATGCAACTCGATTCGTGTTTAAACCATTGAAAACAACCAAATACCAATTCGTGGACAGAATTCGAAAGTCCAAATTTTAAATAAAAAAAACAGCTACCATCATTAAAAGTCTTTGTGAATAAAAAATATATTCGAAAACTTGCAAATAAATATGAAACCATAAGAGTTAATCACTTGTAGTAATGTTTTTAATTTGTTTTACTGCATACATTTTCCGATTGTTTGTTGAATAGTTTCATAAGAGACGGATTTGCATATTGTCAAATTTTTGGATAACTTGTGACTGAAATACATTGAATGTGCCCATTTGAAATGCTTTGGAAGGTGAGACTCATTCCATATTCCACACAGCAAAATATAAAAAGAAATGAAACTTGCTGCTTTTGAATGTTTTTTTTTTGTTTTTTGAGATTATACGATTAGAACGGGGAGTATATAAAATCACAACATAAGTTGCGGATATCTCCGATTGTTTGACTGTTATTGTAAGTTCTAAAGGAGTTGAGTGTGAAATATTTTCTGTTGTGCAGCCACAGAAAGCCACATCCACTACTTGTTTCGTTATTTTATCCATCAGTAAAATAGGAGCCACTTACTATTTGTCCAGAAGAAGCTTCAAGTACTCTATCATCTTTAAATAGGTCTTGATGAACTTCTGGGTGTGAAACAAAGGTTCTTTTGAATTTGCGTTCTTAACTTAAAGAGGTTCTTTACTCGAAACCTCCAGGCAGCATTTTTCTACCAGGTATCGAATCAGATGATTTGTGATACTGCTCTCTTTATCATTATTTATGCCATCAAAAGACTAGATATAAAACGCTTCCTCAAAGACCTCAAATGTCGTGATCATATTTATTTAATTTGAACAGACATTATATTGAGATATTTTCAGCCAGATGAATCGGCTCAGCCAGATAAAAATGATTGTTATAGTGATTGTAGTAATGTAAGTTTAATTATAACCATAACAATCACTTCTATTGTTTTCACTAAATTTCAGCGCCCAACTGATTCATCTGGCTGAAATTATCTCAATATAATTTCTGAAATTGAATCATTTTACCAGGGATTGTACCTCTACAAAATAAAAAAAGATATTTGTCTGACAAAAAACGCTTCTTGATTAGAAAAACTTTCCCCCCTCAATTGAGGATAGAATTTGGCTCAAACCCCTTAGCAAATCAAAAAAATTGTTTTGCTAGGCAATTTTAAAAAAGTGATTTTAAATAAACTAGCATTACTAAAATCTTTGTGTTTTCTGTTGTTGTTCAACTACCAGAAATGCATTGGAATATAAAACTAATTCCATATTCAACACAGTTCAATTTGTTTTTACACGCAGCGAATAATACAAACTCGCGCGCGATTTGCGGCGAATGACATACACATAAAAGATAAAATAAAATTGAATTCGCTGCATGTGAATCCTTTTATAAAATAGAAATGCAATGAAAACATCAGTCTCGGCTGTGCAAAAACAATATTTTTTTTCTCGTAAATATAACCACAACTGTTTTTCAATAAATACTGTGTAATTGTATATAGATTAGGCGATAAATTTTGCTGACCCGCTAGAAAAAAAAAAACTGTGTTATGCGTCGAAAAATAATAATTGCAAAAATTTCAAATTGAAGTATTCACCACGCATTGACGCAGTGAAAAGGAACATCACCGAATAATTGAAAAGAATTCCGTGTGTTCGCCATAAAAAACAGCGAATAGAGACCGGGTGTTGGTATACAGCAGCACCAGCTCTCAAAGCAAAGCAGCCGTCGTGTGTTGTGTGTATCTGAATTCAGAGCGTATTCTATACATATATATATCGACGATATTTTTTTTGTCTCTCAACAAAAATTTTGTTATATTGTCATTGATTGACTGAAAAAAATTCATCATGGCGAAGCAAGCGACCGGTGTTGGTAAGAAAATTAATTCAATTATCTAATTGGTATACAATAAAATATCACGAGAAAATTGCATAAATGTTCGCACAATAAAATTAACAGCTTAAAAAAAAAAAAATGTTAAATACAATGGTGAACGAATTGGGTTCTCGCATTGTTTTCAACACTCATCAGCATTGTGTTTTGATTACTCATGAATTTGAATGATATGAATAATTTTTTTGTACGGAATAACGATTTATCAATCATGATTATGTGAATAATTATCAAGTGATGTGAACAATTGACCCATTCAAATTAATTTTCGGTCACATCGTATCAAAGACCCGCGGACAGATTAAGGCTATAATTAAATTACCCAACCCCTGAAATGGAGAAAGAAAAAAAAACTTTCGTGAACTACGTGTATACATACAAAGTATTCGTCTCTCATCTACTTTTGTAGAACAAACACAGTGTCAATGTACATACGAAAGCTAAAATGCGCTTTCGTTTTGTTCAAATGTTTTTATTAATATTACGCTTACATTTTTTTACTGTCTTGTGTGTGTCGAACGATATCGATTAACCTCACTAAATTTACACATTCCAACAACAAAATAAATAATGCATCAACCATATCCAACGTTTACCGTTTGCCCCATAAGATAAGCAAAAATATTATGAATACGTGATGGCTATAACATTTGTATGCAACAAATTCACTGGCATTTCTGACACAATATCCAAATTATTGAATTAACAAAATGTATCTATGGGTTCGACAATAAATGCAATTAAAAAAAGCAGAATGAGTCTAACAAAATCTTATAAATATTTTCGTCGTGGCAAAAAAAAACGAATTAGTAAAATGTGTATGATGGCATTTATTTTTAGTGGTTCCACGGAATTTCCGACTTCTAGAAGAATTGGAACAAGGTCAAAAAGGTGTAAGCGATGGCACAATTTCATGGGGTCTTGAAAACGACGATGACATGACTCTCACTCACTGGACTGGCATGATCATTGGACCGCCACGGGTAGGCAATTTGTTTATATCTCAAGCAAACAAAAATGCATAACTTTTTAAATCACATTAAAAGTGTCGTGTCATCTCAAATCAACAACTAACGTCTAAATTTTCTTGTGTTTTATCACAATTTCAAACCCTAGACTCCGTACGAAAATAGAATATACTCGTTGAAAATAGAGTGCGCCGAATCATATCCAGATGAACCACCAATGATTAGATTCTTATCCAAAATTAACATTAATTGCATTAATCAAAGTAATGGTGTGGTAAGTAAAAGGAAAACGATTCACATCAATTCAGTCTGGGAATTTGTATTTTGCATTTGATCCTTCAGATAAATTAATTGTTTTTTTTTTTGTTGTTGTTGTTTTGTTCTTCGGCAAAATCTATTTTCAGGTCGAACATAGACTGGTTCCGATGCTCACTCGATGGAATCGTGAGTACACGATCAAGTCAACGCTGCAAGAAATTCGTAGAATAATGACGTTGAAAGATAATTTAAAATTGGCTCAACCACCAGAAGGAAGCTGTTTTTAGTTTGTATATAATGGTGCTTATCACATAGCAACCACATTGAAGCGAAAAAAAAATGATTTATAGAGTTCAGAAGAAAAAAAGAGGGGCGAAAAGGGATAGAAAAAAAACACACACAGAGAAAAAAATCGATGCAAATGAAAGAGATACGAATAGGGACAGAGAAAAGATCAAGGAAGGGGATTAAGAAAATTATTGATGATTCAGGAATGTATTGGAATTCGATTTGAAATTAATTTGCAAAATACTACAAAAAAAAAAAAAATTTAATCACACAAAAATCAAGTTTGAAAAAACACACATAAAAAAACTTTAATACTTGAACATTTGTTTGTTGATCAACTTTAATTAATGTTTGTCATAATGATGATAGTCAAAATAAAAAACGAAACAACAACAATCGCAACCGAATTTTATGCAAAATAGTTGAACTAAAAGTAAATCATTTATTTCAAATCCTTCTTCTTTCTCTGATAAAACAAAAAAAAAAAAACTAAATAACACATCCAAAAAATGCAACACAAATACACTGTTATAAGGCGAATGAAGTAATTTAACCGAACAAAAAGTTTAGTAATTTGCTTTAGATTTAAATAAATGTTTTAAGCACTATTTAAATAACTGAAAGCATAAACAGATTTTTGATGAATTTCTTTGAAGCAGCCAGCTTTATTATTATTATATTTAAATAAAATTATAAATTATAATGATTTCAAAGCAAAATGGCAACACTCGCATACGGTATGGAAGAATAAACAAATAAATTTATTGAAAATAACATAAAAACCAATTATTACTCTATCTAACTATCCACAGTTTATACAGTACGACTACGATTATGTGTTGCGGACCATCACTCTGATCAATGAAGACAGTTAACATAAAAATGTTCAAATGTTTTGTCTAGATTAAGATGCTTCTTTCCAATAACTATGCAAATTATTGATTTCTACATTCGATTGAAAGAGATCGCCCTCAATCGAAAAACACCTCGGACACCTCATGAAAATAGTACTGTTTACAGAAACATTTCACCAAAAAAAAACTAGAGAATGAACAAATAGATACAATTGAAGGTGAATCATACAACGACATACTGACTGCACTTGTATTTCGCTTGAAATATTTTTATTTAGCATTAAAATGTTTATACGATATAAGTTGAATTTTTATTTTTATTTTGAACAAATATTGAATGGAGTGTAGCTTGATTCATTTGTATCAATGTAAAAGTATTTTCGAGCTCAAATGTTGATTTTTGAGAACGTGAATAAATTTAATTTTCCGTATTGTTCCTATGCATTCATACATTTCTCGTCATAATTGATGGAATTTGACTGAGCTGAATGAATTGAAGAAGGATTGGGAGAACTGAAAGTCATTTATTTGACAAGGTCGGTGACATAGAATAAATTCGTTGTTGATGTGAAAACTGTAACTAACGAAATGAAAAGGTCCGAAGAGACGCATCGTAGAAGCTGAATGTATTGCATCTCAAAACTTTATTTCGTATTTTAGCTGTGCATATGTACCTGGGATTTGAATGGTCATGGTATGAGTTAAACAAAACAAAGCAATATAGTCTATTTTGGATTTCGACATTAGTTGAGGCATGCATTATTTTATGAAGAAATGACAAACTTTAAGAAACATTATCTGAATGTAATGAAAACCGATGTTACAATTACTTTTTTGTCAGGTAATCAAATTATTATTAAGCTAAATGGACATAACAGAAAATTTATATTTTGGATTTTCATATGAAATTCGTCGCCAAAAGTTAAATTCTAAAAAATATATATTTCGGTGTGAGTGGCAACACTGGTAAACCATACGAATTTTGACATATGTCATCACAAAAAATAACCACAACTTTTAAACAAATTCATATTGTTATCATTCTAAACAATTTCAAGATCATGTCGATATTAAATAGGATTAGATGGGCACTACCAAATACAATCCTTAGTTCCAAGGGTATGATGAACAAATTGCTGGACTATAAATTTAAATTTTGAACAACTAACCAGCATTTTGATGCTTTTTTTTAAATTTGATCGTTAGGAATGATAAGCTCTAGTATCCGTGGACTTTTCTCCGGGCAAGATTTAGGAATTACAAGCTATGAACAAGCTCGTGAAGCTGTCGGGCATGCCATTGCAAATCCAGAGAAATTCAAAGACAAATTGAAGACAACACTTGATGAACCTACTTTGATAGGACTTGAATTCTCTTTAAAAAATTTACTTCACATCATGGAAAATGATGAAAAGGATTTTATGATTTTGAAAGCTACACTCAAAACGCTGATTGATAAGCAAGCAGATTTTCATGGTGAAAAGTATCATTTTGATGCTATTATAATGAGAGCATTTCATTACTTGAATATGCCAAATGAGGCCATTGAGGTAAATAACATTTGTCACAGCATTGAATTGAAGTTTAATTACGATTCGTTGTAGTTGTTCGAAGATAAACTATTAGGTCAACTCTTCACCAATATTACTGGCTATCAGATTCTACTGGATATGCTCTATGAGAATGAAAAATACGATGACGTTCTTCGCATTCACGCAAGTAGAAAAATGAACGTTCTGTACCAGAAAAAACACATCAATGCCATTATTTTAGCAACATATTATCGACTGGTATTGCATATATTTTTGCGATTTTTATCACTCATATAATTCAGTGAACGATGTAAAATTCTATTGAGTTACAGAATACTCCAGAGGCTTTCAAAGAGTCGTATGCAATGTATACTAAACTAAGTCACAAACATGAGTTTCGAAAGAGCCGAACATTTGTAGCCGGATTAGCTGTTCGGCAACATCAACCCAAAATTGCTTTGAACATTGTTGAAAACGATGAATCAAAGCCCACATTTGTCACGATACGTCACATAAAATTATTAGCATGGGCTCAACTGGGACAATTTGAAAAGATTACAGAAATATTATGGCGAGTAATCGGTGATCATGAAAAAAATCCAAAATTTAAACCAACAACATCGATTGAAGTCGTACGTTTTTGTCTATTCAAACTTTGAAGTCTTTTACATTTGTTTTTTGTTGATAAGAGATGTTTATAATTTACATAATATATTTCAATAGCTCAATGAAATAGAACGTTTGCTACAACTGAAAGGTTCACAAAAGGACACCGATGACTTCCGTGACGTACGCAATGAAATCCAACGTTTGAACTTAGAGACAAATGAGGTAAACATATTTTAACTCGAATACTCTGCCATTTTTATGTAATAATGAAAATTTTACCATTTCATCAGACTCTTGATGACATCCTATGTGCACCTTTTCCTGCGACTAGAGAGGAAAAAATTTCTCATCGGAGAATAGTGAACCAATTTAAATAGACTAAGAAACACTGTAAAAATAACGTTTTGTTAAAATTAAATGAAGCTTACGAGATCTTGATTTGTTTAATTAAAAAAACGCAACAATTTATTTGGAGTTAATGGGGCAAACAAGTGTTTTATGAAACCAATCGAATGCACATTACCACGACGAAAGAAGTTGAACATCCCTTCGATTAATCATAAAACAATATTCATCGAATCTATTTCAGCCACTTCTGTATATATGATAAGAGGATGCAAATGCAATACACATTCATAGAATGTTTTTGATATTCAAGTCTTTTAAAAGCTCTCAATAGAGTTAGATGCAGAGCAATGAAAAAAACTTGCATTAACTTTGCATTCTGTGTTCCGTACGGCATACTTTGATTTCAGACAAAAAAATGGCTCTAAATATGCCATTTTTTACATGGAAATGAAAAAAAAAGAAGATAATATAATGAAAATGTAATTAAATAGACACTGTAAAAATTGTTCTTCATACTGTTTATTAATAAACTGAACTTAAGCAAGTTTGGAATTTATGATGATAATCAAAATTGTCGGCTGCACACAATCACTTAAATTTATCAAAAATTGAGATTGGTGTGGTTTACGTTTGAAATTGAAATGATTCTGTGCGAAATTTATCAAATGAATCTTATTCATAGAACGAAAATATTCATAGTTGTTTCATCGGCGTCAAGTGGTGGTTTATTTTCTGTGAAAAAAAGTCGACACCAAAAACATTAAAATCATAAACATATGATTGATAGGTTATAATGTTATTGCCTACCGTGACTTCTTCGAGCTACGATGCTCATCGCGACTATCGTCTCTGGAACGCTTCTTGTCACGACTGCTGCCGCTACTGTTATGCTTATGTTTATCTTTGCTGCTGCTGTGATTGTGTCGATCGCGATCACGGCCACTGCTGCTTTTCGACGAACTGAAAATTGAATTCGATTTATTAGAAATCAATACAAAATTCGATCTGAATATCAAAGATTGATGGACGAAAGTGCTTTTTTTTTTGTTCATAAATTGTATAAAACCAAATGGGGGAGCCGTTGAAAGGAACATTGGATGTTATGAATTTTGTGCGTTGTATGCGATTTGAATTTTTGTGGAATTTTGAATGGTGCGATTTCCGATCAAATATTAATCGATTATAGCTCATTAAAATGTTGGCAAATTGTTACGAACCTAGTCTTTTTCTTCTTTCGGTGCTGTAAATCTCTGCATTTAGGAGCATGACATTTACATAAATAGAACAGAAATTATGTATTACATCTACAGATAATTCAGATATTATATTCGACCCTCCGAAATCAAAACAAAACGAGTCCGTAATTTTGGTCAATTTAAAGTTTTCCAAACCAAATGTGTCGATTCACATTCAATAAATTTAATTTAATAAGCATTTCAATTTCAAAGGGTCAATGAGATTATTCACGAACAAGACAAGTCGAACATGACACGTGCTCATAGATTTTATGTGCATGTTGAAAATAATTGTAATGTATATGCTCTGTATTGAATCAAAATAACATGAATAGAAAAAAATAATAAATACCTGCTGTGTTTGCTGCTTTTATGTTTGTCGTGACGATCGTGGCTGGATTTTTTCTTTCCAACAAAGACCTCCTCGTGTTTGTTGGAGTAATTGGCATCATCTTCGGCTGCTTCACGCTCAAGATCGGACCAATCTTTGCCCGATTCTTCATCGGAGCCAAGTTCTAAATTTAAATGAATATTTGAAACAGTTAGACCAACAAAGACAAAATGGAAATCACAAAAATTATTTTACCATCATCGTCTTCCTCATCGCTTTCATCTTCCGATGCTTCAGAGTATTCGGAGTCCTCATCTGACTCATCTTCACTTTCCATATCGCTGGGTTCGTATACTTCATCTTCTTCCGATTCATCATCACCTTCGCCATCAACTTCACTGTCTGATTCTGGATCCAAGAACGACCATCCACCGGTTTCAAAGAATGCTTTTGGATCGTCCGTGATTGTTTTCATAATCTTTGTCCAGTTCAATGATTGAACACCCTCGGAATACCGAATATCGCATGAACTATTTCAAACATAGAAAAATGTAAAAAAAATTTTTCTTTATTGATGTTGAACACATCAAACATAGGTCTGTCCGAGAGAGTTCTACTCACTTGAGCCATTCCTTTACGTGATCGCACATATTCATTGGGATTGCATTAACCATGGCAACCTTTTTGTTATAGTCTTTAAATACGAATACCATATCAAAGTTTCGCAGATGAAATTGAACACGTTCGAAATGCACCAATTCAACATCTTCGAGGGTGATGACAAATGGTGGCCATTCGGTTAAATTTACCAAGCTGCCGGACGTCGGTTGTAGTGTGACTGTACTTCTGAATGGTGCACCAGGAAAGCCAAGTTCTCTGAACGGTGTATCGAATTCTACTTGATTTTTGGTCATTGATTCAACCTTTTCGCAGAAACTTTTGAATGCGGTTTTCAATTTGTTTCGCAATTCACGTTCAGCCTGTTCGGCCGCCAAATCGTCACGATCATGCATGTGCTGATGCTTACCCAAATCGGTTGTAATCTCACCAACTTCAGTGTAAAATTGTACATCGATATGTTTCTTTTTGCCAAACATGATGGCGTGTTTCAAATGAAAATGTAATAGAATGATCATCTCTCCGTCGCATGGCTGGAAGAATGCGCTTTTGATGTTGTTGTACAAAATATCCACCTTATCACCACGTACCGATGTGTAACGGAAACCATTTGTATGTGCTTCCAGCGCACCAGTCATACGTTTGGTCACAATGTTCGGGCGAATGTATAAATCCTTCAGTTTTGGATTACCTTTGTTCGTTGATAAAATCAAAGTGTCTTGTTTCACTAGATCCTCTTTTTCACGTTCTTCAGCTTCACGGGTTCGGAATCGTTTTTGAACATCTTTGATCAAACGATGTGCTGTATTTAAATTCGATGATGGTGCCAACAATTCACCCGATTCCTTGATATTTGTACTGCGATAGGTCCTGTTTGGCGAAACAATGTCAAAATTAAATTTATTAATTAAAATGAACGCAGTTCTCGATAATTAAATAACTTACACTTCTTTAACAAATGTTGCGTCTGGTTGTTGATACATTCCAGCCTCGTTACGTCCAACTGTTGCACCCGGGTGGAAGAAATTGATACGCAAATATGTGTAATCACCTTCAACCGAATGTGAAATGTTCTTTATTGTTGAAATGTGAAACGGTACTGGTACCCCGAAAATTGGCATGATAACAGTTTCATATTTTTTGTCCACAAATAACTTCAATTCCTTGACCTCGGGCTCACGTGGCATTTGATTAACACTTTTGTACGAAACGGTTGATTTTCGAACTTTTTCCGTTTCTTTAACGCCATTTTGTTTTTCAAGTCGTTCCTGTGCTCTGGCATTTAGTTGTTCAGCCAATTCACGTTGATGCTGTTTGCGTTTCTCTTCGGCATTCTGTTCGGAACGGAGTTTTGTTTCGAGTACAGTGGATCGTTTACCACGACCCAAAATTTCTTGTCCATTTTCGGCATCTTGCTCTTCATCCTCTTCATCCTCTTCACCTTCTTCATTGTCACGAAGGAATATACCGATATTTTTCATTTTCTTTTTCGATTGTGTGATTACGCTGGCTGGTCCGGAATCATTTACAATAACCGTATCACCGAGAAACAATGCATACGATTTGCCTTCTTTATCGGTTGCTTCTTTATTATTCAATCCCGATAAGCCAACAGTTAAATTGAATATCATATTCTTTTTGGCGGTAGCATTACATTTTGGACCAATGATCAACGAACTTTCACGGAATTCAATTCCAATTACAAAGCCAAATGTCTTCACCAATCGATCAACCAAATGTGGTTTCTCTTTTTTTGCATATTCCATGCCAGCTTCATACACGTCGCTGAGCTTGGTGCCGGGAACAAGACGCTTCAAAATTTCCTCTTCCAAATTTAACACAAAGTTATAGTTCTCTTGAACCACTTCGGATGGATTGACCAATAGTGTCCGTGAAATATTTGAACAGTATGATTTGTATCTTGCACCCAATGAACAAACAATTGCACCAAAATGCAAGTAATTTTTATCACTGGTAACACTGAATTTGAGGCTATAATTTCCACCCGACTGAATGATGGCTGGATAGCACATCTCCAATTGTGATGTGTCAACGCCAGAAACAAATTTCTTGTCACTCAATGCTTGTTCCACACCTTCAGCCAACTTTGAATGTTTTACTTTCTGAAAATGTTTAACGCAACAATAAATTGATTGTAATCACCAAATTAACGAAAAAAAAACCGCACAATTTGACAGCTAAAATGCCGTTTTGTTATGAAAATTTTAAATTTTTGTTAAAATTCATACCTTTTCTGCATCGATAATTTCCAAAATATATTCTTTCAAATACTTTCCAAAAACATCAACCGAAACTAAACAGGCTTTTTTTATGGTCGACAGTTCGGCATCCTCTTTTGGTGCAATGATGTATGCAAGAGATGCTCCAATATCGACATTTTCAAAACCATGTCCGCCAAACACCTTTTGCCATGATTCACAAAATTCACCGAGAAAACCATCTTTGCTGAATACACCAACTTTTTTTCCATTCCGTGATGATTTCATAACATTTAGCAATTTTGTGAAATTCTCTTTATCTTTGTCATTCTGTGAATATAGATAGTATGCATATTGATATGTGTGAACAATAAACTTGTATTTTACAACGAATATGATTTAACTCACCCGATCACGAACAAGCAATTTAATTTCGGGCTCATTTTCTTCTCGCTCCTTGTTATTTTCGGCCGGCTTCAGGAATTCAATTTTCTTCTTACCAGATAGAAAATATGCTGTGTCTGGCGTTAGCACGCAAATAGTGTCATTTAGCTCATAACCAAACAACCATATCTAATATTAAAAATATTAAATGATGAAATTAATGCGCAATTTAATATTGTTTTTCCGATAATGGTTCAATTGATTTTTAAATTTAAAAAAACTCACGTGAAGCGATATTGATTTACTGTATACCGTATCCTCATCGGCTTTTCCAACGGCTATCATAAGACAATCAACCTTTGACAGAGCGTCATCGTATTGTTGTTCGGGATTCTAAAAATCAAATAAACACATTTTTGACATACGCTTTTTATCGCTAATACTGTACTATTTTACACTATAAAATAAAATTAAAGCACTATTCAAAAACTTTAAATAAAGTTTGTTTTTGTACAGGCACCAGTGAATGGAAAATTTTGATGCCGTAAAACAATGAATTGACATTCATGCCACAATGAATTTAAGTGGTATGCTTCTATAAACAGTGATTTCTATCCATTTCTTACCTTCCAACCATTATAAAGACGCCGTATTCGTCGTAAAAATGTGTCTTTGTCCAACACGATATTCGACATTTTACAATTCTGTCGCTCAAAACACCAATTGTTTTATGTGTCACAATTTTTGATTGAAAAAAAAGAGAATTTTAACCGCGCGTTAGAAAAGAGTCGGCAAAAGTTTTTTTTATAATAGCACTGTTTGGCACTTTATGTGTGTATTTGACGGTAGCCGAATTGTGTATGAATGCTGTATGTTTTGTTGTAAGTAAAACCTCATGCAAAATTTTTAGTGTGAAAGTATTTCGCAGCAAATATGGCGTTTACATCGGTTCTTATGGCGGGAGAATACAAATCAACGTACTAGATTTAACTGAAATTCAAATTCACATGTATCAAATAGTTTATTACTCATGTGTTCTAATACATGTACCCTGATTCTGTATAAAAATCTAATGGAATACACTTTATGATTTCACATTGTTTTATTATGAATACTGAACATTTTCTTATATTTCTACAGACAAAACACTCACACATTTACTTTGATGTAAATTAAAGGTGAATGAGCGTAAGAGAGAGCCTCTACTAAGCTCAAAGTCATTTGTCCAATACGGAAAAAACAATTATGCGAAAAAAATGAGTTTTTTTTAGAGGAAAAACAAAATTATACACACTTATTTATTTGGGAAATCTTAAATTGCTAAACATATTTGTCTTCGTTTATGTCAGACTAGTTGATACTCGAATAATAGAAAGAAGAAAAATACGACGGCATTCATATATCTATGTAACATTATACAACTTATGCATACGAAGTGAAAAACAAAAATTTCTCTCTAAAGAATAAAAACGGATTGAAGCAACAAATTTACTTTTTGAGTAGCAAATTTTCGATACTAGATTGTACAAGGATTTTACGTCTTTACAGAAACCGGCATTCAAACCAAACACTCAAAATAACTCCAAATATTATCGATGTAAATAATTCCATCCAAAAATTTATTTGTGTGAGAATCGAAAAGAATCACAATTTTATTCAAGACTCAGACTGCACTTTCAATTTCAGAAGCATCACATAAATAACTTGCACAATTTTTGTGAAAGATGGCGTTCCATACGAAAAAAAACCGCCTGACGTTTATAACGTATGTTTTTGTTATTATTACTATTAACATTCAACTGAGATGTTTACTTAAGATTTGAGATTATCGAAAAGAAGTAGCCATGAAATCTCGTTTAGCCATTTTCTCACCAAATTTCTCAACAAGAATGTATGCATTGTTCTCTTCACGATTATGTCACTCAAAACATTCAAACGATGTGTGTATATGCTGTGGATGGCAGTAGCGCTTCAAAATGTCATCTTCAGAACCACCTGAAGTTACCCATTAACGTTATAAAAAAACCATCCAAGGATTCCGTATATTCTGTGCAAAGTATTTATTAACTTGTCAATTGAATTTTGTGATTTTTTTGTAATGTATATACTGTGATTTTATATTGGTTGATTCGACTATAAAAAAAAAACTTTTTATTAAAGGAAAACAATTGGCAATAAAATCGAAAAAATACAATGGAAGCGATCTAATCATCTAGCTGATACGATGAGTCTGCTTAATTTGTTTGAAAAATATTTTGAAAATGATGATAGACCCCAAGACTATTTGATACTCTATAAATTCTTCTAAAATAAATGGAAAATGTATATCTTTTTTTCAATATCAGATATTTTTTCGATCTATCAACAAAAATTATTTGCGTCGAATTGGCGAATGAACCACTCAATTTTTCGTGATATTTTATTAAAAGTTGGTCGGTCGCCCGGTTCACAGTGCCAGCATGAGAACATTAAATCATAGCTGAAAAGATATTGCAACATGGTCAAAATGTTAGTAATCAGAATCGTAGTAAGAATACTTGAATCTTACATTTGCTGGCTGCAATTGGGCGGTTTTGACATGCGATTTCCAGACTTCAAGTAATCAATTAGGTAATCGTTTGGAACTGTTGGATATGGTGTTCGACCTAATGTAACGATTTCATACAGCAGAATGCCATATGACCATACATCACTTTGGCTGGTGTACTTATTATCAATCACCGATTCTAATGCATGCCATTTGATTGGAATTCGACCCTGACTAGACTTCATATAGATTTTATTAACGTAAATATCTCGGCTCAAACTGAAAAAAAAAAAAATCAAGAGAATCATGTCATTTCTAATATATAGAGAGAAGATTAAATTCATTGATTAAACGGTTGATAATCACCCGAAATCTGCAATTTTTACCGTTTTGTCACTACAGACAAGCACATTACGAGCAGCCAGATCACGATGAACGATCTTGTTGTTTGCGAGAAATTCCTGATTTTCATTTTAAAAAAATCTCACACTAAATCAACGAATCATGGTCAATTTCAAGAATATTAATAAAAAAATTTACCATGCCATTTGCAATTTGTTTAGCAAACATCAATAGATCTCTTCCGGTTATATAAGAAATCGGTTCGCTTAGTCTATTTTGATCTATTTTCGATGATTTCATTTCCATGCTGCCCATGAGACCATTTTCCGCTGACAACACAAGTTCATATGCTTGATTATCAGCAAAAACCAACACTTCCGAATCATAAAGAATTGTTCCCGTTTCAATTTTTCGATCCAGATTTTTTGGTTTCTGCATACATTTGCGGCTATGAACTAATTCATTGGGGTTTGCATTGTTACATTCATTCAATTTGGATGCAATTATGTTTTCATTTTCATATAGAATTTTTGAACGTTCCTTTTTATAGTTTGGATCATTCATTGTATCCTCGTCGTATAATCGGTTGGAAATTATGTTCGTTTCCGCCAACATTTTTTGTGGAGTTTTCGAATCAACGATTGACAACGAAAGTGATTTGTCTTTGAGCGTAAATTTATCAACCAACTTGGAATCAAAGTTGAAAATATTTTCAGTTGATTTTTCGAACGATGAAAGTGTTATAACATTTGTCTGGTCAGTATAAAATTCTGGCGAAAATGATGCACGAAATTTTCTAACAATAAAATAATATTTTCTTATATTTAAAAAAAAAAACGGTACTTTTGATTTCTAGAAAACACTCACCGTAGATAATCCAGCAAATTTCCTTCATGGCAATACTCTGTGAGCAACATAATATTGTTCAATTTGGTGCAATGGCCAACAATTCCAACGATATTCTCATGTTGTCCAACTGATTTCATTAAACCAATTTCATTCAGAAATCCCAAGATATTATCGATACAAGCATCCTCTGTAAATCGAAAATCAGATTTATTTCATCAAATTCTATCGTTCGTTGAGACACTTTTTATCTCATACTTTTCAACATTTTTACAGCAATATCCTTGTCTTTCAAAACTCCTCTTTTCACAATTCCAAATTCTCCCTTGCCCAACTCTTCATATAGTACTACATCTGCTGCATCAATTTCCAATTCATCTTCGTTATGCGATTTTAATATTATTTGCAATTCCCTTTCTTTCGAATCAATTTCCTTTCTATGTCGCAACTGATTTTGTCGATATCGTATCACAAAGAAAATAAAGGAGCCACCCAATAATGTCAAAATTGGTAATAAAATCCCAATTACTTTAAGTGTTTGATTGTATTCATCTGGAAACAGACAAAGTTCAGAAAATTCAAAGGGACAATAGCTGAAACACTTCTCTTTTATCGAAGGGATTAATAAAAAGGAGGTTAAACTTTTTGCCAACATATTATATATTAAAATTACCCACCGAAGAAAGACTTTTTTGGCAAGTTAAAATTGGCTTCGTTTATTCTTTGATTGTTTAATGAAAACGCAATAATCGTCACATCATAACCGGGATCAGAAATGTTAACTTCAGGAAAAAAGGCAAAATTTGTGGTCTAAAAAGTGTATTATTCAATATTAATCGATATTTTTCATTTAAATTTCAAGTGAGAGAACATACACCATTTATATCCTGTGATATATGATCACCAATGGTTCTTAGATTTAATGATACATTGTAATTGACCGGGTGTTTTTCTGGTAAATTCCATGTAATATTTATGTTATATAAATCGTTTCCAATCAACTCTGACGTCGAACTGATGTTCGCCAATGGAACCGGAGCTATTAAAATGTTACCAACATTTATTCATTTAATTGAATAATTCATCAGAGATTATATGATTTTCTCTTACGACACATTTCCGATAAATTTCCATGCCTTTCATAACAAGTTGGTGTAGTAAAGTTAAAAACGCAATGGCCTCCTTCATTTGAATTATTTTTCATATTGGAGCCGAAAATTTCAAATGTATAATTCGTTCCATACGACACATTTCTTTTGATTTCATTCAGTTCGCTTTGCTGTGATTAGAATTATTTTAAAATTATTCATTGTTGTTACTCATGTAAACGTTTGTAAATAACCTTCAAATGTTGTAAACCAGATGGTTCAATATCATCAAAAACACTTATGTCTCTCTTTAAAAGACTGTATTCGTAGTAGCAGGTCATATCTGTGCAAAAAATTATCGATAAAATGATATGGAACCATTGTTTGCCGGTTGAAATATATAAATAAATAGAGCACCTTCAGTACGTTCCCATGAAATTATTACTTTCAATGGATGCTTTAAATCGTTTGAAATATTGTAATTCAATTTGATGGTTTCATTTGATATTTTCTTTGGTGTGTATCCATTTGACAATGTTTTGAACAACACCATGGGCAAATGGCGATAATTTAAATTACCATCAAAAATACTAGCTGTTACATTGTAGACTGTATTTTCCTGTAAGTTTTCCACTTGCACAATTGGTGAGTCGGCCTATCAAGGAAGTTTTAATTTCAAATTAATACTCATTTAAGGAGTGATCCGAGAAGGCTTGTCGTCCGATAATTCTTGACCCGAGTATTATGTAAATCTCTATTACTTACAATGTAAATTATGCGTTGGGCATTCACATTTTCTTGTACTTTGTACAAAAATAACGATCCTTGGTACTGCCGTTGGTCTGGATTTGTTTCAATCGTTTTTTGAATCATTTTGCCATACACTTCAATTGTCAGTGAATCATCGTCTCGGCATTTTAAACGAATTATTTCATCTACATTGCTTTTTAGATTTTTCAATGCCATTTCATTGGACATTTTACATTGTTCGTAACAGTTAGATAGAGCCTGAAAGAAGCATATTGTTTTTTTTTTTTTTTTTCAAAATAGAGCAGCCAGATAACTTTAAAGAAAAATATACTGCGTTGTGTTAAAAATATGCATAAAGTGCACACTTCAACTGCATGCGCATTTTTAACGTAACGCTTTCAATTTTTCTGATAATTCCATCATCGTTGAAAAAATGTGTGGCGGTCTGCCCTGTTTTTAAATATTCATATGAGAATCTTTTATGTTCCAAAGGAGAGTAAATCTGGAAAATTATTGTGGAATATTTACCGCCGTTTGATTCCTGTCCATACATATAGCTGTGCAACTGACTTCAGTGTTCAGTAATGTATCATTTCGTGATGATTCCAAAGATAAGTTGTGGCAAGCAATGATATCAAACAACAACGCAGTACAAAATAATTGCACTAGTTGAAGAATAACTGTATGCATTATTGCACCTTCGTCTTCTTTTTCTTTAATTTTTCTTCGGAATATATGACTTTCAACTCCTATAATCAAATTTAAACTGAATCAATTCAATCAAAAATCTCCCTTGTTTTCATCAAATATTCGTTTATCGGGGTTAGCAAATATCCTTTGTCAAAAGCTTCTAAAATAATAACACGTGACATGTATTTTTTTTTTTACAAACAACATCAACAAACCTTTACCCACATCAATCTTACATTAGACCAAAAGGTTTTACATATTATCATATAACATCTATTTTTCAATATTTGGATTTTCACGTGATATTTTTTCCACATGCATATCACACCACTTCAAACATTGAAAAGTATTTTCACATTTGATAACCTCTCAACTTTCAAATTTGATAACTGATATTTGCTTACTTGTATAAAAAAAAATGGAAAGAGTGTAACCCATAGATTCTGAGGTGGGGGGACCAGAGTACAAAAAAAGGTTAGTACAAAAGTGAAAATTGAAGACCTTTCCTTAGCTTTTCACCTTTTTCGAAAGCAAATTTACACTGGATAGAATAGACTTTAAACCCTTCAAAATTTTCGAAAATTTTTAAATCCAATCCCTCCCTCTAAGTCTCTAACTCTAGGATCTATGGAGCAACCTCATCTATTCATAGGATTACATAGGAATGGGTTTGAATTTAAATGACTTGTAATTCCGTTGAAAATAAAAAGGCATCATGTTTTTTTTTAACATAGAGTCATTTTACAATCTATAAGTGAAAAAAGATTTTTCAATGATTTTTTTTCCAATTTTTCAAGTTACTTAAATCCAACCCCATTCATATTTATTCGTGCCGAAAATGAAAAGATATGTCAAGACGCAATAGTGTTTACGTTACACATTGTGACAAGGGTGCTTCTGTTGTGAAATGATAATCTTGATATTATAACCAATATAATAATTTCATCTAATTGAAGTCTTATTTAGAGAAAACTGCAAACAAAAGCTGTTAGTCTTCTTATTTCAATATAAAATACACTTAAGTCTAAAAATTCACTTAAATACACTTAAATTTTTTTTTTTTTTTTTTTTTTTTTGTTTAGAGTTTATTTTAACCAAAAAACTATTTACAAAAGGTCTTATAATTTAACTAATACATAATTAGGATTTCGTTTAGTGAGGCAGTTTGAAGCCTCTTATCTAAATGCTATTGTAGAATTAGTCTCGTCAATGATATAATTAGAATGAATTGTTTTGTAAAGTTGGGAAAATATGAAAAAAAACCCAATATTGCTATTACCCAAGGAGGTATAAAAGGAGAGAAAAAAAGTTATTGATTTAGATTATAAATCAATCTGTTACGATTGTTTTTGCCAACATGAAATTCAGTTAGCCTGTTCAAATTGTCAAAAAGTAAGTCTTCATCGGATTTATGCAGTAGATGCGCGCTGTTATAGTATTTTTGTTCCCTAAATGGTTCGATAATTCCCCTGATAAATTCGTTTATATGGTTTTTACATTTTTCCAGAAATTTAATAGTAATTTTTGCAAGTTGAACATCAATTCTAAGAATTTCAGCTCTTTCATATAATTGAGTGTTGTTTGTAAATTTAAAAGATCCCCGATTTCTGTACGTATTCGAAGTATGTCGGATGATTTTTTGCTCTAATTTTCGTATTCTTTCAATTTGTGATGAAGACGTGGTTGTATTGTTTAGCCATATCGGTGAACCATATTGCATTATTGGTCTTATATATTGTTTATAGAGTATTGATTTAAATTTTGGGTCGATAAATTTAGAACGTATTAGGTTGCCAATGCTAGAGTAGGCAATGTTTGTTTTTTTAATTATGTTGTCAATATTTCGATTAAACTGATAATTAAAGCTAAAAGTTATTCCCAAATATTTGATTTGCTTTTTTCTTTCTATCACAGTGTTTGCAATTTTAAAACTGAGATCGTTTAACTTGATTTTTATCGTTCTACTAATATCACTTGTACTGCCGACTATATGCAGTAATTCCGATTTGTTTTGATTTAATTTTAGTTTCCAATTGTTGTAGTAAAAGTGTAAACATTTAAGATATTCATTGAATGTTTTACAACAGCTGATGGGTGCACGGTGACATATGTAGAGTATGATGTCATCAGCGAATTGTAGTTTTTTAACCCTGGAATTATTTGGAATATCGGAAAGAAATAAATTAAATAGCTTAGGACTAATGACGCTTCCCTGTGGTGTCCCGCTTTTCACCATTTTTTTGCTTGATGTGTTAAAACCCCGCTTGACACGAAAAGTTCGATTTTTGAGAAAGGATTGGATTAATTTAATTAAATGCATGTTTATTTTGAATTTTAATAATTTATGCATTAGGCCATCGTGCCAGACCGTATCAAAAGCACTCTGAATGTCCAGTGTGATTAGAGTTGTCATTTTTTGTTCATTTAGTCCATTGGTTATTTCATTGTTTAATTTGGCGAGCGGATGATATGTAGATCTTCCATTTCTAAAGCCAAATTGATAGTTTGGTAAAATTTTCTCCATGATTGGCGTTAATCTGAGATCGATGATTTTTTCCAGAATTTTGGATAATGCATTTAATAAAGAGATTGGGCGCCAGTTTGACAGGAGAGCGTTGTCTTTGTTCATTTTTGGTATTGGAATGACCATTGCTTCTTTCCAGTCATTTGGAAAGTGATAATTGGCAAGAATGTGGTTAAAGAAAATAGTAAGTAGTAGAATGATGCGCATGTCAAAGAATTTTATAATGTAGATCGGCATGTCATCTCTTCCGGAGGATTTTTTATTGTTACTGTCTGCAATAATTTTTGATACCTCCTCGCCACAAGTGAGAATATTTTTGCCCGAGTCAGGTAACGTTTTGTTTAATTCATTTAATTCCTCAATTGTGGCAATGTTAGCGGAAATAATATCGTTGAATGTGATTTTTCCGTTATAGTTATTTATAGAAATCATGCTCTTTTCAACGAATGTAGAAAACATGGAGTTTTGATTTGTGGTTAATGTGTGATTTTTCTCAAAAAGATTAGCAAACTCTTCGCAAATTTGAGTGGAAGAGGTTATTGCCCTCGTTTTGTCGTTGTCAAGAAACACTTTTGAGATTTCAGTGGTTTTCTTTTTATGTTTAGAAAGACGTCGAACCGCCTCGAAAACATTTAGATTTGAGTTGATGTTTAGTAGATAATTTTTGTAGAATATGTTTATGTCATTTTTGAGTGAGTTTATGTACATATTTTTGATTAGATTGAATAGAGTATTTATGGCGCTGTTTGGGCAGAAACGGTTTCTGTATTTTTTTCTTGATATTTTTTTGTATTGTTTGTTTAGTACTTTTGTTTGTTTTGAGAGGATAATATTTCCAGTGGGAATTTGTATTTGCGGTATGAATTTTTCAGAGGCTTCGATAAAGATTGAATCGATGGTTTTTGCGATTTGGTCAATGTCATTGTTGGATAAATTTTGATTTGTAGGGATATTGAGTGAATCCAATTTATTGAATATGAACTCATTTAGTTTTTTAATGTTGGTCATATTATATTGTTTTACAGTTCGTAGCGGTTTGTCCGGGTCAGTGGTATTGTAAAAGAAATCAAAAGATATTGCATTGTGGTCCGAAAAGGATGGAAATGTTTTACATTTTGCGAATCGATCGATATTCGTTGATAAGAAGAAGTCAATGAAGCTGCCGCCTTGACTTCTGAAACAAGTTGGTGAGTCGGGCGCGTGAATATTGAAATTTGAGTTTTTAATGAAATGTTCGACGCAATTGCCGTATACGTTTGCAGAGGTGTCTCCCCAATAGGGCGAACGAGCGTTAAAATCGCCCCCGAAAATTCCCCTGTGTTTTGGATCTAAAATATCCTGAAAGTCTTTTATGGATAATGTGTAAGAATCATTTTGTTTTTTTAGATTTGGTGGGATATAAATCGATCCAACTTGTATCCATTCACCGTTCAAGAAAACCTCCATTATAATTGCTTCGATTGGGAAGCTGTATGAAAGTATGTTGCGGAACTTTATGTCGCTTCTTAGAAGTAACGCGACTCCGCCCCATTCATTTGTTTGTCTGTCTTTTCGAAAAATGTTGAAATTTTTTAAATTAAAATTAATGTCGGGTTTTAAATTTGTTTCGGAAAGCATGATGATTCCTGCATTTTTGCAGTAATCTTTGACGAATTGTTCAAATAAAATCCTTCGATTTAAGGATCTCAGAGATTGGACGTTCAGAGCGATTATCTCGGCGTATTTGAAATGAATTTGGCCATGGTTCCGGAGAGTCTATCGAATAAATGAACCATTTGTTCCTGGAATTTCGATTGATTTAGCATCATTCTGTCGAACTTTTCATCGAGTGACAAACTGGGTTTAACACTTACATTAATATTAGACGATTTGTTTGTTTTCATAGTAGGTGTTCCACTGGACATTGCGTTGTTGCTGTGTGTGTTGTTTTGTGTTCCAGACGTTGATGCAATTTGCTGATTCTGTTTGTTCGTTTGTGTTGGTTTTGCCGATGGATTCGGACGGAATGTTTGTTTTGTTTGAGCCGGTTGTTTTGGTTGGATTGTTTGATTTAATTTTTGTCCGGCTTTCTTCTTATTCAAAATCGGAAGAATTTTTTCGTTGAAAAATTGACATTCTTTGTGATTGTTTGCTGAGTGAGCACCATTGCAGTTTACACATCGAATTGGTAAATCTGGGTTGGCATTTTTTGGACACTTTCCAATTTCATGGCTTTCGTTACATTTTACACATTTGAATGCGTGATGACAAGAGCTTGCTGTGTGGAAATAACCCTGACAACGTTTGCACTGAATTACTTTGCTGCCTTTCATCTTTTCGAATTTGACTTGCAAGCCGTATAATGCATCGATTTCGCTCATGATTTTTTCATCGAATGAATGTGGCACTACAATTCGAAATAGAGTGTTGTGTTTGATATTCGGGTTGGCTTTATGGAAACCGGTGATGTGTTGAGTTACAGTTGTCTCCTGAGGGAAACCTGCGTCCAATAGTGTCTCGTATATTGCATCGATGTTCTGGAATTCATTCAGTCCACGTAGGATGAAACATTTACTTCGTTCTTCTTTGCTTTTGAATGTGTGAAATTCGTATCCTTTTTCAGCTAATATTTTAGTGATTTTTTGACCCGTTTCAATGTCGACGGGCTGAATACGTACCGCTTGGTTTGCGCGCATGTGGTTTGCAATAAATTTACCCTGGCCAAGTTGTCGTGTTAATGTACTGTGCAGGGCAAGATAGCCGTCTTTTCCTGCTTCGACTTGGATTGGTGCTGGTTTTGTGTTTTTGGTTTCGTTAGTGTTGTTTTTTTTGTTTGTGTTGTTTTGGTTTTGCTTTGGTTTTTTATAGCTGACTGATTTAAATCCTTCGTCGATGTTGTTAGCAACTGGAACAGATGAAGTTTCATTTGTGTCATTGCTTGGTGGTGTTGGTTGAACACTTGCGTTTGTGTTGACAACGGTGTTGTGCGATTCTGCATTCTCATCGCCATTGAGGTTATGTTCAACCCGGTCGACTTGCATTTCGTTGTTGGGATTTTCGCTCGAATTATTAGTTGATTCTTGATCCGTGGACCAGTTTAGTGGCTTTTGTTTTTTTTCAAAACTTGAAAGAAAGAAATCGCCGCTTCTTTTCGTTGGTGTGTGGGGTTTTGATTGGAATTCCGTCGGTGTTGCAATTTTTTGCAATAACTGGTTTTTCAAATCAACGATTTCGCATGTAAGTAGCGTTAATTGCTCTGCTAATTTTCCATTTGATTGGATTAATTCTGAATTTTGATTTTTAATTTCATCAAATTCTGATTTAGTATTATTTAAACTCGTTGTGAGATTTTCAATTTGTGTTTTGAGAAGTGAATTCTCTTTCATGAGTTCAAGATATTGCTCGTGTGTAGTCATTGTACGTGTTGATCGTTTGACGTTTCACACGGAACTGTTAAATACACTTAAATAGATCGAATAGGTTTTTAAAAAATGTATGGTAGAATATTCGAATATATAGTGATTTCCAAAATCGAGCGTATGGATAAATAGTCTACAAAGGCCATGGCATTTTTAACATTGTTTATTAAGTTGATTCGCGCGCAAAATCAAAGTGCTAATAAATATGGTGATTGCTATTAAAATATTCGTCTACAATGAACGATTTTTAATGTCGTTTGATTTTCAATTGTTGCATGTGTTCTCTCCTATACATCAGCATCATGCGCCCAGAAATGTTTATTATAATTTTAAATAGGCACGTTTTTTCTTTCATTTCTTCAATTATTCATTTGTAGCAGAAAAAAAAATCATGTATATTTAATATCTTGTATATGTTATGATAAAAACATCTAATTTCAAGGATTTTTTTTTAGATCTATTCTTCACGTTTAAAATCAATGGCTCCTCAGCATAAGTCCAAATCAAAATACCATAAAGTAAAGTAAGTAGCTTGGAACTTTCTTATAAAATATCTTCTCACGAATTTCATATTTGGCTTTAGATTCCGTTCATCAATTGAGAGCCAATTGAAAAATTAAATATATTAATTTAAAAAAAAAAGGTCTTTCACAAGAAATTCATGTGATTAAAAATTGCAACTTAAATTAAAACTCACAGATATAAAAAAGATAGCAAAAATATAAAATTTAATAAATTTTCAAAAGCAAACGAGACACTAAAAACAAAACACTACACCCATTCAATCGTTCAATATAAGACTGCCGAAGCTGTGAAGCGATAACCATGGTTTTTGCGTGCTTTTTGAACGGAGTCAATCAAAAATCAATGTATTCCACACATACAGATAACATGATAAGCTTCGCCAACCGTCCTTATTTGTGATGTTAAATGTGACAGAGACGCTGGACGATAACCTCAGCCCATCTTGATATTCAATATGCACCAAATAACGGTACGGCTTAATTTGAAACTTTGGCGTTCTGCTAATTTTGATGCTGAATTATTTTAAATCAATAAAATTGGTAACTGTACAGTGTACACTTTTTTTGCATTGTGTAAATTGCAAATAAAACAATAATATTTCAATAACCATTGCAAATATCATGAAAAGATTTTTTTCTCTAAAATTGTTCATTATTCAAATTATAAGTTGAATATCCTCAACAAAAAAAATTTGAAATAAAGCTAAAATGTTACTGTTTCAAATAAAAAAAAGACATTTGTTTTTCCATACTACGCTGGAGTAAAATGATTTCCATACAGTACTAGATTATATACTGTTTTGTTTTGATTCCGTGAATGTATCGACAGCATTCAAACATTTTGATTTATCATGAGATATTCAACCGAAAAAAAACTTTTTAAGAAAACAATATGCGTTGTTGAATAATATTAATTGCGAGTCAGACTCATCAACGGGCAGTTCAAAATAAGAAAATAATTTCATTTTTCAATGTTCAAAGGAACCAAAATAAGTTAATTAAAAGAGTGATGGTTATGTTTCGTTGGCTCAGCTCTCCTCGTGATTATATATGTCTGTGAATTGAAATTGAAAATGCATAGCAATCAATTATTGTGCATATACACAAATGCAAACATTATAAAAAGTATTTAAATTGTTTATATAGTTATTAATTATAACGAATGAATCACGTTTGTCTCTACACCAATTGATGTAAATATTTGTATTCATCTATTACGACACAAATTTGGCTTAAAAAGAATCTCAACATCAGCATTTTTTTCATTTCTTTTTGAGACACGAAATGTAGATATAAATTCGAAGTGTTGATAATAATTCAGTCGTATTTTATTTTGAGTAAAGCAAGTTGATAAAAATTATAAGAATAATATTGTGTAGCTCATAAAAATGTACAAACAAAATGAATTCTATGGTATATATGGCAGACTACCGGTGTACGTGCGGTTATAATTGGACTTCAAATACTTGGAAGGCGGACCAACAGAGCTGTTGCCCCTTTTGTCGCAGACGCAACTCTCCATACCGGGTAAGTTATTTAATAACTGAAAAAAGTATTTATTACTATGTATTCCAAAATTATATTTAATGAATTGAAGAAGTCTAATTTGATTGAGTAGATTGTTTATAATTTTCATTTAGGTGGACTACAGAAATTGTCTGATGAGGAAATAATTTCCAAAAATCAAATTCATTCTTTCACTTATTTTTGGATCTGAACCGCTCACTCATCTTAATGCATGCCGGCAAATTTTCATCAGATTTCAAAGTCGTAATTAGAGTGGGAATGAGATTCTATTATCTATTATACCAAAATGCCAAACAGTGTGACAAAGATAAAATGATAAATTTAAAGTTATTTCTAAGTTTTTCAATAGATTTTTAACCATTGATCACATCTGCAACATTACGCAATTTCAAAAAAGACAATTCAAAAGAACACACCTGTCGAAATATGTCGAAAACAAGCATAAATAAACTATTTACAATCCCGCTTTATTAAATCATTGACGGAAAATTGGGTGCATTTAAAAAAAAACTACAAATAAGAGTGACTTTCTTGCGATACGCAGTTTTTTTTAAATTTCGTGCTTCATGCGATGCTTTTGCAGTAGTGTGTCGATGTGGTACTAGATTACGATAAGTAAACTGTCAACCCGGTGTCAATGTAAACTACGTGTCATAAGCGTTCTGGAAATTAGAAGATATATACACAATTAATCGGCATTTACCCGTGTTTCCATCAAAAATCAAGTGAGTTTTCTTCTTGATTTCTGTATTTTTCAGAGATTTTATTGAACTAATTTGTGAATTATTGTTACAGCATGATCACCGACATTCAATTGGCAATTTTCTCAAATGTTTTGGGAGTATTCCTGTTTCTCTTGGTCGTCGCTTATCATTACATTAACGCAAACATTGGACGGTAAATTTTTTTTAAACATATTTCACAGTTCGTTTGATGATCAACGCCAACTAATGACTCGTCATTACCATTTTGTTTCGTTTCAGACCCACCAGCATTCAAAACAAACACAAATAATTCCAACACTCTCTTATGGATTTAGTTCTAAAAATGCTTGTGCAAAACAATTTAAGATTTTCAAAATAAATAAGTGAATACTGTGTGTGCGCCACCAATAAAAAACAAAATTTTGTTTTTCTTCAAAAAAAGTACCCAACGCGTGAAAAAGTAATTAAGCTTTCACATCTCTAGTTCTATTCTCTATTTTTATCTTCATCCTTCAAGTTTTTCAGTCTGTAGATCACCAATAAACCCTTGATATTTCTAAATTGTGATAAAGATTGCCATCCATTGAACTCCAAAATTTAATTTGGCGTCTTTGCGTATACCATTAAACCCTTACCATTGAAGACATACAGACAAAACACTAGCAATATTCTTATACAACGCAGTGTCAAAACTTGGTTTATACTTCACCAAAAATGTTTATATTTCATCTAAATTGTGTTCGTCGAATCTTTCGTTTTGGATAAAAGATTTTTTGTGTTTGGTCAAGCCTTATGATTTTTATTAACATCTTTTATTTGAAAATACAATAATTTTTAACATAAAAACTGTGTGATGAAGGAGAAAATTGATTGATTGGTGGCGATGATAGATTCGTTTGAAAAAATAAAATGTCATCATTAAAGATTCTAATCTAAATTCGGCGTCGTTATGATGATTTAATTATTCAGGTCACTCTTAAACCCAATACGTTTCTTCTAAGATATGATATTGTCATAATCTTCTTGATGTAGTTTAGAATTGACTTGGGCAATTACTCTTGGCGATTTCTTTACTGGAGCTAAAATATTCAAAACATGTTCCGCATTATATCGAATATGTTTATGGCTTATCTACTTACCTCTTATTAATATCCATATTATCAATGGAGATCATTCCATCATTATCGAACTGAAAAATGAACCAATCGATCTTACGACGTAGTTCGCTGAATGTAGGCCGATCAGCCGATGATCCATGCCAACAAGAGAACATCAATCCGTAACTGAAGCGAGATTAGATCAATAAATTTAAAAATATTTATGCTACCATATTCAGTGCGCACTTACAATTTTGGGCTACAATTGTGTGGCTTTGACATGCGATTTCCCGATTGCAAGTATTCAATCAAGCAATCGACTGGAACAGCTGGATATGGTGTTCGACCTAATGTAACGATTTCATAGAGTAAAATACCATATGACCATACATCACTTTGGCTGGTGTACTTCTGTTCAGTCATCGATTCCAATGCAAGCCATTTAATTGGAAGTCGTCCTGCGCTCGATCTCATGTAAATATCGGTTATGTATATGTCGCGGCTCAAACTGTACACGAGAAAACGTGTTTTATCACGAAATTATGAAAAATACCACATTGAATGTCAATGATTTATTTCAATATCTTACCCAAAATCTGCGATCTTGACGCTTTTGTCAGTGCAGACTAGAACATTACGGGCAGCCAAGTCTCGATGGACAATTTTTTTGTTGGCCAAAAATTCCTGTCGACAATGTGATGAAAAAAAAAAAACTAAATAGGGAAAATGAATGGCAAATGGTTTGAGTGGTTAGCATACCATGCCAGTAGCAATTTGCTTGGCAAATACTAATAGATCTCTTCCTGTGAGATATGGCTGTTGATACTTGTAGTCAGATTCATTGTCGTCTGTTTTCACCGCATTAACTTCTACGTTATCTTCTTCGTTGTTATTATCACCGATTATCTTGTCGGCTTGATGCATAATATTTTCATACGGTGCAAAGAAGCCATAGGTTTGATTTTGAACGAAATTCTGCAGTGAATCACATGGCTCTGTAAATGCTTCTCGAAATTTCCTGAAACAAAACAAAAACAAAATTGCATTTCATCTATCTATTGAAACACATTGACAACAATATACTTTAAATAATTCAGCAAATTCCCTTCACAGCAATATTCCGTAAGTAACATCATTTTGTCGTATGTTTTTGTGGAATGACCCAAAATTCCCAGAATGTTCTCATGTTGTCCTACCGATTTCATGAGCGCTATTTCGCTCAGAAAACCTTTGACATCTTCAACACATGCATTCTCTGTAAATCAATAGCTATGATATTATTTTTCGAATCGTTCGATTTTTCAATTGTTTACCTTTCAACATTTTCACGGCAATCGCAATGTTGGCTGGCTTTAAAACTGCTCGTCGTACGACACCAAATTCTCCCTCGCCAAGAACTTCTTTTAATTCAATATTCTTCGGATCAATCTCCATTTCGTCGTTGTAATGTGAACGTAATATCTTTTGCATATGAATATCTTTGTCCATTGGAAAAAGTTGCCTTTTATGTTTTAATCGATTGCGTTGATTATGAATTACAGCGATAATTGACAATATACTCAATACAAGTATAAACGGTGTAAGTATGCATAATGCGATGAACTTGTACTTGACGTTTGAAGGAAGAGCACTTCTTCTCAAACTGAATTCAACGATGTCATTTTCGGTGATACCTCCCATTGAATATGCAATAATCTGCACATCATACACCACATCCAATGTATTTACATCGGAAAAATATGCATAATTTTGCAAACCAGACACATTTTGCCATAGGCAGTTGCCTTTATTTGAAAATAGATTCAGTGATACCTGATAGTAGTCGGGCAAATGTGTCGGTATATCCCATGTTATATTTATATTATAGAGGTTCGTTTGAATTTTATCGTAGCTGGAGGTAATATTTGACAGTGGTGGTGGTCGACATTTTTCCATATTGAATCCATGAAATTCCCAACATGTTGGCGTTATAAACTCAAATGAGCATCGTTCGCCGACAATCATTGGATATCTGCCATTTACACCGTACATTTCTAGAATGTATTCCGTTTCGAATTTGAGATCGTCTTTCTTCAGATTGTAAAGATCGATCGCTTTCACTACATTTTCGTCGTATGGAATCAAGTAATTGTCTTCACGTGTTGCATATAAATGAACGTAATAATTGCAAATCATATCGGTGGGCGGTTCCCATCTTATTATCGACGTCAATTCCCCATGTTGCAAGTCATAATTCAATTTGAACGTATTATTCGATATCGTGCCCGGAATATAGTATTCATCGTTCAGCGTTTTGAAAAATGCCACTGCCTCAAAATGCCGATATTCAAAATGTCCATTGAAATTGCTTGCCGTCACGGAATAATTGGTATTTTTTCGCAAATTTTCTACTTTTACGATTGAAGAGTCGGTCTGCCATTTAAAAAAATTGAATTTTGATACATCAATACAGTGATTAAAATGAAATGTGAAACCATTTATATGAACTTACAATGTAAACGATTTGATCTGTCTTTTGGTCAACAATACTTCGAATGTGAATCAAATATATCGATACCGAATGCTGATTTTGCTTTTCATCGTTGGATGTGGCCATATTTATGCTCATTGCCATTATGAACGAATCAACCTCGCGACATATCAGTCGAATGGTCCCATTGGCATGATTTTGTTTCAACGGAATTTGGTCAGATGTTGTACGACAACTCGCGAAACAGTATGATAATGTCTTTGAAAAATAAAAATCGTCTTATTAATTTGGCTTCGGATTTTTTTTCTATTTCTTACCGCTGTCAAATTGTTCTGCTGCAAACAGTTTGCCGTGCAGCCGGCGCTGTATTCTAGCACATCATCGTCAAATGATTCTTTCAACAATAAACTATCGGATCTGACGTAACTAAATAATATTAGAATTCCAAATAATTTGACCGATTTCATTGCGGTTGGTTGTTTTTTTTTTTGTCACAACACTTTTGTTATACCGCTACTACTTTTCAAAAAAAAAAAACTATAGTCGGTAATAAATAAAGAAAAAAGACATGTTTTTCAATCAAATAACATGTAAAAACTTAAAAAAAGGATAAAAAACGAAATTGAATACATATAAAACGAAACAATTTGCGGTGCGGAACAAGCACCATTCAACAAGAAACACAAGCTATGAGTGATGAAACACCACTTATGCACGAGCACATTGAGTGCCATAGAGGCGGCATGAAAAAACAACGGTATTTACGGTGCATTTGTGTAAGAATTCACATTCGTGTACCTGTGTCAATTCACAAAACAAATTTGCACTGGGAAAAACCCATCATTAGGCATCTACTAATGACCAATAAATTTTTTAACAAAAATTATTTGGTTTGAAGGAAGGAAAACTCTAATCTGTTATTCTGTGCATGATTTTTCATTGTTTACAACATAATCTATTGGAAGAACAATACAAAAAATCTTCATGTTATTGTTGTTGATGTTTTTTTCAATACTAATAGTCAGTAAGCTGTAAATTTTTTGATAACACTTAGACATGATACATATTTTTGAATTATAGGATTTCCATTTTTGCTTATCTCTTATAAATTGAAATTCGTCATTAAGCAAATAACTATCTCTTGAGACAATGTAAATGAAAACAAAATTCTTTATGCGTCCAACGATGATTTTATTCCAGACTTTTATTACATTTTTCTGATATTTTCAACCTGTATCTCGGCTGACGTCAGCTGCGTTTCATTTAAAAGATGTCTCATTTTTGTGATTTAATTCGACCATTTGTTTGGTCGTCAAAATGAGCAATTCATACGGCAAATAAAATGTGCAAATAAGTTGGTATATATTTTTCAATTGTTTATTACATTAATATATTCTCGATCTTTGACATTTTTTGTCTTTCAACATTGTTAAATAGATCGATAAAATGAACTCTTTAAAAGATTTTGTTACAATTTCCTTATATCTATGCATCATCATTGGTTCGGGCTAATGGATCATCACGATCAATTGGGGGTGGTGAGGTCAAAACTTCAACATTTTTGCTTGGGCCTTGCGTCAAATAGCCCGCAGTCGGTGCAACACCTATAAATATACCATTGTTGAAAAATCACACTCAAGTGGCGTTTTTAAAAGTGATTTTACCTGTCAAATATCCGCGAACATTTGTATCTGTAATAAATAAATCATGCTTTTGATCGCGAAATTCGGCCCAAATGTGATTTGAGTTGAGCAGCTGAGATACTTTATCACCATAGCTTAAATTGTGTGTCATTGCTTTTAATGCCGATACAATTTGGGCTTTAACCTAATTCAGTGCAAAATTAGAAGAAAAAAAACATACGATCAGTTCCACCAGTTTCACTTTTAATGTAAAATAGTTTTGCTATATTTTACCATTGACGGGCTATCTGTAAACTCTAGTCTACTGTCAAGGATTTTCAGTAAATACGGAATTAAATTACAATCTAAAGATTGTCGAATAAGTGAGTCCTGTGAGAGAATAAAGGTTATAGGATTGTTTTAATTTTGTATAGAATATCACGTGAACAAAAATATTTAATGGAATGTGAATAGTTACGTGTTGGCATTTGAATAAACGACTAAGCGTTTCGCATGTGGTGGCTTGCAATTCCTTGTTGTTTTCCATGCACTTTTTAAGCGAACTAATGCACTCAGTCTGCGATATGGCTTGTACACATACCTTAATTAAAAATATAAGTCAAGTGATTTAAAAAAAAAAATCGTCAAAATATACGAAGAATTTTTGATTTTACCTCAGACAGCGACAATTGATGAAGAACTTTTAAGGCGCATTTCGGTTGAATCGATAACTGTGTAAAGAACTTGGGTATGTGACCAAGCACTGGTACGGCATCAGCTAAATTTGGTTGAGCATGAAGCAGAGCAACTAAGGCATTCGTTGATACTTCAAGTGCATCCTTTTCTTTCGGTGTTGCCGTTCGATTGATATTTAAACTAACAAAATCCAATAAATCGGACAAAAACTGTTTCGGTTTACGTAGTGTCCAACATGGATTGCTAATAAAAAGTTTCAAATAAACACCAGAGACCACAAGTTCATCGGTTATTATATCCTTGAGTATGTCTGGATCTTTCCATAGATGTTTTGGATTGGCGATTTGTTGTTTGCAAAAGTTATTGCTGTAATTTAATACTGATTCAATGACACTGTCTCGTGTTTTATCATTCCATATCAATTCTGGATGTTCGTGAATTGATTCAAACATTTGAACAGCAATTTGTGGATTTTCAATCATTGCATCCAAAAATACGCCCGGCAAGAATTTGCATACAGTTATACGAATCTATGTGGATGATAAATAAAGACAAAGAAAATATTCAGTACATTTTTGATGAGTTTTTGTATATATATATGTGTGTATGTGTGTAAACAAACCTTTGGTCCACTCAGTTTGTCACTGGTCATTTTACCGAGCAATTCGGAGCAAAATTCCCGAATTTGTGGATTACGTGAACTACAGAATAAATCCAATAGATAAATGACAGCGCCTTTAGCTTGAGCCTCTTTGACCATTCGTTGAACATTTAATAGGCCAGATAGGGTTTCTAATACTTTCATTTGCATGGCCCTTAATTCGTCATCTTTGAGCACAATTAAGAATTTACCAAGAATTTCACAGGCCGATATGTCATTAACACATTCTTTGTTTCGTGAAACAAGCGATACAATTTCCAAGCCCAGCGTTTTGATCTCTTTTGCACGCGTACCAAAATTGGTTGATACCAAACCGAACAATATATCAAAGTGTCCAATGCATTGTAGTTCAACATTTGGATTTGATTTTATCACAGAAACTAATGCCTTCAATACGGATATAATATTGTACATTGGATCACCATTTACCGAATTAAAATCACACTTTGTTGATGTAGCATCTGATGCTGATTTTACCAGTTGATTACGAGCCTTTGATCGATTATATTCTGTTAACACATTGTTTACATTGTCTTGACTTCCGCTTTGTTTTTGCCGTTGCGGATGATTTGATGCTAGAGTTGGCATTAAAATTCCATCAACACTGCCCGTTCGGCTGCCAGCCGATTTATTTGATGATGTTAAATATGAATAGCCCTGTTTTAAAAATGCCAACAAATCGATAACAAACGATGCCGGATTGTTTATTGGAAACGTTGGCATTTCATTGTAAATGCGAATATATACTCCGCCGATTTGTAATTCATCTCTATGATTTGTGATGAGGAAAAAAATTCAAATGATTATTACAAACGCATATTTTGGTGAAAAGTAAAAAATTTATCAACATTTACCTGTGTGCATCAAATGAAAACTCTGACACAATGTTAACAATATCGGTAATATCTTCATATTGTTCTTTTGCACTATTTGTTCGTTGAAGCTCAAGAAAGTCTATCAATTGGGCTCTGGTTGCATTATCCCAAATGATATACGGATTACGAGTATTCGATGTGAGTACTTTTAATACCTCTGAATCGCTATGTGTTGCAAATTTATCGGTTATATATTTGGTGAGAAGTTGATCGACGATTTTTTTAACAAAAATATTGGTTGGACTGCCGTTTATGGTGTACTTTCGATTATTAGCGAAATTCTCTTTTTCCACATTGTTTTGTTCTGATTCGAATACTTCTTCGCCGTCGCTGATTTTTTCGCCCGGTGCTTTATTATTGTTCATTTGCAGTGCATGAATGGCATTGTTTTGTATCAAATTGGTTGCATTTGAGGTATATGGTGAGGTTGTTGATGGTGATGATTGTGCCGATTCTTTTACCGAACTACCACCAGACGCTGTACCCGTTGGTGTTACAGCTGTATTATAACGAATTGCCACATTCAATGGATCATTTTCGTTGAGAATCAATTTCAATTCATAGCCACATAACGCTACAATTGATAGGATCGACATTCGAGCCAAATTATTTGATGATTTTTGTTGATTTGTATTTTCTTCAGTAACGACACCACTTTCATCTAATGTATAGTCATAGCCAAAAAGGAACATCAATAATGACCATAATACTCCGTTTTTCACTAGATTCGATTGTAACTCCGAATTATTGGCAGCCAAACTTGTTACCAAACCAACTGACAACGTATGCTAATAAACACGAGATAGAAAATTGTTAATTTGACATATTGTCGTGATTATTATTGTAATCAGAGGCGAACGGAAATGCAAATTATGACTCACTTTGAAATAAACAACTCGACAAACGTCCGTGATAAGCTGTGGCAATTCAATGATTTTGGTTTTGCAATTTTCGAAATTACATGCCACTTCAAAGCATTTCGTTATATTCGAAATAATTTGATAATGCACTTCGGTTGGTTTTGAATCAATGCCCATTATAGAAACACATCGAGTGTATGCTTCCAACAGCGCCTGAAATGAATCGTATGAAATATGAATGAAAATCAATGCAAAAATTGCCTAAGATTATGTCTGCTTTGGAATACATTACCTCGATTCCATTCTCGCGTCTAAGTTCTTCGGCATTCAGCACCGAACAGTATACGGTGTGATAGCAAAGCTCTGATGCTGCCGTTAGCAATGGAACCTCTTTTGAGAATAGCTGTTCGTCTTTCGTTTCCATTCGAATTGTTTTGATCAATTGAGGGTATCCAGCATATTTATATGGTCTCAATTCTGTTTAAAGTGCGTCAAATAGAATAGAAACATAAATGATATCATTGATAATGACTAAATTTAAATTAAAAAAAAAAAACCACACTCACCATCCGCATATCGATCGAATAAGATGCTTTGTGTTTGAAGAATGAGCACAATATTGCTGGGATTTGGACCGTTGGTACCAAGAACCGATCTTGAACACAAAAATTCATAGGCAGCATTAACACATTCAAACATTTCACGTCCATTTGCATTCTTATCGGGATGATACAATTGAGCCAAACGGTAATAGCTTTTACGAACGAGCGTTTCATCAGGTCGTGGATGTTTTGCTAAGTCGATGCCAAGATTTTCGTACGCTTGTTGTACGGTCATCTGTGATGGTTTTTTCTCAACTTCTTTGCGCCATGCTTCCAATGTATGTTTTAATAGTGCAACTGGATCGGATATTGGCCAATTGGGGAATTTTTTCGTATCACATAAATGACGTAAATAAAATATGTGACAAAATAGTTCATTTTCAAGTTGTGGATAACTGATAACCGGTATGGCCAAATATGGATATCGTGCCATTGTATGGCCACGTAATTTCGGTGTAAAATCAGTTAAATGCGCCGATATTTTTTCGATGAGTAAACGTCTCATTTCCGAATTCCAAATCACTTCGGGCGTATCAAATTCGCCCAAAAATGTTTCGGCAAACTTTTCAGCGCTGTGATTTTCCAAAAAGCATACCATCGCCTCGGGTAGCAATTGACCTAATATACTTCGATGCATAATTTCGGATTGTTGAGCCGATTCTTCATTACGAAATGCTTGTTTCATGTGTGTCATTTTAAGAAAACGTGCAATCGGTAAAATATTACTGCCCGTGTACATGAGCATAAAATAAAATACACCGGTCAAGTGAACTTTTGGCATTTCCGGATTATCTTGCATAATTTGACACAAAAGCGTTGCAACCCGTTCCAATAGACCTGGATCATGTGTTAAACAAACTTGAACAATATGTGGCAAGCATACGAATTCCGAAAGTTTTCGCGATAATTTTGGTCCTGGAATTAAAACCGCTTTGCCATCACGTGCTCGACTCGGAAAGAAACTTGTACATTTTATCAAAATGTCTAAAATATGCGCAGCCAATTCGGTTTCGTCGTACAATGGCGTTCCCTTTGCCATTAAACACCATTTTAATTGTGGCAATTGTTGCAATGCTCGCCAACCATCCATACCAATTGCCCAGCATCTTGTTCGCGGTGAGATTATCTTTTGATTCCACAGCTCTTTCAACTGAATATAGAAATACCGTAAGTATATACAGGGTGTGCCAGTGAAACTGATATTTTTATATATGCTTAAAAAACGTATTGTTTTTTACAAAAATTGAACAAAAACTTTATTGAGATTTAGAATAGGGTCCAAAATTTTGAATTCATGTTTTGGTTTTGATTCCTCCTCCATTTGCACGGACCACCAAACGCAAACGTCGTAAAAACGATTAACACGCGGCGCGCACCATTTCGATGGGAATATCGTTCCAAATCTTGACGATTTTCTTTTTGAATGCATCCAATTTTGTGATTTTCTTAATCTTCAGATCATTTAGCTTCGATTGCATGTAGCCCCACACAAAATAATCCAATGGATTCAAGTCTGGAGACGATGGCGGCCACTCATCTTTGTCAATAAAATCAGGCACATTTTCTCTTAACCACTGTTGTACTTTGTTTGCTCGATGTGCCGGTGCTCCATCTTGCTGAAACACCCATGGCTCATCACCAAACACAGTTTCGGCATGTGGCAGAAAGTTTTTGCGCAATATTTCTTCTTCATACACAGCTGCGTTAATTTTAACGCCTTTGTCAACGAAAACAAGGGGAAATTTGTGGCCGGCCGAAACGGCACCCCAAACCATGACACTTGACACATTTTGAAATCTCGTACCTTTTTCACCAGATCTTTTGTTCGCACAGATCTTTTTTTGCCTGGTTTTCGCTTCACATCGACTGTTCCGCGTTCCTTGTATCGTTTTATGGTGCGATGAATAAATAAAAAATTGATTTTGTCGTTCTGAAGCCGCCGAAAAATATCAACTTGTCGCAAACCTTTTTTATGCAAATTCAAAACGAGTTGACGTTTGACATCCATTGTTGTTGCAAAGTAAACAAGAACGGCGCACTAATGTGCATCATCACAGTACATAGCCAAAACATGAATAAACATAACGGTAAACAAAAGAGTGATTGGAAAGCAATATAGTTGTAGCGACGTAGTTACGAAAAAAAATATCAGTTTCACTGGCACACCCTGTAGATAAAAAAAAAAAAGTGCACAAGGAACAAACCTCAGAAAATGTGACTGGTCCACAGCGTTCGGCTTTTTCATTTTCCTTTTCAATGTTATAATACCAGTCTTTTTCTTCTTGAAATCGTTGATTTGGCCCAGCCTCAAGCACATTCGTTTTCGTATTGGGCAATGCACGGCCCTGATGCAAATGTGCCAATGTTATCAAATCAACTAAACAATTAACATGTTCAACCAATGGACGACAATTGGATTTGTTGTAAACAAGACACTTGATTAGTCCAATCAATGCATCACGCAATGATGGCGACAAACACTGTAAACCACATAAAAGTAATAAAATTAGTTGTTGAACATTTTAAATTATTGGTGAATCGATTTGCTTACGCGATCCAATAATTGAAGAATATAACTCATGTCACTGAATTGACCAATCTCTGCGTGATATCGTTTGTACACTTTGGCCAGTGCTTGCAACGATGTTACAGTTAGTTGATCATCATTGACACGTTGACGGCACAAAACCCGACGGTAGAGTGCATTGAAAAGTTCGATTCTGAAATTGGTTTTTACACACACAAAAAAATCGATAAATATTTTTCATAATCGATTAAAATCTAGAATGTTTACTCACGGATTTTTCACTAAATGTTGTGGCCAATCGTCTTTTTCAAGAATCAATCGAATATAATAATCACCAATTTTAATTTCATCGGCCAAACACTGATAGTTTACTTCAAATTCTTCATAATTCCATGCCAATACAATGTTCCCCGATAGTTCTTTATCACTTGAAAATTGTCTCAGCTCATTTTCGAGGCAAACTCGCAGTTCTTCTCTTGTCTAAAAGATATAAAATACGAATAACAAAATTAGTGAATTCCATATGAACGGAATAGCCATGTTGACGTAACTCACTTTGTGATTCCAAATTAAATTGGGAATACTGTGATCTCTGGTAAACTGATAAAAGAAATACGGAAGATTAACGATTTTATCGTTTTGTTTTTTCCGTTGACGTCGATTTCGCAGGACAATCGGGCGATTTTGAAGCGCTTGATTAATTTTCTCTTGTCGATCAATTAAATTTAATCCCCAATGTTTGATACCTTCCAAATGTTTTTCGATCACGCTGCGTTTGCTCTTATTGGAATGTTGAATTGCTAAATTTAAATTATCACGAAAATTCAGTTTGTCATCTTCGATATCAGAGCTTGGCACTTCATCAGTCGATTCAAGAAACATTAGCAAACCGGCCGGCTATAAATAAAAAAAAATAATTGATTTCAAATGATTTCAATTCGAATTTGAAATTAATATACGTTACTTACAAATACACGTTGAAATAGATGCATTGCATCTTCGTTATCTGTAATCCATAGACCAACCAAATGTCGAGACAATTGTCGATGTGTTGCCATTGTCGAATCGTTAGCCGGTGTATACAATGCAACCAATAGATGTCTGCAAAGGGCCGCTTCATCCAATGCCAATGTTTGCATTTGATTTGCAATACTGGCTTCGCCCTCTTCAATTATTGCTCGCATTACTAGACCAGCACCTTTGACAATCGCAAGCGATGGATGCTATTTTACAATAAAATAAATCAATTAAAAATTCATTCGAGTTTACTCAAACAAAACTTCGAACCTGAAATAATTTGAACATCGCTCTGCCACGACTTGCAACCATTTCCAAAAGGCTATCGAATTGTTTACTGTCCGTCGTTTCACTGTACGGCACACACAATGCAAATGTTAGAAAATCTAACATTGCTGACAAAATGAGCGCACCGCTTCCAAAATTTACATGTTCAGTCCATGTGTTCAACAGATTCTCTAAGAATTGTTTCGATGACAATAATGATGATTTATTCAATTGTTCTTGCTTCAAATTATAATCGCCGCTCATTGAATGCATCAATGAATTCAACATATCAATTGCAGCATACGTAACAGCTAAATCTTTTCGATGCAACGATGCCACCACTTTCTTTCCAATCGATTCTCGAAAACTGAATTGCAAAAGAAATGACAAAGTAATGCTTTAAGATGATTGATTGATTTTTTTGATAGAAAAATTACCCGGGCAAATTTGTAAAAGCGGCAAATCCAACTTTACTGGCCAACAATCGTCTAAGCGTATGAAAACAGGCTTCGAGCTCAAAATTTGATATATCAACAATTTTTTCGGTTTCTTTTTGCGTCACCGCTTGTAATGCGCCCAATATGAGTTTCTCTTTATTTTCAGCAAACAGACTCTATTTGATTAAGTCAAGAAACAAATTGTGATCGTTTAGTATTGAATGTGTTTTGTTCGAATAGAGTTACTAGCGCATCGTACATAAATGAATGAAATGATAATATGTCTTACATCTTGTGTGACACTGTAATTGAGTCCGCTGTGGGGAATGTTTGCATTGAATCGCTCAAGAATTTCAAATCTCTTTCCCGGATATTGAAAATTGTGTATGACCATCCGCAGTAGGCTTGCTTCGGTCTCTTCATCCACATTTGCGTACAATGGAACAAAACGTTTGCCACGAGGTGTACGTGTCATGCGAACGTGTACATTGGGATTATTACATGATCGTACAGCATCCAATAGGGTTGCCAACAAAGAATCCCTGCGGTAGAATAGAAAACATAGTCATGTTTGAGTGTGTTTTTTTTTGTTCAATTTCATTTGATTTTAATTTACCGATCATTTGTCGAATAAGAACGCGTTATTCCATTCTTATATTCGATGTGAAACAATTGAATATTTTCGGAATCTCGTACTAAGGCAAATATATCTTCCAATGGTCTCAACGTACAAATCTAAAAAAATATAATAAATTGTTTTATTAATTATAATTTCATATTGAAATGAAATCGAGCTCATACACTGTAAGTTTGTGGATCACGTTCCAAAATTGTTGCTTCTGTTAAACAGAGAATTCGTTTTGTTGGCTCTGGATGGCGATCGGTTATTTTCTGCACAATAAATTCTGACATCGATGTTAAAAAATTGTCTTTTCTGAAAATGTTGATGTTCAAAAAACAAAAAAATGCATTCTAATTTAATTCCATGTTCCATCGGAAAATCTGCCGACATTCATTTCAACACTACAATACATACGAATATGCGCCAAATTTTTCTTGTTCAAATCGAGCGAGTGTAATTTGACTGGGCACCACTTTTAATGCAATATTCATATATAGATTCGAAGCGTTCACAATATTTTGTACGATTTCATGATGATTTGCCGCTCGAAATAAATGCAAACGTGTAAATTTCCCATACGCAATTACAATACCCTGTTCATAATCCTGAATACCTGCATTTTATTAAAATAAAAAATAAACATCAAAGCCATTTTACAATTGGAAAACAAAAAAAAAAACACGGATGAAAATCATACATACCAATTGTGGCAACAATGTCTTTGTAGTCATAGCTAGCAATCACTTTATTTGAGGTGGGATCCAGTTGATCCAGCGAGCACGGTGTCACTTCCAATTGCGTTGGCAAACCAATACCAGACCAATGATATTTATATGCGGAATATTTCTATACAAAGTCACATATTCATTTTATTCACGAGGATAAAAATTATTTCCAAATTGTAACTCACTTCAGTTTTTATCTTTTCCGCGAATTCCCTGTGATACTTGAATAACGATGTAAGTATATCATTTCGATATTCCGATGATAATTTGATGGTGTCACATTTCCTGTCTTTCCGTAATGTCAATGTAAATTCATGATTTGACTAAAAGACGAAAAAATCGAGAGGAAAAAACACAACACAGATCTTATTTAACAAGTTAAAAATAAACAACAACAAAAAAAACCCGTACATTTTGTATTGATTTATTGGGTGCGATTGCAGCCACATCCGAGTATGGCCATCGATTAGTGACCTCGAATTTATCTGGATTGTATGTTGCTATGCCCGTTTTACCGATCGCCAGGATTCGTTTGTACTTTCCTTTCCACGAGTGTTTGGTCACCAAATAACATTCTTGATCGATACAATCTCTTATCGGCACCATAGTAATTTATACAAGCGCGTTAGCGCATTAAAATCGCCTCCGATCGATCAATCAAATTTAGAACTCTCTCTTTAAAAAAAAATTCGTCAGTCAACCAACCGATTTGATAAGTTGTCAACACATATAAATCTAATTTTGTGAACCAGATAAAAAAAAGCGTTATCATTAATAAATGAATGTTGCCATCACTTTGCGGGAATGAACATTCCAATACAACAAAACAAATAGCAAAAGCAAATTCTATATTCATATACTGTATGAATTTGTAACAGTTCAATCCGAAAGGCGAACGAAAAAAAAAACAAACATAAGTCACCTTTGTGTATGTGAAACATTAATTAATTTATAACAACAGAAAAAAAATCGTTCATTTATTTGTTGACTCATCAAAAGCAATTATCAATCGATGCCTAAAATATTAATACGTATTACCATTTTTTGTAAGTAATTATATGTTGGCGAAAGCAATCAAAATACTGGACCGAAAGATGCACAGTAAAAAAGGGGAGTTTTTTTCTGTTCGCTAAACTTATCAGAAAAAAAAAAGATATATTCAAGAGACAAACAGTGACGAAATGTCTAACATGAATTGAATGTTTTTCTATAAATCATTTCTCAGTGACTTTTGCTTAATTGCAATACTTAACAAAACAATTCGTTTTGTATTTGACTTTTTAAATCCCGCCTTCTCTTTCTCACTTCTTCGGACTGAGGCTGCTTTTTACAGATAGATAGACTTTTTCTTTACTTGGTTTCTTTTTTTCTTCTTCTCTTTTTTCTCTTTCACCAACAACACCACATATTATTTTTTATGATAAAATATTTGAGTTGAATTGATCGACATTTATCCGAAATGTGTAAAATGTTTGGATAGAAAACGTAAACAATTTAATTTAACGTAAAAAATAGTGTCTAAAATGGATTTACACAAAGAAATCACTTAATAACAAAAAAAAAGTAGTTGTGTATTAAAAAAAATTGTATTCGGAAATGTCATACATAAAACACCACACACACAGTTGTAGTAACTTCACTTGGAACGTATTGTTGGCATGACTGTTTTCTGATGCATTGAAATGTCAATATTTTGACAGTTAACCTCGCGCAATCAACAGTGCCAATACCAATCATCGAACAACACCGATTTTGATTTCGTTTTTTCTTTGGGTGGTTTTTTTGTTTCGCTTATCAAACGGACCAAATTTATTCAAAATAACTGCATCCATACAGATTGAATTGTTTTCCGTGCCAGCGAACAATTTCAGTTAGAATTAAAAAAGGTAATATAAATCGAAACCTTTGTATGTATATGAGATTGTTGTTGTTTTGGATGCATTGTACTACATATCGCTCTGTCTTCTTCGACATAATTGAAATGAGCGTAAACATAGATATAATCTTTTTTTTTTGTTCAATCATCGCTTTAATCACACAGACAATATAATGTGTGTAATGTTAGAAAGCAGCGGCCCGCGAAACGAATGGAATTATAAATGAAACGAAAAACGTGTCAGTAAGAAAGAAAGACGAACGATAAAACATATTACATACATATACATACAGATCTGCCAATACACATCGACACATTTAGTAATTTAAATTCTCTTCTCTCCGTGTATTTCACTGGGTTAGTGTATCTACATTTGGTTATAAGTAAAAAAAAAAAAACACGAACAGATATGCTCGTTCATTTTGGTCAGCGGAAAATATTGTCAGTAGCGAAAGCAACAGCAACAACAATATCATCCCCAATCATTCGAACTACAACGGCAGATCGGCTTCTCAACTTACAAAAACGTAACATTTTTTTACATCTTTAACGAGAACGAAATTATTGGTGAACAGTGAGCAATTCCTTTTTCCGGATAATTTGCGCGATTTTTGTTCGTCAACAATAATTCACGTTATCGGTTATTTTCTTAGCCTAGTGAATTTCGCGCAGAAAAGAAAAGTGTGAGAGAAAGAGCAAGAGCAAGAACAAGAGAGAGAGAGAGAGAGAGAGAGCGAGAGAGTATGTGTGTACGCGTATGTGTTTGTGTTTAAGTGTAAAGAAGAATAACTTTCGAATAGACAAATGTCAATATGCGCTTGTGTATATGTGTGTGTATGCTCAGTTTACCATTGTAATTTGTGAATGTATGTGTGTGTATATATATTTGAGGTGTCTTATCTCTTGATTTTGATCAAAAAAAACGTGCATATATCGGTTTATATTAATAACGGATCGACCATAAAATTTTATCAAACAATCTCTTCTGTATTTCGTTGTGCAAATTTATTTTAGGAAATATCCGTTTTGCAACACATTCGATACGTGATTTAAAAGTACTAACAACATTTAACAAGAGCCCAGTTTGACAATCGATATCCTGGAGTGCATGCACGATATTGCATCAACGATATTCATATCAACTACTAACATCATTAACGAAAAATCAACAGTTTTCGGTGGTTCAGCGTACACATCATCATCATCATCATCATCATCATTATCATCGTTGTCGTCACTTTCACAGTTCGTCCAATTTACAAACGAAAATCGAAATGAAATGCGAGTTTAAGCGATTGCCGACAAATGTCGTGCCAAAACACTATAATTTGGAGCTAACACCAAGTTTGACATCATTTACATTTGATGGAAAGACATCGGTTGTTTTTAAGGTTAGTAAAGCACGGATGAAACACAAGTCTAACACACCATATATTTATATTCGTTCGTTTTATTTTTTTGCCATTCGCATCTCAATTGGGCCATCATTTTTCCTCTCTTAATAATCAATATCCCGAAAACCTTATAATTTATTTAAACCAAAAATCATTGTTATTAGTAATGATGCCAATAGACTAAACGCAATATTGTATAATGAGCGGATAGAAAACAAAAATGCAACAATCATATATATAGACGTGATTTGGAAAAATTAATTAAGCATTCGACAATGTGCATGTTGCACGCTTTTGCTCACGCAAATCCACCAACATCATCAACATATAGTATTGCATATTATTTGTATATTGCTACGCTACTCGCATATTATCTTTTATTATTGTTGATGTTGTTGTTTTCTCAATATTCTTCCACATCAACTACGAATTTTGCCGTCCGATCGTCAATCGAATGGAACAAATAAGCCAAACGACTCGAAAGAGAAAATGAAAGATACACACGTATGGTCAACATATGCATGCAGAAAGATGTGAATAAAACATATTTATTTATTTTTTTCACAACAACTTTCGCTTTTAATCTCCTTCGGACACTGTAGATCGTATTCTATATAGCACGAATACAAAATAGACCAAAGGGGCAGTTATATGCAAAGTACAATGTAGGCGCAATGCTTCGGTGGCTTAGCAAAAACAAAAACTTGAATTCTGGAAACAACAACAGCATTTCATAGTGAACAAATAAATACGAAGAAAAGAAAAACAAAATATCGCCGCATCATACAGTGAATAATTAAGAGAAAAATATATAACTTAATGAAATAATCAGAAATTAAAAGTAAAACTAAGCAAAACAAAAAAAAAATCATTATCATTTTTGGATCAAATTAAAACATTGTAAATTCTTGCGTAAAATTCCCAGTAAAATTGTGTTTGGTTTTGTTTGGATTGAATAAGAAATGTATTCCGATTCCTCCTTATATAATTTAATCTGGCAGCGGTGGTGGGAGCCATGTCAGATGGATCCACTACAGTGGGGAGAGTTTATCTGAAACTGGTCCACGGAGTTTTTTGTCAAGTTCCCAAAATATTTTTTAAAAATCCGTTGTGCAAATTTTCAAGATCTCATCCATATTTTTTTAATTAATTAAAAACATCGTTTATTTGGGCCTTTTTTTGTGTGAAGTGACTCCGTATGTGAGAGCAGCGCGCATTCAATGCGGGACGCGGGTATAGTGTAGTATCATGCTCTTGCATGATTTCTTTTCTTCTGCTCCCTCTCACATGCGGAGTCACTTTACACAAAGAAAAATTCGCCATACATTTCTTATGGGAGATTTTTTTTGTGTCGAGCGACTTCATTACATCTTATCTAATGTAATTCTGTACCATTTAAAAAAAAGACATTGTTAAATTTTCTTTATGTGTTTAATTACAAAAAATATGAAATAATATACGTTGGTTTCAAGGATAAATGAAATTAAGTAAATATTAATTTAATTAAATAATTTATAGCCGGAGATAACGTCTCCAGACACCATATTACGCGCTGCTCCAGCAGCAAATAAGTAAGTATGGTATCTGAAGATATCAAACGGCTGCGATTTTAATTCGGTTATAAAATTGTTGGGAGTCTGTTTGAAACATTCTGTAATGTGGAATTAATACTTTCTAAGTATTTTTGTTGTTTTGAAACATAAAATTGTGCCAACATTGAAATACCGGTTTGGTTATTTCAAAAAAGAAAAAGGAGAAAGAAACTACCGAAGAGCTGAGAATTTGTTTTAACATTTTCATTGATCAAATCTATTTTTAGTTTTATCGTACTGAATGTCACACGATTTATTTGTTTTATATTCCGAGTCTAATGTGTCGATTTTATTTCTATAGGTGCTAGAAGAAACTGATAATGTCGTTTTAAATGCTGTCGATTTGGTGCTCCACAATGCGTCCGTGCAATTGAGTGACAGTTCGGAGCCACTTGAAGCGACAGACATTTCGTTTTGTTTGGAACAGGAAACGGCAACGTTAAAATTTCCAAATGTATTACCGGCTGGGGCGGAGGGCGTTCTCAATGTGTCATTTAGCGGCAATTTGAATGATAAGATGAAAGGTTTTTATCGCAGCAAATATTACACAGCAAGCGGTGAAGAGCGTTATGGTGGTGTGACTCAATTGTAAGTGCAATCATTTCTAATTGCTGAATTGTGTGTGCAATATTTCATTGTTTTTCTTTTGAACTTTAGTGAAGCAACAGATGCAAGAAGGTGTTTCCCATGCTGGGATGAACCGGCCATAAAAGCCACATTCGATATCACGCTTATTGTTCCAAAAGACCGAGTTGCATTGTCGAATATGCCAGTGGTGTCGGAGAAAAGTGTTGGTGAAAATTTGCGCGAAATTCATTTTGATACAACGCCGGTAAGCCTAAGCACACAATCACTGTATGCAACGATTGAACACTTTGTTTTTGCAATGATTATTTTTTTTCTTATTCTTAAGGTGATGAGCACTTATTTGGTAGCAGCTGTAATCGGTGAATATGATTATGTCGAAGCCACATCAAAAGATGGTGTCTTGGTTCGTGTATATACACCGGTTGGTAAAAAAGAACAAGGATTATTCGCGCTGGATGTAGCCACAAAAGTTTTACCATACTACAAGGTATTGATTGAAATAAAAGATAAAATAAACTGTGGCTAAGATTAATTTTCATTTAAATATTGTTCAGGAATACTTCAATATAGCATATCCACTGCCAAAAATGGATCTTATTGCAATTGGCGACTTTTCGGCTGGTGCTATGGAAAATTGGGGTGAATATGCTAGCATTTTTAAACTTTTATCGTTTGTTTTTTCTATTTAAAATTATATCATCATATGCAGGTTTGGTCACCTATCGAGAATCATTCGTTCTTGTTGATCCGGAGAATACTTCATTGATTCGAAAACAGTCGATAGCTTTGACGGTTGGCCATGAAATTGCACATCAGTGGTTCGGAAATTTAGGTAAACATTTTATTTGATCTTAAAATTGAGATAAAAAACTGATTATTGAAAAATGTCATTTTGTGTTCTTTGTTCACAGTCACAATGGAATGGTGGACACATTTGTGGTTGAACGAAGGCTATGCATCATTTGTAGAATTCTTATGCGTGAATAAGCTATTTCCAGAGTATGATATTAGCTTTTCTATTATTTAATCATTATTTGTTGATTATTTCTATACTTTTCAATCGTTATTCGATGCCCCCTAAGGTATGACATTTGGACGCAATTCGTGGTTGATATGTATACACGTGCACTTGAATTAGACTGTTTAAAAAGTTCGCATCCAATTGAAGTAACCGTGGGTCATCCATCGGAAATTGACGAAATTTTCGATGAGATTAGTTATGCAAAAGGTGCCAGTGTCATTCGAATGTTACACCATTACATTGGCGATGCTGATTTTCGAAAAGGAATGAACATCTATTTGACACGGCATCAATATAAAAATACACAAACGGAAGATCTATGGACAGCATTGAGCGAAGCAAGCAGCAAACCAGTTGCAAAGGTAATGTCCACATGGATAAAACAAATGGGCTTTCCAGTCATATCGGCTTCAGCCGAACAAGTGGGCAACAAGCGAATTTTAACATTAACTCAAAAGAAATTCACTGCCGATGGTTTTGAACCGGCCGAAGATTATTTTTGGATGGTTCCCATTACAATTTCAACATCAAAAGCACCATCTGAAATTGCCGTCGTTCAAATTCTCAATGCAAAAAGCATGAAAATTGAAATCGATGATGTCGATAAAAATGATTGGGTTAAGATAAATCCAGGCACAATCGGTTATTATCGCACACGTTACACGCCCGAAATGTTGGACTTACTGATACCAGCCATTAAAAGTCAAACACTTCCGCCATTAGATCGTTTAGGTTTAATTGATGATTTGTTTGCATTAGTGCAAGCTGGTCGTGCGCCAACACGTGAAGTTCTAAAGCTCATCGATGCCTATCGAAACGAAACCAATTACACGGTATGGTCATCGATTACAAATTCATTGATAAAATTACAAACATTATTGTCGCACACAACCGTTGATAAACAATTTAATGAGTATGGCATTCGATTGTATGCCCCAATTGCCGATCGTTTGGGTTGGGATTGTAAAGCCGGCGAATGTCATTTGGATACATTATTGCGAAGTTTGGTTTTAAATCGATTGATTTCATACGGATATACACCTGCCATTGAAGAAGCCAAAAAGCGTTTTAAATTGCATGCGAGCGGCGAACATCTGTTACCCGCTGATTTACGTTCAACATGCTATAAAGCTGTTATGCAAAACGGCGACATTACCACATACGAAGAAATGTTACGTTTGTACCGTGCCACTGATTTACATGAAGAGAAGGATCGCATTTCACGAGCACTTGGCTCATTTAAAGACGTTGAAATTCTAAAACGTGTCGTTGATTTTGCATTATCGGTAGGAGCCTCTCTCTCTCTCTATCTCTCTCTGGCAAGTACATTGAAACTGATATTGTTTATCACATTTTTAGACTGAGGTTCGAGCACAAGATTCTGTATTTGTCATTGTTTCCGTGGCGATGAATCCAAAAGGACGTGACATGTGTTGGGAATTTTTCAAGAGTAATTCAGCCAAACTGTTAGAACAATATGAGGTAATGAATATTAAAATGACTTCATATCTTTTAATTACTTCTTTCGTTTTACCATTGTTTTCTTTTTTTCAAAATCAGGGTGGATTTTTACTGGCACGTCTTGTCAAGTATTTAACTGAGAATTTTGCATCCGAAGAGAAGGCCCAAGAGGTAGAGAAATTTTTCCAAGAGAATGAATTTTCAGGCACAGAACGGACTGTTTCGCAATCGGTTGAAACGATTCGCTTAAATGCAGCTTGGTTAAAACGAGACTTACCAAATATTACGGAATACTTGAGCTCATTCTCCAATTAAAGATCGATAAGTGGAACATTTTGTTTAAACCGAAATTGAAAAATAGACAAAACACACACACACACCCACATAAAGCATTTTTAATTTGGATTATCAATGAGATTTCATAGTCAGATCAAAATGAATAATTCAAATATATGCTTATTTAATTAATTTATTTATTCAAAATGAATATTTGCAAATAATCGAAAGCAAAAATGAATAAGGGTTACATTGAGAATAAAAAGAAAATTATTCTAAAAAATATTTTCTGGTTTTTTTTGGTGAATATTGCCCAAACATCATTCAAAATTCGTTTTGAAAATTAACTTTGATTGTTGGTGCTGATAATTAAAATAAACTGTTACAACGCCAACCAAATATCGGCAATAATATCTTCTGCAATGGCATAGTTTTGTCATAAAACTGATTTTCACGAAATGGCAGAGTATCAATGTAGTAAAAGAACTTTACAGTTTTTCGTTATCAAGTAACAAAATGTTGCATAGCTGCCAATATCTGTCAGAGCTTCTCCTCAGTGTAAAATAAAGATTTGAATTGGCTACCAAACTTTTTTTCCTTGATATCCGAAATAATTTATTTCTTGAATTTCTCGACTACCGAAAACATAATCAGCATTTTTGATTTACCAATGGTTTTCTGCACAAAAATGGTTATCCAAATATTTGTCAAACAAGACTTACCAAACTGAAGAGAAAAGATCTACATGTTTTTTCTTTGATAAAGTGGATATCTAACTTCCATAAAATAAAGCATTTTCAAAACTGAATATATATTTATTTTTTTTTTTTTTTTTGCAAATACAATAAAAATAAAATCTAGATTATTCAAAAATATCATAACTGTGTTATTTTGGTTTTTCAACGTCTATATCTCACTTTTGGAAAACGACTGTATTTTGTGGCATAACAAAATCTACATTTAAAAAATCTGGATTTTTGTTCTATGTACTTAACATTGTTCGTCTTTGTTATTCGAAGACTTTGATTTGTTTAGCAAACTGTTTGAATTCTCAATAAAAAAAAAATTGCTTCAATATTTGCTTGTTTTTATTCAACAGTTTATTAATTTGATCAAGATTAATCCAGTGATTAAGCTTTATTATTTCAATAAGAGTATAAGAAAAATATATATGTTTGCGTTTAATTGGTCTAGTAATATAATAAATGTGTTAATCGAGCACTTTTTGATTATAAAAAACCACGATGAAAAGCCACTTCTAATTAATTCCACATGTTAAAACTTGCAAATACAGTCTATTAGATTATTCGATCTCTTGCATTTATGTGAATGTGCATTGAGAATCAAAGACTATTATTATTATTATTATAAAAATGCATTAATTTCCTTTTTTCCGAAAAAACAAAATCCATCGACCCCCATCCAAACTGTTGTAATTGTCAACTGTTTAGTTTGTGGCTGAATCAGTTTCATGTGCAGAAATGATTTCAAAGTCAAATCCGTTCTTTGACAAGTTTGAAATCAAATTGGTCTTTGCAAAGCAGGCGCCTGGTGTTAAAACACCACCGGTCAATGGTAATTTTTCCTTTTCATTCAAAATAGTTATGGCTGACAACAGGAGAGCAACACAAGTTGCACCATACCCTGAATTATCATGAAAAAAAAAAAACGAAAATTATTCAGGCAAAATTCAATTAAAAATCTTTTTTTTGTTACCTGGATTAGTACCAGTCACACGTGTTACAATTTTCTTTGATGGCATGGTCGTATGTTGATCGGTTGATTCAGCCAAAGCGTCCTCTTTTGGCCATCCTTGGCCATAGAATGTAATCGAAAATTTAGTATTTTTCATTTGTTCTTCGGTAGGACCTTCATGCGAGATGAAACCCAATGAAAAGAATTTCGGATATTTCAACAGTAATTGACGTCCAAATGAACATTTTGTTAATAAACCAAAAACCACACCCATCAATGAAACCAACAACACGGTTAACAATGATCTATAAAGAAATGATTGAACAACGAGTGACATTAATTTTGTTTAAATTACATCAATCAATTAATTAAATTATCGTTTATCGTACTTGAATTGAACGTAGGCTTGCATTTGAATCGGACGCTTCTTCTCTTGTTCGTAAAAGAAACGTTGTGATCGTAAGACAACTGGACGATCTGATCCCATGAATGGTAAACACCAAGCGTTAACCACATCGGATTTGTGAATAACTGCAAATGAAAATCGAAATAAATCATAATTCAACGTATTTTCTTTGCATCGTTAGTGTTGTTGCAAATTCATACCTGGTCGTTTGATTTGAGGTGGCTTGGTGTACGGCAATGGTTCTTTGAATAATTTCTTACGAATCGAGCTCAATTCTTTTGCATTTGCCAGACCATAGACGGCTGATTCCCATGTTCCATAATGAATGCTATCAATACATTACACATGATTTCAACCGAAAATTTAAAATGCAATAAATTAATTACCCAGCACCGCTTGCAGGTCCTGTGGTCCAGCTTTTCAAATATGTTTCCACCGAATGAACTTCACCATCAAAGTGATTTTCCAAATGTACCACGCCCATATCAGCTGGTATCGAATCGAATCCGCATGCAGAAACGATATAAACGCCTTTTTCACGGGCGAGATCGTTGTATTCGAGTTGCATTCGTTCCATGTATTGTGGTTCACCACTAACATCAACATTAGTATCAAGATATCAAGTATTAAAATAAAGTGTATTAACATAAATTCATGCAATAAATTACCTGACATCAACATGATGAGTGCCTGCATTGATGCTGCAAATTTAAGTATAAAGTAAAAAATCAATTGAACGACAAAAAAAACAAACATTCAAAAATTTTTAGATGCTAAAAATTTACCAGGCTTTGACTACAGGCTCACCGTAGTGTAAATATGGACCACAACAGTTCACAATAATCTATAATAATATGAAAATATATTTGGCTTCACAGAATTGTGTTAAACACGTAATTTCTTCATAAGTGACAAGCGATGACATCATTTTTTCTTTGAATGTAATAATAATGAGTATGCATGTAAGTAAAACACCTGTTAATTACCTTAGCGCGTTCGGCCATTTTTTGCAATGAATTTTCATCTCGTACATCGGCTATGATAATTGGAATGGCAGAAAGATCTTTTCCACATTTGTCGCCGATTTCTTTAAGAGTACGTTTTAATTTTTCTTCGTCACGGCCAGCAACGCCCCATGATAAATTCTCAAGCAATTTAACACCTTCGAGAACGGTGTATTTGCCGGCTGTCAATAAAGTTTAATGAGCTTATTAGTGATGAATTCATGATTTGCAACACATTGTGAAGGCGATAATAATAATAATAATTGTGAAATTAAAAAGAAAAGAAAAATAAAGATAAAAAAATATTTTAACACCGATAAAATACGAAAAGATTGAAATGCTTACTAAAACCGCTTGCACCAAAAATAACTAGGTCCAATCGATCGCTTGCCATGTTTGCTTAATGAGCAATCTGTATGAATTTCTTTTCGATGTGATAGCACAAGCTAAATTAAGCCCAAAAGAGAAGAAGAGAAATATACACAGTGGAATGTGAATGAAACGGAGTTAACTATGACTAATAATGTACACACAACGCGAATAAATGACTTATAATAATAATTTTGGACTCATGGAAAGAGCCAAACGTAATGATATATGCACACAATGCAATCGCAATGTCAAATACGACGCGTCACGATGACTCTTGAGACCTTGACTTTCCTCCGTTGTGTGTTTTTATTTATTGTGTTTTTGTTTCGGTAACAATTTCACAGGAATGCGATTTTTAATTTTAATCGAGTTTAAAGGTTAACGAAAAAAAAATAAAAAAAAATAAGACACAAATCAGTTTTTCTGTTTTCGAGGAAATGTCAAACAATATCGAATTATGATGGTTTGTATAACAAACGAATTTATGTTTCATAATAATGTAATGTTCGAATGGATTCTCACTTACTCAAAAAATATACGCTGTTTTGTGTTGAAAATTACTTTTAATTACGTGGACTGCACTCAATGGCGAATGAAATTGAAATTAACCGAGAACTTATCGCTTTGGTTTCGTATGCTTCCTTTTCCTTAGTGTAGGTTTTTTCGTCTTCTGTTTTCTACGTCGAAATTCTGTGTGGCTTTATTTGTTGACTATTTTAGTAAGAACAGAAAAACAAATTGTATGCTATGAGATGTATAGGCAAAATGCGACTCAACAATGTATTGTGTTGATGGCAATCGCATTTATTCCGTAACATTACAGCTCAATCGGTTCTATAGCGTGCATGTATAGTGTTGTTGAATATTGTATTTGTTATACACACATCTAAAAATGGAACGAACGATTGAAGAACATACGTTCCGTTGAATGTCGATTTAGCGCTGGAGCCGGCAAATGCGATTGTGTGTTGTTCAATACCACTCTTCAACATGCAATACATACGCACATCGTCACCGAACGTGTGCTATACCCGCTGTTTATGAACGAACTCTGTAATCGACGAAAAATAAACATTTTTCGATTTAAAGATTTAAAATTGTGTGTGTGCGAGTTTACAGCGAAATTAAATTTCGAATTTTAAGTTTTCAACGCAATTCGCATGAAACGCATCGGTTCTTGAGTTTTAATTATTTCCAAGTACGTACAAACGTACATGTACCAAAGACTCGATCCACAGTTCAATTCAAAGATATTTTCAAATCGAAAAAAGGCCAATTTTTATTTGATTTTTAAAAATACAACAGACAAAAATGAAATAAACCGACGAATTGATATTTGTTTTTCATGTGTATATGATTTATTTATATCACAAATGTCGATGATGATTATTTCCTTATGTTATAGACACAACCGAATTATACTGAAACACATGTTTTGAGTCATATATTTCAATTATAATTCTTGGCACCTTTTTTTCCCTCTTATTTGATGCAACTTGTCAAATTCCATTCATATGAACAATGCGTATTAGAAACTTTTATTTTTTTTCACTCGTATTCAAATTGAAATTTTTTCACCCTTGTCAAGCGTTAGCCATTGAATAAATATTTATTTATTTACTTTTTTTGCGCTGATTGTACTTGAATTTGGATTCTGATAACATTTGCAAATATAGCCAACAACTATTTAATACTGATTTGCACATTAATCTTGTAGAAGATTCATTGGAATTTCTCTGCTATACTTTCAGTCGTCTCATTTGAAGTATTGATTTGGTCTGCGCAAACAATTATTCAATAATGTAAAATTAGACGTTTTATTGAAAATTCAAGTGAATAGTCAATTGAAATCGACAGCATGGCAAACAGAAAACAGAACAAACACGAATCAAATACAAATGGGAAAACCGTACACCTGTGAGTGATTGATTTTTTTTTTGTTTGGGGGGAAATTTCGTTGATTTATATCAATTTAGTTTGTTTGATTTAGGAAAATTGGGTATATCATCGATAATCTTGTGTATGTAATGACTCAGGGTCTTTTTATCAGCAATTTATCGAGAATCATTAATTTTGTATTAGTATAATTTTTTTCATGCGTTTCATATTCATGACGACAACAAAGGTTAACATCATCCGAATTCATATTCAAAATTTATTTTTCGTTAAGTATTATTCGTCCAGCCGGATAATTATACATTAATTGTTTAAGCTATTAGCAATAACTGAAAAATCAGAATGCTTCCAACACATTAGAGCAAAGTTTGTTCTTTAAACGATAATTCTGCGAACGAACGAACAAAAAACAACGGTTACATTAGTTCAGTTCAAAATTGAAAAAAAGAGGTCATTGAATTAATAATATGGATGATGTGTACAGTGTACACCCCGGTTAATGTTGTCGAAGTTTTGAAAAAAACGTGTGCACTGAAAGAGTTGTTCATTCGTGAGGTGGAGCATGGGCGAGCGCGTTTGCGAGTTCGTCTTGTCATTCAAACACAGTTTATTAACTGTAACGTTATATCAATCGTGGTGTGTCATCGTGCTCAATACCTGCTGATTTGCGCATTAAACTCAACAATGTATTTGGCATTAGTGAAGCTAAAGCTTCTTTTATTGCGTTCGTATGCAACACCATGCAGCATTCAATTTTTTTTTTTTGTTTCTTTTTAAATCACTTTGAGCATTTTAATTGTATTGTATATGGAAGTTGTCTTTCGCTTTTCGCATTTAAAACAGAAAGAGAAGACGAAGAAGAAAAAAATCGCGTCGAATAAGACCTTCAAAGCTACACTACATGCGACTCAATAAACGAAACCATGTCCAATATTCGTACACGATAATTTATAGTGTTGTACATAAAGTCTATTGATTGGCCGATTGGCCATTATTGAAAAATGTTTGAATATATTTGCAATAGACTTTAAATGTTTCGATAAAAAAAAATTTCCTTCAGTTTTCGTCATTCAGTTCACTTGGATTTTCACGATTTTTGTTATGCAGCACGAGAATAAAAAAAAAATACCGCAATGATTATTACTAAAGACTAAATATATCGTGCCAAATCGATTATTATAAATGTTGGTGATCTGTTGGCGTGCAATTTTTCTTCTCGTCAATTTTTTTTTTGTATGTCGTAAATAGCTGTTGTTTTGGAAAATTCCGTTACTGTAGCTAATTTTTAGGAAATTTCAAGTCAATTATTTCATTTTTTTTAATGCATAATCCCTCGTGAGAATATTCAAAAAATTCCGATTGATATAGTTATGATCGCTTATTGGTAACGAGATTTTAGTTAACCACTTTGTTTTTCATAAGGGATTTGATTTGTGGTTTTTTGTCATTCGTTTTTTTTTTTTTTAATAATTTGATCGTAGATCAGATAAACTGGGTCAATAAACGCTATCACTTTTCGTTTCGTTCTCTTTCAAATGGCTTTCGCAGACGGAAACGCATTACATTTTTATCTATACATGGTCTAAATGATCGGAATACCAATGTCCACATGGAGCGATACACACACACACACACATCAATTTATTGATTACTTTCCACAATTTCTGATCGGAAATCATCATTCGTCTGATAATCCATTGAAATTTCGTTGCTATTAGCAATTGCGTTTGCATCGACCTTGGCAATATGTTGTATTTATTTAGCCCTGTACGCATACGGAATTATTGATCAGCACAGGTAGGCGACAAGTGTAATCTAAAATATACATTCAAGGTAATGCAACGGTTACTTCTTTCACTTAAAATCGTGTGAGTGTATTTCATTTTACGAAATAGATTCGCAATACTCCATAAAAAGATGCATATAAATTTGCAAAATATATTTATATATCCGGGGACATTGGTGTATATTTTCCCAGTGCCAACCACATCACCAATTTGCATGTATCAGTAAACATTTTGGAAAAATTGATGAAAATGCTGTTAACCATTGAATTGACACGTATTTATTATGTACATGGATGCGATCATCTTACGAGTGCATTGAAAGGGACGCACAAACAAGCTAGCTCGCTAGCTCATCGACTCAGTCGCTTACGATCGCATTGTTGCTGGTGATTTTGTTGTTGCTTTCAGTATCATGTTTCATCACAGCCTTGTCTTTTTCGAACCATCGAATTATAATCGAACGAAATGCTCTTTGTTTTTTTTTTCTCTCTTTATGGCATTTTCAATGAGAGAAAGAATAACAAAATTATGAGTAAAAATGATCGTCAACCAAGTACCGCAACAGTTCATTGTTTATATGGCAGTATTTTGTTTTGTTGTTCACATTTTGATTTGGCTATGCCGTATAACATACACGAGCTTTGGTTCAGCATTTATATTGATTGTATAGTTTAATTGCACATTTAACTCAAGCGCTTAACGTTCAAAAGGCAAAACCATAAGCACAAACGCTTCGAACTACTGCCTGTTGCCTGTTGCCTACTGTTGCCGTTGTTGTTGCTCTTGCTGCCGCTATTGCTGGCTGATGGTATACATAGTTCCTACTAATTTTTCTTCTGTGTGTATGTCTCCGTGTGCTTCATATATATATAAATTTTCTTAATGTAACCGAATTGCTTTGAACAACACGAAAAATTATTACTTTCAATTTCAGTATAGCTTTTGACAGTGACGAGTGTAGACGCGCGATTCGTTTCGCATACTCACTCATAAATAAAATTACTTAAAAAAAAAACATCGATTTGTTGAATTAAACATTCTACAACAAAATATTAATACAATCGTTTTAAATAATCGCTCCAATCAGTGCGTTCGTTAATTCGAACAAAGAAAACTAAATTTCATTATTAGAAAAACATTTTACAAAAAGAGGCGCGAAAAGAAATTTTCAATGCTGCTGATTTGGTTTAGCCCAAGTCAAAACGCACAATAACCGTCGTCGTTTTTCACATAAAACATTTTTGTAAAACAAAATTTAAGTGATTTTCTTCTAAAATTCGGAGTAAATTACTAACAAACACAAAATCAAGTACGTAAGTGAATCTAATCATGAGGACCAACAAAAATACATAGAGTTTGCAAACAAACAATGGCATGTTTGTTAAAATTTGATTCTGTTCTAGATGAAGAAACGAAAAAAAAAAACCATTTCTGTCGCTAATCATAGAAAAATGTAATCAGAGTGCGAGTTATGAGTGACATTCAAGCAAATAATTTATTCTTCTTATTGTAATTGAGATAAAGTGCAAATGATCGCGATAGTTATATCAATTTCTCAAATGAAAATTAAAACAACAAACAAAAACGTATAATTTACAAATTAAAATGTAACGATACTTTAATCTCTTAGCATGCTCGTCAATCTTTGTGATTATGCAAAGACAAATTGGCCGAACAACGAGAGGAAAACAAAACAAAATCTATAATTATAAATTAAATTGTTGTATAATAGCAACATTGAATTGATTTTTAACGCAATTACATCGTTTCTTTGCCCATATTACAAATGGTATGATGTGTGTTACTTCAGACAAATTATGCGACATTTTACCTAAATTCTTCTCTCTCTGTGCGTAATAATGTTATCAATTTGCAGTTCGAGGCAAACAAATTACAATGAAGTGGTTGCTATAAACAAAAATCGAATGTACGAATGTCAATTGAATACACTCCGTAATCATGTTTTTTTTTCTCATTTCATCGATTGGTTGATCTGTGTAAGATTTCAAGAGGGATGGAAGTTTTGTGTGTCAACTCATTCATTCGAATTGAGTTATTGCTTTCGATTAAATTAAAATACAAAAAAAAATGTTGACATTAAAAGATAGTGATCGAGAGTCGTAACCAAAACTAAAAGAGACCAAATTTGACGCGCATCGAAACAATGATCCAACCGCCACAGAGTAAAAGACACATACACGAAAAAAACAGCGAACATTTATTGAGGATCATAAGATTTGCATAACTTTAGCGTTCGCGCGCAATAATTGATTGTATTGTTTTTGTTGTCGTGCGTTACGATATAATTCATAGAATTTTTCTCCCGAGTCACATATTCATGCGCTGCAATTCAAATCATTTTCCATTGCTCACCTCAAACGAGTGCAGTTTGTGGCATTGTTGGTGCGGCACAAAGTGAAATAAAACAGCATCGTCAACGGTGTATGTGTGTTTATTGCACATTGCACATTGTTGACATTCCGTTGAAATACATATTTCACAAGTGATCACATGTGAGAACTAATCATTGTAAACTCCTTTCTTTCCTCTCTCGTGACACTTGTCATATTGTTGCCCCGTTTATATCTGTGTAACGTTTTTTTTTCTCTCTCTCTCTCTCTTCTTTTCTCTTTCATCAGCTTCTTTTCAGAAATTAGTTCAATATTACATACATACATGTAGACCTAAGTGGCATAAATTGTGGCCGATTTGCAATCGGTTGCGGCTCTTGTTATCGATTCTGCATATTAGGTTGTATACCGACACTCTCTCGTGTGTATGTATGTGTTTGTGTGTGTGAGCGAACACACGCACGCGCGCAAACATAGCGCATATCTCTCTTTCTCTCTTCCGAAGTGGTGTAATTTTCATACACACAGCATAATCATATTGTATAATGTTTATTAAAAAAAATTAAATGGATTGTTACGTCGTTCTGTTAGCTTTATTTTTATGTAATCCAATCGAAAAAAGCACAAGACGCACACAAAAAGCCAATAATATTTTTTTCTTCTGCTCTCTTCATTTTTAGACACAAACACATAAATATGCGATTGGACACTTTTATATTGCAAACCATGCCATTACGGTGGTTTATTTGTTTTGTGTGTTACACTGCAACGATGAACAATTTTCTTCTATCTTACTCTCTTCCAACATCTATTTATGTTCAAAAATGCCAATCCAACAACAACAAACAACAATATAAAACAAAAACAATCAACTGATATGTATTGCAATCACTAGTTTCAACTATCGATATCTTGCCATTTATGCTACGAACCAAAACTTAAGACCCATTCATTCACACATTATAATGTGTGTTTTAGCGTATGTGCGCGTAAATATGCAGATGTGTACGTAGTAAGTGTTTCAATGGTCAATGGTTCGTTGCTTTCGTCTTCAGCATTAACACCCATTGTTGTGGCTATTATTCAATCATTTTGGCACCATCAAATTAACGGTCAATGAGATAAATTCATTTATCTCTTTCTTTTTCTCTTTCTCCCAGTCGCTTCTATTGCATTGCCATTTGATCGATGTGTACACGCAAGTAACACCTTGATTTTGAAATTTAAAATTCTCTATGGTTCACAATAGAATCAATGAAACATTTTGAAAACAAAAGTCAAGCCAACAACAATGGTATCATCGATGAATAATTTGACTTTTTTTTTGTCGGTCATAGCGTGTGAATGAGCTAGCGAATGAGTAAGTAGTGGTTAAAGGCCGCCGCATATGTACAGGTCCACGATCACCATACGCGCATATATATCGATTGCAGAAAATCACACATAATCCCCAATGATTATAAGTCAAGTTATGAAATGGTCGGTCCATTTCGCAAGTGCATAAACACACTTTTGCCACCTTTTATATTCCATTGAGCTACTTTATTTCGTATGAATGCGTACGTGTGAGTGTGTGTTTGTGTGATTTATGAAATGGTAACATATGAACATTTGTAAATATTCTCATCTATTATGATCATGTCTGGATGCAATTATATAAGCGATCAATTTTGATACTACTCTCTCTCGAAAAAAAAAAAAGATTGTTACAATAGAAGAAGCTCATAAATTCCATTAAAATCGCTTCATTTCAATATATTTAAAATGTAATAATATTTATCATCATTTCAGTTTCCACCGTTGAATTGTAAATTTGCACATTGCACCTTTAATACCGTTTCAATTCATGTACACCATATGAAACTCCGGTTTCGAACACTCAATTACCCATTCGGACTGCAATTATATACGAAATCGTATCTATTTAAAAGAGTAAAGGAGACAGTGTGTTGTCATTTACAAACGTCGAGAATCAACTTATGAATTTAGAAAAAAAGATATGCTATACGTTGAACAAGAAAACAAAATTGGATTTCAATGAGTTTAGACATTTTTTTTTTAGCATACAACAAAACATCTAATCACCAGCAAAATTACAAGTTTTAAACAATGTGAGAGACAGTGTGTTTACGGTAACCAGAATACTTACAGTATCGAGTGTAAAAGAAAATAAAAATAATAGAAAGATTACTAATCTTGAATTAGTAACAGTACAATTGCTACAATGTAGAGAAAAACCAGTATTTCAACGCAATTGATATTTATAGCGATACAGTTTGGGGCTTTTATACATTTTTTTTTTATATATTGTAAATATTTTTATAATGCAGTGCAATTGGAATTTTTACACAGTATAAATTGCCAGTGCCACTGCCTGTTGCACAGTGCGCGCAACGACGATTAAGCGATTTGGTTGTTATCCTTGATAAAATTGCAAATGATATTTGTTCTATACGTACACCTCATGTGGACAAATGACGTACAATTTTTTTTTTCCAATTCGAATTCAGAAAATTGAAATGAGCTCGAAACTACTTTTTGGTTCGCGCTCGCGCACATCAAGTAAATACTTATTTGTTTAGCGTGTTCTTTACATTTTTTGTTGTTGTTGTTGTTGTTGTTTCATTACTTCTCATTCGTTTCTATTCTCGCATATGCGATCTCTTGTACTTTTTCTCGTTATATAATGACGAGTAACAATTTCATTAAAACAACTAGATATCAAAATTAAAAAAAAAAACTAGAGTCCGAAAAAACGGTCATTTCATTTTGTTCGAGTGGTTTTAGATACTTGGCGAACCATTTGCGCGGACTGAGAACAAAACAGACAATAACAACAACAACAACAAAGGAAAACAAAAGACCTCGGAAACATCGAACTGTATTCTTGTTGAACAATCGTTGATGACGCAGTTCCTTGTTCGCCTCATTGAATCTCTCGTCATGAGAGATCAATCGAAATTGACCACATAACATTGCATAGGCCATGGTATTGATTTGTCAGATTGGTCATGTTTTCTCATATGCCATCTTTGCGTAATATCGGAAGAAAGCCGGTTTGCCCCAAGATTCGTTGACTCGTTACTCTGGCAGCGATGCTTTAACTGAAGGTTACATTCGGTTTCGGTCATTTATCGCCCATTCGATCATATCGTCATTTAACACCAACTACGCGCTGCAAACCATACGACGAAATAGTTCGATCGTTGTGTGTATTTCTCAATCAATTTTAGTCATGAAAAAGTAGCGGAGTCGGAATGAGAGGAGGAAATTTTTTTTTCATCGTTACTATTACATATATCTACAACACGTAAACGGTGAACCAAAAAATTTTAATTTTTAGTTCCCGAAACACTCATTCACTCACCGTATCGATACCATTTAACAGGAAAAAAAAGAGTAACAAATCTCTCCGTTTGCAAATTGTTCGGTTTGTGCCAGAGTCAACGGATTTTTAGGTAAAATTTAATTTCATCAATTAGATTAGATTTTCATTTCTTGTAAATATTCGTTGTTATTCGATTTGTGAATTCAATGTTCCGTTGATGTTTGTATCAAAATAAAAGTGAAGAAAATAAAACAACTGCACAATGGAGGTTGTTGTCTTTTTCATCGCTGAAATGATGAAAAACCTGGAAATAAAAACAATTTATTTCCGCCTATTTTCACTTCTCGGTGTGACAATTTAAACAATAGCAAAACAATAGAAGCGAAACGATGTTGATATATTTTTTTAATTTGGTTCTCATTTTTTTTTCCTCAATAAAATCGTCAAGTGAATCTCATATTCATTTTATGAATTTAGTGGATGTGTTTGTGTGTGCGTGTGTGCATGTTTGTCTATTTTGGCATAATAAAAACCGTTCATTAAATGGCTATTGTTGTGTTATTATTCAAGAATATTCCAAAATTTCCTCATTCAATTGGGCACTGGTACAGCGTGTTTTCTTTTACAACCCGAAGACGACGAAGAAGAAAAATACGATTTGAAATTTGATTTGATTATCATTGTTTTTTTTTTTTTTTCATTATTGAATTGCTGGTGTGTTAGAGAGCCCCTGTGAAACAATTGAAGTGAGAAAAGATAATCGTAACCGGTCAGCGTGATATAAAAAAAGTGTCCATGGCACAAAAAAAAACATCCTTCTCTCTTTGAAAATATGATTGTTTCCATTAATTGGTTGGCATCGGCTTCGGTCATCGTCGTCGCCGTTGCCGTTGCCGTTGCCGTCATATACAATACAATATCATCAAGACGCGAATCATTTTTCGGTTTTGTTTGCGCACATTTTTATGAAAGAGTAATGATCGCAAGAAATTTTTCAGCCGAAAAAGATGGAGTATGTGTTTCAAGGTTTTCCATGCCATAAAAATTAACAAATCAAATCAAGTGTGTGTGATGCTGATGTGTTAAAGTTAAGCGGCACTTGTGCACTTTTTCGCATTGAATTGAGCTGGCTGTTGTTGTTGTTGTCGATTTGTTTTTCTCTTCATCGTATTTTCGTTGATTTTTTTCGCAATAGCACTAGCAATAGCTTATAATTGTCAGTTACGATAAATTACAACAGTTAAATGTCGATGCCAGTGCGATTCGACCACGTACCAAAATAGTATGTAAATACACGCATACTCAATTGTATTCCCGTTAGCATTTCGTGTGCGGATTTTGTGTAATTATTCAATATTCAAAATTATTCAATGCGTCATGTGCATGTTCTACGCGGCAGGAAAAAATTACGAACTTTTTTTTTAATATCAAAACCAATTATTTTATTGTTCTCACAGATAACCAAATATGATGTGAATGGTGCTGTTGTATGAATGTGATATTTAGCGTTGTGCACCGTTTTTATTTTGGTGATATCAGTGCAGTTTGGTTATCATACTACGGTGTTGTTAAATGCACACGAAAAAAAAACGATGATGACATTTACCACATCGTAAGTAATGTACAAAAAAAAGTGCACCTGATGGGTCTGCCGTGATCATATCTGGCATTTGTGATAGTACCGATGGTTATTACATAAATAAATATTTTTGGACTTTTTTTGTTATTTACTTGACGATATCTAACGAACATACGATGATCGCTGCGCACATTTACAAATCTCATGCAATACACTTTATTTTCCCATCATGTTTGTCGCAGCAATAGCAAAGATAAACTATGATGTTGGCCGTATTTTTTTTTTGTTGTTTTGTATTGTTGCCGTTGTTACCGTTGCTGCCACGGTGTGCTTAATGTTTATCTTTTGAATAAATGGCGAGCATTCTCGCACATGTTTACCATTTCGGTCAATACATACACATACGCACACACAGTATATGCTTTGCAAGAGAGTCACGATGCCAAGCATCTTTTCGTTTCACCTTCCATTGAAATGGCGAGTGAAAGAGAGAGTGCACAAAATCATTCAGAAAATAAAATGTTATGTCGACGAACGTAAGACTGTATCTATGACATAATCAAAAACAGCAATACACCATTTTACACCATTTATTATTTAACATGGTCTTGAATTAATAAAAATCCGTGTCTGTCGACATTCGAGTGCATGTGTTGCCATTGTACGCTGAATGTCGAGCTGATAACTGAAGAAATTCAGCTTTTTTTTTTTATTGTTGTTTTGCTTTGGAAAAACGACTTGCACAAGTGAGTAGCGCGCGCAACGTTCAGCAAACCAAAGTGATGCGAAAAAGAAAAAAGAGCAACAACAAAGCCAGATCTTAAATGCAGTCAACATCAAATTTAGCATTTTGTTTTTCTTTCCAATTTTTGTCTCATACGATTCGGCAGCAACAGAAATGACAAAAAAAAATATTTTACAAAAGTTTGTATGTATTGAGGAAGCATATTTCGTATAATTCAATTTCGGTGTGATACAGATTTGTATGTCACCCGTCGTTTATTGACGAAAATTGATACGATTTTAGTGATCGTCAACTAACTCCACATATATTGAGTGACCGTTAAGAAGTACACCGATTATCTCGCCTCTGGGCGAGTAAGCATGTGTGACGCAGTCAATCTATGTTGTGTCCATTGGGAGATGTTTTATTTTTATTTTTGAGTCCGGTGAAAGAAAGATAGAGTAAAACACAATCCGAATGACATGTTGCAATCCACAACACCCATCTACGAAATTATTTATAAATTGATGATTATGATTATAATGCTATACCATAAGACGCAATCGGTGTGTTTCACTTTTACCTAACGGCATTAAAGCATTTCCTTCAACAAAAAGCATGAATAAAAATATGTTGCAAACACATGCGTGAATGAGAGTGTGTGAGTGTGTGTATGAAACCACGCAGAAAGACATCAAATCTAAAAGCGAGAGTGATGTGCTCGATGGAATTATTCGTTTTCATCTAATGGAATATTGATTGTGTTCAATATAAAAATTCTGTATGTAAATGTGGAAAAACTTGTTTTACTCGCAATGATGACTGGCACAAGATATTTTCCATCGTTCTTGTTTTTTTTTTTGCGTTTACACTCACAACTGATACAGGAAAAACACAAATGTAAACAATATGTCTTTGAGTGCAATGGTACGCTTCAATGATTAACCCAATTCAATTCCATAACCTTCACTTCTGCGGTCTTCATTTGTACGTATTTATTTATTTTCAGTTTCTATCGTAAACTAGTTCAGTTAATTTTATCCGGTTTTTTTCTCTTCTATTTTAAAAGAAGAAAAAAAACGTTCTCCGTGCACGTTTCTGCCTCTTTATCACAATTTGTTTTTAATATCAAATATAAATCGGGATCATTTGAACATATAGTATCAACGCCACACATTCGAAGCGGTCAATAATGTGTATAAATGATCAATGATAGAGACATTACGCAAAAACAAAATCCATATTGTCAAAAAATATGCCATAACATTTTGTCTTTCTAAATTGATGGGTTTGCAATGTGCACATGATTGAAACAATACTCAATGTGGCCATTTTACAGAATTAAATCCAAACAATCGATCATTAGTCGATGATTATTTGGATGAGGTATTGAATTCATTATTTTCATTGGAACCGTTGTTGTTATGTGGTTATTTGTGTCGTTATTATATGTACGCGTATATATGTGTGTGTATGTGTGTTTCGCGTATTTTTATCGTTCATCAAGTGTTAGAAAACAAAGCCCATCGGCCAACACTTTAGATACAATAAAATTCAAGGTTGATTCAAACGAAATACACAAAAACAAAATTGCGCACACGAAAGTTGTATTATTGTTAAGGCACCATACTGCTTTTGTATTCCGTCTTCGATGCGCCGATTTGCACTCAATAATAATTTATGTTCACTGTGAGACCTGTTGCCTTCTTATTGCCTGATGAACATTTTAATATACTTATACATATATATTTATTTTTTTCAAACTGAGGAAATTCGCGTAGAGGCAAAACTTGCTTGAATAAATTACAATGAGCTAATTATTTCTCTTGTAATTCTTGGCGATTATCGACAATATTTAAAAAAAAACACTCTCTCACCCATTCCAATTTATTAATTTAATAATGTCTGGGTGTCTGTTTCTACTTTTTTTCCCTTGAATTGGAATCATTTTACCGTTAGATGTATGCGCAACCACATATTAGGCAGAGATGTGTAATTTTTTTCTGGTAATCTATTATATTCGATGGTGTGTGTGTGTGCCGGATTGATTGCGGTTTATGTGATGTACTTTGAACGAAATAATGCAACAAAATGTTAATTGATAGGTTCTCTGGTGTCGATCGTTGTTATTTAAAAGTTACACATTGCGCGCAAATCTGATTGATCGCATCATTCAAAAAAAAAAAATCATTCACACAAAACTCGATGATGATGTTGATGATGAAGATAACGATAAATTACAGTCAATAATGTTTGCATAAAATCATTTGCGTATGTATAATATGCGAATATACAAAATGATAAATGAAATCTAAGGTAAAATGTTAATTAAATTCACATTGTACGTCCATATATAACTTGATTGTTTAATCAAGATCTTCAGTATCAAATCAATCTATTTGAAGTTACAGTAAACAAACTGTGACATGACTCGATCAATTGAAGTGATAAAACAGAGTTTTTGCTCCCCGTTGTTTTTTCTGCATTGCTAACCTCTGACGAATATATGCAATGAAATTATAATAATTATTTTTATTCAGGAAAGAGAACACACACACACAAAGTGATAATAAAAAAATGCATTTTATTGAATTCATTCTGACCGTCGATTGTTGATCCATGAGTTGAACAAAAACGTGCCTGAATTACAAAATCGTACCTCCAACGTGCATTGCTTTATATGATTCAATGTGACAAGCAGTCAATTGCAAGAATTCATCAATAAAACAACATCACAAAAAACATAAACGACAAAAAGCGACAGAGACAAATGGATAAATTTGCAAATGTTTTTTTTTTCTTCTTCTTCTTCATTGTGTTCTGAACGATAAACCATTTTATTATACAATTGATAAATATCATCAAAAACTGAATTGTACATTTACATTCATTTCATTTGCATCGAATCAGGCAACCGTAGAAGAAGTGAATAAAAAGTCATCATGGCGGCTGTTGAAGTTAGGGGTGGCTATAAGTATTACGGAAGCCCAAATGATCCCAATAAAAAGATCGTTCTCAATTATCTTAATATGAACGTACCGATTGGATCGATGTAAGTAAAGAAAATAAATATTTTCATTATAAAATTCCAACATTTGTAATTTTATAAAATTGTTCACTGGTTGATTTCATTTTTGTTATTATTTGGACAATGAAAAACAAAAAATATTCAGCATTCGTAATTTTCTTCAACTGGAAAGTTCTAGAATATGTCATAATTGTTAATCAATTGCATTTTTCTTTTTTTCAAAAATATGTGATTGTTTTCAATCATAAGTTCAGTTTTTTTAATTGCTCGAAATGATTTCCTCATAGTGTTCGGCAGTAGTTCGCCTTAAAATAGTTTAATTTGTGTACATCAGAATTTCGATTCATTCAAAATATGCAATTATTACATAACATTTAAATACCAAAAAGTATACGAATTTATGATTTTTTTTATTTATGCGCATGCATTCGTTTTTTTGTTTCGGTTAAATGTAAAGTTATGGACTTCTCGGTGCATCAGGATGTGGAAAGACCACATTGCTATCGTGTATTGTTGGACAGAAAAAATTGCACGAAGGTCAAATTTCGGTGTTGGGAACATGTTTAAATACACATTCTGCAACCGCATTGGGGCCACGAATCGGATACATGCCACAAGATATCGCTTTGGTCAATGAACTATCGATCAAAGAGACTATTTACTATTTTGGCCGAATATATGGTATGCACGACGATCGCATTCGAGAACGATTTAAAATTCTGAAGGACCTTCTTGAGCTGCCCGACGGCAATCGTCTAGTTGAAAATTTAAGCGGAGGTCAAAAGAGACGGGTTTCATTTGCGTGTGCATTAGTTCACGGTAATTACATACTTGAATGTTACTACAACAAATAGCTTTTTTCTGTATTCACTTCAATTAATTTTGCTGTTTTTTCTCTTCTTCTTACTTCTTTTCGTACAATTCAGAACCGGAATTGGTCATATTGGATGAACCCACAGTTGGTTTGGATCCATTACTCAGGGAAAAGTGAGTGTTATTTTTATAGAAGATTTAATTAAATTCGGGTTTTTTTTTCGGGTGAAATGAGCATGTTTTAATTTTGTTAACATGTGAATTTGTTATTGTTGCTGTTGTTATTTGTAGAATTTGGAATTTTTTGGTCGAAACAACTCGAACGAGTAAATTAGCCGTAATCATAACCACACATTACATAGATGAAGCGCGTCAAGCAAATACAGTATGTGATCTAAAAGACCAAAAAAAAAAATGTTCCTTTATAAAACCATTTGTTAATGAATCGAAATAATTTACAGATTGGAATGATGCGAAATGGCATTTTGTTAGCCGAAGATACACCGACAAATATCATGCAACGATTTAATTGTGAAAATTTGGAGGATGCATTTTTAATACTTTGCCAAAAACATGGAGCCTCTGAAGAGGCTGACACAACCGTGGGTCGAGCTTCTGGCCAAAAAATGTTGCAAAATATATCACATCAACAAGGAAGTCATCAACAGCACGATTCAAAATCGGATGCAAAAAACAAAGAAGCAAAAGCTAATTCAGTGACGAAACATGATAATGAAACACAAACAGAACTTCCCACAAAGGGAAAATTAAAACGAAATTTATCATTTCACGAACAAAAGCCAGACACTTTGATCGGGAAATTGACATTTACATCACAGATTCGAATGAAAGCGTTGCTCACCAAAAATCTGCTTCAATTAATTCGTCAACCATCGTAAGTTTGAATTATGAATGAAAGTCATGTTTCATTTAGTATTAATCTCGCTTGATTAACATTTACGTTTTTTCCCTCTATTTTTTTTTTGTTATTCACTTCAGCGGTGTATTGTTTATATTTTTGTTCCCGATTTTGCAATGTACTTGCTTTTATTTAGCCATAGGTGATAATCCAAAGAGTTTAAAATTAGGAGTAGTCAATGAAGAAGTGTCCAATTTCCAAGAGTGTTATAATAGTTCACTTGTTACGACCCATCTATACGAATCGGAATGCAATTTAACAAAGGTCTCTTGTCGATATCTCAAAGATATACCGCCCGAATATGCCATACAGGTGCAAAATCAGTTTTATCTGAATAAATGTAAAAGCTAAAAAAAAATCATTAATTGACGCTATAAATTGTGTACAAATCATTAGATACCCTTCGGTTCCAAAGAGGACGCATACGCAGAGGCAAAAAAAGCGAATATCATTGGATTTGTACATTTTTCGGCAAATTTTACGGAATCAATTCAGGATATTTTGGACAACAATCGCGAAGCATCGAGCGGTTCGTTTGATAATCGCGAGATTCAAGTTCGACTTGATATGTCAAATCAACAAGTGGCATATTTTTTGGAACGTATACTGCGTGAAACATACGGTCAATTTGCTCAAAAGTTAATGGCCGATTGTGGATTGCCCAGAGCGCTCGCAACAATTCCAATCGATTTCAAAAAACCCATTTATTCATCATTCGAAGCTGATTTTCAAGAATATGCTGCACCCGGCGTCATCATGACGTAAGTGGCATTTTAATGTCAACATTTTCAATATTTATGGCAGAAACTAATATATCCCACTTATCGCTTTCTTTCTTTTCTCTCAATTTCCTTGTATTCAACAGAATGGTATTCTTTTTGGCAACTCTTGTTACGGCCGCCGTATTCATCACAGACCGCATGGAGGGTGTTTGGGAAAGAACTCTCGTCGCCGGTAAGAAGATAATTAAAACAACCAAACCAAAAATCATTCTAGCATCATTTTTTTTTCTCAAATTTCAAGAAATAAATTTCTATCTCAAAGTTTTATAGGCTTCTACATCTATCGTTTTAAGAGTGAAAAATTACATCTCCCCAAATTTCTATATTTGTGGTTCAATTAAAAAAAAAAAAAAAGAGAGATAAAATGAAGAAAACGCACGCACAAATTTTAATTTATTTTATATTTTGATAGGTATTACAACACCTGAACTGTTACTAGCTCACATTGTTACCCAGTCAGTTATCGTCTTTTTACAATGTACAGAAGTTATTTTCTTTATTGGCGTTGTCTTTGGCACTGAAAACCATGGCGACAATTTGACCGTAATTCTTCTACTATCGTTGACTGGATTTGCTGGCATGTTGTTTGGTATACATAAAATTTATTTTATAAATCGTGCCAAAGTATATAACTTAAAACTATTCAATATCGATTGTCAATTTCATTTTCTATGTCAGGAATGTTGATTTCAATTTTCTGTGAATCACACACAATGGCCAACTTTGTATCGACTGGTGCCTTCTATCCAATGATTGTGCTGTGCGGTTTACTTTGGCCACTCGAGGGAATGCCACAACTTTTGCGAGATTTTGCTTTACTGTTACCGTTTACCATTCCAACCATTTCGGTAAGTTTGAGACTTTTTTCCACTTTCGATGCAGTTGACATTCGGACACAATCTGAAGATGCTCTTCAAAATCAAAACAATTTTGTTATTGAATTAAATTTTTTCTCTTCTCTTTTTTGCGAAGGTGCGAAATATTTTGACCAAAGGGATGTCTATCACAAATCCAAATGTTTACAGTGGTTTTATAGTTATATTTTTATGGATTGCGGGATTCTTCTTCTTGTGTTTGGCCGGACTTCGGCGAAAGAAATAGACGTACAACGTACTTATAGTATATAGATAGATCTTATAAGGAAGAAGAGAAAACATCCGGTTCTACCAAATGCATTTAGTTGTAAATTGATTTTAACTTTAGAGTTTTGATACTTACAGTGGTGAGCCTACCTTAATCATACTTATATATATATGTTAGATATGCGATAAATCGCTTGAATAAACATTGAAATTGAATTTATTTACCATCACACATTACAACATTTTATCAATAGGAATTTTTCTCTTTCACACTCATTCACTTTCATGGCATTTGTTTACACTCTTCCGTGAATAATTGAATCAAAAGAGATCGATGGAAAGAAATGAGGTCTCCTATACATTTTATTTTCAATGATGTCACAGAACGAATGTTGAAATTAGACGCGTAAATATTTGATAATTTTGTTGTAAATTATTTTGTTCTTTATAAATTTCCACATGAAGCACATCGAAATAAAATGTCGAAAATACTCTTTTGAATTTGGGTCAATATTTTGATGAGATAAAAGCGAGTTAGTGGGTCACAAATAGAGAGAATCAAACATTGAAATAATGAGCAAATAAGAGAAAATCCATTCCAGTACAAGATGCATCATCTGAACAAAAAAAAAAAACAAAAAAAAAACAAAAAAAAATTATGTATATGTATAGTTTGCCAGACACTGTTGTTTTCAAACACAAAACACGCTGTTTTCTTTTTTGATTGTGAGAATTATTTTTTTTTACAATTTATTAATTCTTCATTTCATTTTTATGATTGTCCTAACTTAAGTGAAATGGCATTCAATTATTATAATTATTATTATTATTATACAACATATTGAGAATTTGCAATATTGTGTTTTGTTTTAGAAATAAAACTATCAAAAATTAGAATAAAAAGAAATAATTTTACTTGTTTTTCATTCATTTTTCATGGAATGCTTTTTTGTGATACCTTGTTTTCATAATAATCATCTCAATAATTTGCTTCAAATATTTTAGCTTAATTCGACACTTTTATTCGGACTTGTTTTGAGTTGTTTTTTTTAGTACGCAGTTTAATTGGTATACAGTGCCCATTTGAGTACATTGTCTCCAAATTCTCCTATCTAATACAAACAATTTATGAAAAAAATATTGTTTGTTCGCAACGCACTAAGACCTAATTAAATGGTAAGCAATACTTGAATGTTCAACACACATAAATGAAGTGTGCGTAAGATTCGAAAGTTGATTAGATTTTAAAATTAGCTATTTAGTCCTTAGCTATTCACAAGCAAAAAACAAACTATATTAATAATAATGACATTGGTTTTGAGTAGAGAACGAGATAAAAAAAAAACGTAATTATTTGAGTATATGTCATCTAAATCAAGATCAAATACCCGAAAAAACCTAAAGATAAAAAAAAAAACAAAAATGTACACGATGACACCATTAACCGTACATTTGGCTTTTTAGTACAGCATAATAGCGCCGGCAGTTTTTTCATCAACTGGTTCTTGGCGAACTGGGCGTCGTTCTTTCTTTTCCATAACCAATACAACAACTAAAATTACTAAATTTACTATCACAAACAGTATTCCGACCAATACAAAATAAAAACTATGACCAAAAACGGCCAAATCTGATTGCCATGATCTATGACGATCCTCCGCCATCAACACGTTCTCTTTCAAATAGCCGTAAAATTCAGCGATCCAACATAGAAACGCCAACAGCTGTGACAAGGCTAAAATAAAAAAAAACGTTTTATTCATTTTTTTCCTCTTTTTATCGTCATTATTTATAATTGAGTATATATTCGTGATATATTTATTATAGTGTAAATTATATTTGCGTTTGCTAATTGCTTTAATTGTCGATGAATTTTTTTGTTTTGAAAGTCATTCACTGCAAAATGTAAAAAAATGCATTCCAAATACAAACCTGATGCCCCATTGCTGAAAAACAGAAGACACATGGTGCCGTGTTTTTTCTTTGATGAAGATGATTTCAGTACAGATGCGATGCCACCGATGCCGCTTGACAGTAAACCGAGTCCAGTGCCGATAAATGTGCCCATCCAAAGCCAGTAGCTCATGAAATTCGGTTCATTTCGTAAGGTAGCCGCAACATCAACTGGTGTCGTTCGTGCCCCAATGCCCCGATCCAAAGTCTTTTTGCCCGAAAAGAGGCCAAAGTGTACGGTACCAGTTGCGTTCGCTGAATTCGGCATTTTTGCTTCGGCTTCAATCCAATGCTCCGTTATTAGACTAGCTAACAACAATCCAACAACAATACAATTGACAAAAAATGTCGCAAATACAAGTCCTCTCGTTTTTACGCTCATGTTTGTTTTTTTTTCTTGGTTGTTTCTTCAAAATTTCGATTACGCAATCCACAACTCGTTCTCCAGCTGATTGACAACTAAAAGAAGATACACGTTAAAACCAATTTGAATATGTTAATCCGTAGTGTTTTTTTTGCGGATGTCGATGAAAAATGCAAAGTGATTTTTTTTTACATAAAATATTTGCTCAAAATATAAAATGTAAAAATAACGACAGTTGCATGGCTTCAGTACATTGAAACTACAATCAGACATGTCTGCAGAGAGACAAAGAGAAAGAAACTCAACCGCCACACTTTTCAAAATGGGGTTATATTTCTTGGAATCACAAACTAATCATGTGAACGAATATTTGAAAAGAGCAATGAAAAATCGAAAAAAAAAATTGAATCTTTCTTTCATTTAACAAAAAAAAATAACAACATTTAATCGTGATCACAGACCGATCAATGAAATAAGCAAAACAAAGGCTCAGTGTAATTTTCATTTGTATTGACATTTTTTTTCATTGAACATATTTAGATATCATTACGTTTACGTTTATTTTTGTCACACCACAACTGTAATGTAATTTTTAAAAAAATTTGTCAACTCACCGAATTTAATGAAGGCTTTTAAATGGTGCGAAATTTATCTATTTCTCTACTTAAACGCGTAATTTTGACTTTATTTTTATTTCACCAGCATTTATTTGTCGTCTAATTTTGTCACCGCTTTGATCAACATTACTCATATAGTATTTATCTGCTCATTGTTTGATACAATGCACACTGCACTTTGTTTTCTGGTAAATATAAACACATTGTTTGATGTTATTTTTTTATTTGTTAACGAAGCTTCTGTCAGCACCAAATTGCCAAGCGGTATGTCATTTTATTAATAGGGATCATCCACATAAATTGAATGTCTATTTATATTTCATTTAAAATTGAATATATTTTTTTTAGAAAACTTCATTCATTGAAGGTTTTTTATTCAATTGACTATAGATTCGTGAGTATTTTCACGCTCTATTTACATCATGTTTCAAACATTTCACTACAATTTTCGAAAAAGTCAAATCATGGTTATGATTCAGACGATTGCGCAGCTTAAGTCAAATTTTAGTCTAACTTTAGGGGTGGCAAAAATTAAACAGAAAAAATATGAAATTGGTTTGGAAAATCACCAAGTGAGGTGCGCCATAAATTATCTGCAACAAATTATATCAAAGATTTTCACAAAACAAAATTACTATTCACAGCTAGATAAAAATAAAAATGTTGATAATGTTGGAAAAATACACTAATCATAACAAAACTAAAACAAACTGAATTTAGAACTCTATTTCATTTTTATCAAGGAATAATCTCATAAAACAATCCAAACAAACACATTATAACATGTATTTATTGAGGTTTATGACGAGTTATAGCAAATTATATTGTCAAGGTAAAAAAAAGATAGGTAAAGACAAGATATAAAAACGATCTCTTATTGTATAACATAAAAATACAATTTCGACTTCGTGAATTTGATTTGAAGAACCAACAAATTTTCCATCTCATCTATTAATTTTCAATATTGTGACCAATTGAAGAGACTTCCGTTATTCATTGAACTGTTGTGTTGAGAATACCATGTGGTTCTTATTGCTTGTGATTGTGGTATTGATTTTACTGTATTTGAGCAATGTAAAACCAGTAAATTTTCCACCCGGCCCAAAATGGTATCCAATTATCGGTAATATGTGGGAAATTTATAACGAGCGCATAAAAAATGGAATGTTGTGCAAAGCAATAATGTGTATGGCCAAGAAATATAGAACAAATCGTGTTATTGGTTTAAAAGTGGGAAAAGATAAAATTGTAGTAGCCATAGAATCGGATGCTATTCTTGAAATGGTTCGTAATGAAGACTTGGACGGTCGACCGTTCGGACCATTTTTCACAACACGAACATGGGGCTTACGCCGTGGAATTATTCTTGTCGATGAACTGTTTTGGCAAGAACAACGACGTTTTATTATGCGACATTTAAAAGAATTTGGTTTTGCACGTCGTGGAATGATTGAAATAATTCAAAATGAATGTGAACATTTATTGAGTGACTTTAAAATGCTTTTATTTCGACAAAATGGAGATGCGATGGTATCAATGTGTGATGCATTCAGTATTTATGTGTTGAACACATTGTGGACAATGATGGCCGGAATTCGTTATAATCAAGAAAATAAAGAAGTGCAACATTTACAAAGAATGCTTAATACATTGTTCACAAAAGTTGATATGGTCGGTGCACCGTTTAGTCATTTTCCATTTTTACGATTTTTGGCACCACATTTTTCCGGTTACACACAATTCAAAGACATTCATGAAATGCTGTACAAATTTTTGGGCAGGGAACTTGAAAATCACAAGCAACATTTTAAAATAGATAATGAACCCAAAGATCTAATGGATGTATATTTACAAGCGATTAATAGCACACAAACTCATAACGACAGTTTTAGTGAAAAACAATTATTGGCCATTTGCTTGGATATGTTTGTCGCTGGATCAGATACGACCAATAAATCAATGGGATTTTTAATGTTACATCTCATACGAAATCCGGATATACAAACTAGAATGCAAGAGGAAATTGATCGAGTCATTGGACGAAATCGATTGCCAACGCTTGAGGATCGGGCAAAGTATGATCAAAACCTTTATCATATATGTTGTGTTCATGTGTATAAATATGGCATTATCTAACCAAATCATTTGAACTATTAAATTCCATTGTAATATATGCAGGGATTGTTCCTCTGAGGACCCGTGTTCTCTCGTTGTGCCTTTCAAATGGCACAATCGCAGTAGTCTGCACCTTTGCGTATTCAATGATGATACTGTTCACTTGTATTCAGACGTATAATTAATGTCGCACACATACACATACATAGCTACACTCTCACATCTCTTTCATTCTTTATACGTATACGCAAAGGTGCAGACTTCTGCGTCCGTGCCATTTCAAAGGCACATAGAGAAAATACGGGGAGGAGGCGAGCGCTGAGGAGGATCCTTCTCCTCAAGTGAAGAGAAAAAGTTTTTTTTAGTCAAAAAGCTATTTTCATCACAAATAATGTATTTTTCAATTTTTTTGGTACAAATTTTTTTTCTCCTCAGCGCTCTCCTTCCTCATTTTCCTTCCCACCGATCCTCCTCCTCAGAGAAACAGTCTCGGAATATATGTATATAAATTTACATTCACTTGGCCCGTTTACAAGCGACTTACACATATTACATCAAAAAGTTTTTGACAAAAAAATAAGCTTTTAACTCATTTTGAAAAATAAAGCCTTCATTTACTCCGAATATCAGAGTAACCTTACTCTAATATTTTTGTCTGTGTAGAATGCCATTCTGCGAAGCATCCGTTCTGGAGGGTATTAGAATGTTTATGGGATACACTTTTGGTGTACCACATCGTGCATTACGTGATACCAAACTTTGTGGCTTCAACATTCCAAAAGTAAGTTGTTAAAATTGTGAGTGATGCAAATTGCATAAACATTTGAAAATATAATTTGCTATACGTTTTGCTCTTCATCAGGATACAATGGTAGTTCCATGCTTTTATGGAATGGCATTTGATAAAACAATTTGGCCTGATTCTGATCCAGAAATGGATTGCTTTAAATTTTGTCCAGATCGATTTATTAAGAATGGCAAAATTCATGTTCCGGAGCGACATAAACCATTTGGAGCTGGAAAACATCGTTGCATTGGCGAGTTAATGGCACGAGCAAATATATTTCTATTTACAACAACATTGTTGCAAAACTTTTGTTTTCAAATTCCACCTGGATATGCAGTACCAACTTCACAACCAGTAGATGGTGTTACGGCGGGAATTCAACAATATACGGCACGTGTGCTAAATCGATAAAGGCATACTAACTATAATGGCCGAGTATCACTTACGTTGTATATTGACAATGTATTTGAACGCGACTCGATTTAAGAAGCGCCATCTCTGTCACGCCAGGTTCTCATATATTTTTTTTTTTGCAAATAAAATTCCAAAATTGTATAAATTGAATAAGTTTTGCAATAGTTATAACGAAAATAGTTAATAGAATTTATAATAAATAAAAAGAATTAAAAAAAACACACAAATATTTTATATTATATGATATGAAGCTTTACCTTGTAGACCATGTTGAGATGGTTACGTGGAGAAAATATGTATTTGTCAAACATTCATACCTGTCAAAAGAAACAACGTAAACAACACGAAGTGAAGCTATTCTGGTGAATCATATAATATAAAATATTTGTGTGTTTTTTCAATTTTTTTTTATTTATTATAAATTCTATTAATTATTTTCGTTATTATTATTGCAAAACTTATTCAATTTATACAATTTTGTAATTTTATTTGCAAGAAAAAAATATATGAGAACCTGGCGTGATTGAGATGGCACTTCTTAAATCGAGTCGCGTTGAAAGCCGACTATAAGTGATACTTGATAATGGCAGTTTGAACTAGTACTTGTGTTGTATTATGTTTTTTTTTTTGAAGTCATCGCTAATAAACAATTATAAATTATAAATTATAATTTATAATACCATATTTCAAATAGCGGAAAATAAAATTTGTTTATAATCATAATCACTAAATCTTTTGTAATCATTTTTCAAGATTAGATTCAATTACAAATTATCTCTGCTTATAAAAGACCATTACAATAAGATTTTACTCCAGTAAAAACATAAATTATCTGCAAATATGTTTCAAAATTCAAGATCCGATTCAGATGAAGAAAATTCAAGTCCGTTCATTTTTGAGCGCATAAAAACACCAAACGGCAAACAATCAATGCTCAATAGCGTAAGCACATATCTTCTAGTGAATACAAAATCATCTGCAAATAATCATTTGCCATTTTCAACGAATTATAAATTCAAATCGTGCTATTTGCTGCCCAGATTTGAACGCTTGGCCCCAGACTTTCGATCATTTAAAATAAGAAAAGATGATGTATGGATTTTAGCACATCCAAAATCGGGTTCAACGTGGATAGAAAATATCGTTTGGCAATTGAAAAATGGTTTTGATTTTTTTAAAGAACCGATTGCATTACTTACTAATCAAGTTTTTGAGCGTGACATAAAAAGTGAAAATATTGATTTTCTCAAAAAACTGAATGACACACCATCACCACGAATTATAAAATCACATTTGCCACCACATTTATTGCCAATGGAACTGTGGACGATTCGACCGAAGATCATTTATATTGCACGAAATCCAAAAGATGTTGCAATTTCGATGTTTCACATGCTGCGCAGTGGATACAAAGAGTTCACGACCACAATTGAAGAAATGTTTGATATATTTTTAGATAATAGAAATTTGTTTGGACCATTTCATGCTCATATTCTTGCATATTGGGAGATTCGACATTTGGAAAATTTCCATTTTTTAACATATGAAGATCTTTCAGCCGATCCGTTTGATGAAATCAAAAAAATTGCCGCATTTCTACAATGTACATACAATGCAAACGAATTGAAACAACTCACCGACTATGTTTCAATTGATAACATGCAGAATCTTTACACCAAACCATTAAATGGATTTCAGTAAGTATCGTGAAAAATAAATGATCAAGGTCTTTTTTGAATATCTCTTATCTGCTTTCTACTCTAGATTTTTTAGAAAAGGGAAGGTTGGTGCATTTTTTGAGGAAATGACCGAAGAATATATAAGGAAATTTGATGCATGGACAGATTTTCATTTCAAAGGTTCTGATTTTAAATTCACCATATAAATTATGAATGAAAATGTAATTCGACTTTTCAAAATTATTATAATTTAAAATTGAAAAGAATGTATAGAAATGAATATATAAAAAAATTTCTATTTTTAAATAGTTGTTTTATTTATCGGACACAGAGCATCTTGATTTGCTGCTGCTCAGCATATAGCTGAGAGCTGAGAAATGCTGAACTCGTGCGGCTAACGCATACGAAACGGATGGCACGCACACATGCATTCTCCCCGTTTAAACGGTTATAAATAGTTGATTGGACGTTCAATTCAAAACTCAAAACTTAGTAACCAGTTGAGTTTGAAATTGTGTTGCGACCGACATATGAGAAGCTGCGAGAAAAACATCACGTCGCATCCCTCGTTATTTTGCTTACGTAAGTGAAAACAAGAGAGGAGATGCGACGTGCTGTTTTTGCTCTCAGTCTTTCATATATTCTGAAAGTGTACGTCTAACGCATACGAAACGGATGCACGATACATATTCCCCTTTCACTTCGTATGTTCGCTGGTATAGTGTGTAACCATTGTACCGGCAATAGCGTCAACGGCAGCACATACGAAGCGAAAGGGGAATATGTATCGTGCATCCGTTTCGTATGCGTTAGCCGCACGAGCTCAGCATTTCGCAGCTCTCAGCTATATGCTGAGCAGCAGCAAATCAGGATACTCTGATCGGACACACTGTGTATATCAAAAGTTTCTATTGAAAAACGTAATATCTATGTCTCTATTAAATGATATTTATTTCGTTTAAGAAATAATATCATAAAATATGATGTAAACATGATATAACATCATAAAAAACACTTTATTACACGTGCCTATTAAGATTTATGTTTATGGTGGACCATAGCAAATCATGTTATCATGGTAAACAATGGCACCTTATCATTTCAAGTATAAAAGCGTTCACTTATTGAAGAATCTAAATAGTTTTCCTTGTTTTAAATTTCAATAGCCTATAGCCGTTCTGTAATCTGGATAGAAAAGAAAAGTATAATGGTCAATGAAATGTGCATCAACGATCACTTAACCATTGACCGGTTTTCGGTTAAATCATTTTATCGTAACACTTGTATTCTAGTGACGGGCGGAACTGGTTTTGTGGGAAAAGTGTTAGTTGAAAAATTGCTGAGAACTTGTGATTCATTACAATGTATTCATTTGTTAGTCCGCACAAAACATGGTCTACGTATCAAAGAAAGATATCATAAGTTCATACAAGATACGGTAAATAGCTGTTTTCACTTTTTACATAATCGAAAACATCATTTCTATTCTTTATTCATTGAATTTCATTATAGTTAGAAACTATATGCTTTTTTACTATGTAATTTTAAGGGAAAAATCAGAACGATGTCTGATTGGTTTCTGAATCATATTATTTTTCTTTCCTTTTTTCTGAACAAAAAATATAATTTAGCTTTTATTTTTGAAATATAAGGTATTTGATCGCGTACGAGAATCAAATCCGGAGTATTTGCAAAAAATAGTATTCATTGCGGGCGATTTATCGAAAGCGAATATCGATATATCGAATGAAGACTTACACATACTCAAGAAAAATGTGAATATTGTTTTTCATTTGGCAGCAACTGTGCGTTTTGACCAAAGTATCAAAGAAGCGATCAATTTAAACACTTTAGGTAGCATGCGACTTTGGGATTTATGTTCTCAAATGCAAAATCTACGTAGTATTATACACGTTTCAACGGCGTTTACCAATCCGACTCGTACAAATGTGGGAGAACATGTGTATCCACCAAAAATTGAAATGGATGTAAACACATTTATCAAATGCGCTGATGCGTTGCGAGAAGATTTAGTGACGAAAATTGCAACACATTTGCATGTAACAAAACTATCTCTTTGTTGAAAAATTGGTTTAACATTGTTTTTACATTTAGGGAAATCATCCGAATACATATACGATCACAAAAGCAATGGCCGAACAAATGGCAGCACAATATCATTGTAAATTGCCAATAACAATTATACGACCATCAATAGTAACATGTGCTCTAGCCGAGCCATTTCCAGGTTAAATACAGACAAATCCATTCGATTCATTTCTCTTTGCCACTATCCAATTTTTTTTAATCGTTTTTCAGGATGGATTGATAATGTCAATGGAATAACTGGAATGATAATGGAAATTGGACGTGGCACACTAAGTAGTATTATGTGTGATAGTCGTCTTGTTCTTGACGTCATTCCCGTTGATATTGTTTGTAATATGATGATAACAGCTGCATGGCTTAATTACCTTAAACAGTAATATTCTCATCATTTCTTTCGACGTTGATTTTTGGCCTTGAAATGAAAAAAAAAATCAATAATATTGATCCTTTTCAGAAGCCCAAACATTCGTGTATACAACTGCATATCGGGTCAACTGAATGCATTGGATTGGGAGACGTGTCGTCGAAAGGTGTTGAAATATTCACGCATTTATCCTAGCAAATATGTAATTATGTATCCGAATGTTTCGTATCGAACCAATCGACTTGTACACTTTTTCTACGAAATATTTTTGCACTTTTTACCGGCGTACATGTATGACTTTTTACTTCGATATAAAGGGTTGAGGCCGATCATGTTTAAAATTGCCAAACGATATAAGTCGGTAGCTGATACTGGAGAATTTTTCGCAAGGCACGAATATACATTCGAAGTGAACAATGTAAATGATTTGCTTCATGAAATTTCGATGGCTCATGATGGACACGAATTCATGTGCGACGTTAAAAAATTAGATTGGGACAAGTATCTAAAGAGATATGTGTGCGGCATTCGAAAATATCTTTTCAAAGATGATGATTCGACGATTGATCAAGCACGTCAAACAGTCCAAAGGTTTGTCAAATGAAACTCAATTATTTTCATTTTGATTATTTTTTTTAAAATTATATTTGCAGATTGTATGCACTAAAACTGATTATCCAAACAATATTTTTTGGGACAATTTTATTTTTCATTTACAAAATACTTCTCCTATGTATTATATGAAGAAAAATCCAATAAAATCATTCAAAACTCTATCAAAAAACAGAATATTTTATTGAACAACAAAAAAATCGATGCTAATTAAAAATTTGATGGATTTAAAAATGTATTTTCATTACACTTTTGGTGATACCAAACTTTGTGGCTTCAACTTTTATAGCTTCTGGAGTTGACGATCCAAGAGAGGAGATGTCATTTGAAAATTTTCCCAAAATTTAAAGGGGTAACTTTTTCTATTTGGTCTCTCACAAATTCAAAAATGCATTATTTGATTTGTTCAATTTTCATTAATTTGCTAGTTAATTTGTATATACCATCCCTGCGACATGACAGTGTATTGCAAAAAGTGACATGGTGGCGCCATGTACAACATGGTGGTGAAAGAACAAATTTTCATGTAAGAGCATGTACGACCACATTATTGATGTTAGTTGTTATCAACTTGGATGAAATAATTTGTGGTCGCAAATGCAAAATGTGCGTGGTCGCAAAGAGTGATCATAAAATTTAACTATTTTCAAAAATAAAATGTTTACAATTAGAAAGATTCTTTGCGATTTCATCATTTTTGTATTTAAAATTTATTTCGTTTAAAAAAAAGTAGAAGAAAAAACAAATCGTCTATCACAGTGTGGTCGCAAATACGTTGTGTTGTCGCACATGCAAAGTTTGTTCTTTCACCACTATATTACAGGTACATGGCGCCACCATGTCACTTTTTTCATGTCGGGGGGATGGTATATACAGAGTGTCTCACGAAGCGGGGCTACTATGAAGTATGTTGGGGGTAAAAAATAGAAAATTTCTATCTGAGCAGAATTTATGTTAAGTTTTATCTGATATTCGGAGTAAATGAAGGGATTACTCTCAAAATGAGTTAAAAGACTACGGTTTACACAAGTATTGGTGTAATATGTGTAAGTCGCTTGTAAACGGGCCAAGTGAATAGGTGCGCCACTCGAAAATGTTGAAACACTAACTGTGTAATAATTGAACGGGAAAATAAATGAAAAAAAATCGGGTGCTTGTTGGTTCCGGTGAAAAGAACCGTACCTTTGAAGTAATAAGGAAATGAACAAAAGTCACTTTTCATCCGAATACTTTCGTGTAAAAACATTCACCGGCATAAATCCAAGTCCCAGTTTTTTACCAATGCATAAATATTTATTAATTGATAAAATATCTATTTGCTTATCCAACCACAGAAGGTGTTTAATGCTTATGAGTGCCGATATGATTTCGTTTTTAATTTAAAACCGTTAGGAAAAAACATGCACGGTGAGTTCGGGCATATGCATTTTAATACTGAGAAACCACTGGAATAAAGTTATTATCAAAATCTTTCCGCAAAATATAAAAGCTAAAAAAATTATTTAAAAGGTGATTTTATTCATTTAGAGTCTAAATTTTAGACTAAGTTTGTAATTTTCAATACTTCCAGTTTTAACTGAATGATTGTTTCACAGATAACTGTAAAAAATAATGAAACCGATGAGCTGGCGAATCTTGACTTTCGATTAATTAGATGCGCACGTTGAGAGTATAACTTACATAAAAAACTGTCTTCACAAGTAATAAACATTCAGAATTGTCATTTTGCGCCTTGAGAAAAAAAATGAGCGGAAATTGTGCAAAATCGAAATTTTCGATTCAAAAAGATAAAAGAGAGAAAAAATATATTATTTTTTTTTCGAAAAGAAACTCAAGTTCTTTTTAGGTGTAAAACGCGAATCTTTCTTAACATCCGTATTAGTGTTGAATTGGTTATTGTTATTTTGTTCGATTGCTACAAATTAATACGATAGAGCAATTGCAAAAGAAGGGATTACTTTGACTCTTGCTGTGTTTCATTCGGGGGTCTTTTCGCATGTCACACGTTTGTCATTAGCTAACATTAAATCACACCACATATCGAGAGGATGGTAAAACGCTTGACATAGAATTACTGACAGAGCACAGCGAATAATGTCAATTTTTTCTCTTTCTTCTTGTCTCTCTTTATTGCATTCTGTGTGTCTCCCTTTTTATCAAATAAAAATGCATCCATAGATCGAGACGAAGAGGCCAAGGCGAGATGCGAAAGACTTTAGTTCCAAACAAAAATGAAAACATTTCTTTTGTTTGCGTCGACACTGCTATTCTTCGTAATTGAGATCTTAAAACTGTACACAATAACTAGCTGGTGAATGAGAAAACGAGAGAGACTTACTGATTTAGTACGTATTATTATCCGGAGTTTAATTCACAATTGCATGTCGAACACAGTCATACAGTTGAATACAATGAAACTGAAAAGGTCATGCTCTTGATTCAGCGATACGTACGCAATAAAAGCCACACATGGGATTTGATTGATTTGAAATTTTAGTCAATATTAAGAAGCTTAGAATCATCTCAATGCATTTTGTTGTCATTCGACTCACACATTGAACGGAATTGGCAATGTTTATGTTGCTGGCAACAACAATCTTTTATTACAATCTCCAAAGACGATCAATTCACTTTTTTAATTGTTGAACAAGCACTAGATTAATTCTTTATCTAACCAAGAATGTGAAGAGATAGAAAAAATGTGAAGAGAAAAGGCCATATCCGATTTTCAGAGAATGGATTCTTCAACGGAATCAATTGACTTGCACTGCAATCAATGGGATCGCGACGGGCGGTGCATGGCTGAATGAATTTCCTGATTGCATTTTTTCGATTGACCGAAAAAATGAAAATCGGAAATGATTTCGAAGCGAGCAGTAGAAGTTGTTGACATATTTATGCATTGATACAACAATTGGATCCAAGTTCGATAGATATATTTTTACATCAGTTTTTTTTTTTTTAATTCCATTAATGGTTTTACTAAATTGTTTCACACATTCGTTTCAATTCACCTAAATCTGCCTGTGCGAAATACATATGAACATTTTCATGCTCATTTCGAGATATAGATAACAAAAGATTTGTCTGATGTAGGTATAACCGATATTTTGCACGGTTTTGCATTTTATAAATCCACGGTGGTGGTCGATCGGGTCAGATTCATTTTTTCAATAGATACAAAATGTTCATTCTCTTCGCGTCCATTACAATGAACCAATCGATCGACACGGCCAAACGCAGTATAATTGTTCGAAATAAGGTATATCAAACCACAATAAATAACCATAGAGACTAACAAAAGCGACTAGTCGATCAAGAAAACAAATACCATTTTTTTGGCATTTATTCATTCAATTCCCTTTATTGGAGGATTTTTTTCTCCTTCTTTCTCTCCGCCTCGCTCACTCTCTCTCTCTCCATTCATTTTTATCCAAAACTAAGAAAAGGAATCGTGCTCCTTGAAAAACACGAAACGAATCGAAATCGGTGATGGCTTATGAATGAATTTAAAACGCGCACCCAATTGTATGCATTCGATGTAGGTAAACATTTTTTTGCTCTTTCTCCAAAAGAAACGAACCACCAACAAAAAGAATATGGACAGAAAGAATCAAATAATAATAAAGTAGGACATTCATACATTCGATGTTTAAAATTATTGCCATTATTATTTTTATCGTCCTTTTTTTCAATAAAAAAAACTCTCAATGGATCCATCTTAATCTCGAACATGTTCTTCTATTAAAGAGCAATAAAGTGACACATTTGTGAAAATTTATGTTTTTGTTAGATTGCAGATAAAACTATGTATGTACTCAAGTCTTTTCGCAATAATTTCGCTTTGTTTTCGTCATAATTCGAATTCAATACAACTTCAAAACGGTACAATGACAATTACTTGGAAAAAATACGAAAATAAACTGAAATTGATAAAGATTACATTTGATTTAATGAAGTCGAATGAACAAAATGATTTCAAACGCTTTATTGTAAAATGGGAATAAAATGGCAATTGAATTCTGCAGAATAAATGCCTTTTAGTGAAACTTCATAAATAAAGTGTAAACATTTCTAAAATTGATGATGAATGGAGTGAAAACAGTTTTTCCAAAGAAAAAAAATGATCGTATTCAAATTCAAAATTTAAATATTTACGCATTTTCTGCATGGTTTGGGCCCTCTTTTTTTCCAAAATGCTAATTAAAATTAACTGATATAATTGGGTAAAGTGAATTCGATATATATAAATATATATCCTTCCTTAAAATTCATCATGTGACAGGCGTGACACATTTTGGCCTGAATGTCAGTCGACAATAGGGCAAATAGAAGAAAAAAAAATTGTGTAGGCTATTTTGATTGTTGAAAAAAGAAAATCACAGTTTGAAAAGTGTGAAGTTTCGCAATTTCCCACGCTTCGAAAGCAGCTAATGTGTAACAATAATAATAATAATAAAAGTATTCGGTGTTCACCGGTTCGTTTCTTACAAAAAGTGAAACTAGGCACTGAGCATCGAAACAATGACGAATGACCGTACGCACTGTGAGCTATTATTATATTGACGCACAAAAGTCTAGCATTTGCTATCACATCATTCTGTATCTACGTAAAATGCAATAGCGAAAATGGTGAAAGAAGGAAAGAAACGAAGAAATAAAGCGAATGACAAAGAAAACGAAAGAAAAGATGAATGGACTCGATCTGTTTTATAAGAAATTGGTGCAGTTTGTGTTGAATGTTCACCAATTATCTGCACAGTCAACTGATGAATTGATCTGGATATTTCGACCGCAACAGACAGTATGACGCCTTAGTACGAAATGCAAACCAGAAATAAATAATACCCGATTTAAAACTATCCAAATGTAGTGAATAATAAATCCCAGACGATTCGCAAAAGCCATATCATTTCCATGGAAAACGATTTACAATATTAACATGTTACAAGAGTAAAAGACTTTCAATAGAAACAAATTCACGATTATACTGCACATTAAAATATTTTCAACTGACAAAACAATCAGATTACGTACAGGACTTCAAAAGTGACCATAAATTATCCAACCAACGTATAGTTAGAAAAGAGAACTTTTTTTTTTTGCTGAGAATGGACATTACGATCAAAATAGCTACCTCCTGGTGTGCTCTTTTATGCTATCTATTGATTTCGGATACAGCAATTACTTTTCGAAATGACAACAACGACAAATTGGCTCAAATCTTCATCCTGCTTTTAATGCACTTTGCTACAATTACTCATGAATTACAATTTAAACGGTGAAACAGCAATAATCTAAATCTGAAGTACGACGTGAATATTTCGGCTCTCTCATTGCCACTAGACTAGTGGTAACGAACATTTTTACATTTTTTTTTCAATAAACCTGATGGTACAGTATAGAAAAGCCCACAATTAAAACGCTATTTTTATAGTTCATCAATAATTTGATAGGGAAACTTTTTTTTATTCTCAATCAAAAAAAGGAAATGAAAAGAGCCCAAAAAAAGGCAAACGATCGTTGTTTTGTTGTATCAAATATGAATCGTGTTTTACGTTTTTGAATCATCTTCAATTTATCTCTTATAATATTCTTGGAAAATAGACAATTTTTAAGCTCGGTAAAAAAAATTTGTTGACTTTTTGTTAATGCCACGTACACATTTTTTTTTTCTTCGCGTAACGTCATCTCACATTGAAATAGCCTTAAGAATTGATCAATGTTTGAATTCTTTTTCATTGAATTCCAATCCATTCAATTTGTGAATGGAAATCAAAAAATGATACACCAAAATGAAAAGAATACACTTTACAATGGAGAAAACTAAGGATTCTTTTTCGATTCAGGTAAAAAAAAAATATATGACTGAATATGTGTGCGTATAAACCGCGATTTTGCAAAAATGCTTGGTTTGTCACTTCTTTGAGAAGATGCCCCAACAGAGTTATCCAATGATTTTTCAAATTATGTTGAAAAATAATTTGATTTGAATTTGCAGACAAAAATTTGGTTATTTCTTCAATTGTTCGTCACAATTCGTTTATTCGTTTCCATATAAAAAAAAAAAACATTTAATATACACAGTATAAAAATATAAAATTTAGTAACTTATTGTTGTTAAATTGTCTCTGTTCTTAATGTTAATTTTAATCTTCTTATCTTACAGTTGAATTCTATGTACACATTTCATTTATTAAAAGTTCAGACAAAAAAATAAAAATAAATCTATGCTATTCGATTTGAAATTCATTTAGTATCCATACAGATAAGGATGATATAATGGTAAAAGCATTGCTGATTGCATATAACGATCTTGAACAAAATGGGTTCTGAAATAAAAAAAAAAAGGAGAAATTTAAATTTTAATTGTTGTCTGGCAATCGGATTATTGCAAAAATAATTCCGTTTTTACGTATAAGTGCATAACATTGACCCAAATAATTTTCTTTAATCTGTTGCACCGTCATAAAAAAATTCATTGAGGATTTTAAAATTCTCATGAAACTTACCGTGTATGCTTTTTAAGATGATCACGACGGCCAAAGCGTTTGCCACAGGTTTGACACGGGAATGGTCGATGGCCTGTGTGAATACGTTTATGTCTCGTCAATTCTTCATTTCGTGTGAATGTTTTGCCACAATTTGGTTCATCACATTTAAATGGTCTTTCACCTGAAAGCAAAACAATAAAAAATCATTAAGAAAATGTATATTTAGCATAAAAAGAAGGGATTAATAATGGTTTTATGCTTAAACATAAACAAATCTACAATAGCTATTATAATTTACCTGTATGAATTCGAATATGTCCTTTGAGTTGACCGTTATTTGAAAAAGCAACATCACAATGCGGACATTTGAATTTTTTTGGTCGTTGTTTTCTGGCTGTCATCATTTTAACTTGCGCTTCTTCGGCCAAAACTCGAGCATATTCTTGTTCCATTACAAATGGATCGACACCCATGAATGGAAGATTGGGCAACATAATATCTGGATAGGTTGTTGTCGCTGCTGGCGGTGGTTGTGCGAAAAATGGAGCGGTCGGAAAGAATCCAGGTATTTGTGTTTGTAGATGTGGTGGCACTTGATTTATATCCAATTTTGTTTGTGGAGCACAATTTAAAAATGTTGCGGTTGTTGCGATGGTCGTCGTTGTTGATTGTTCATTCATTGCAGCGCTGGTTGATTTTTCGCAATTCTCACGAAACATTGGTTCATCTTTCACAGGAACTTTTTCACAGATTTCATCACAGCATTCGATTTTTTTATCGATAATTGATCGCGGACTAATCGATGGAGCAATGATCTGTTTTGATTGCATCGTTGTCGATGTTATTGTACTGTCCTGATGGGTTTTTCCATCCCAAGGACGAAACAAACGCGAATACGTTTGTGGCGGAGATATGGCACATTTGACCGACATTTTCACAACACAATTTCAAAAATATCACAATCACACAGGATTTTTGTATAAAATGTTCGTTTTTTTATTGTCAATAGATTTAATTCTTTTTTTTTTTCAAACTACGATATACTTCGTGTAATTTTGCGTTAGTTTTTTTCGCTTCAATATTTGAACATAAAATCGATGTTCACAGCTTCACAAACCGAAGTCAACTAAGATCGATCCTCAAGAGGTATCACTTTTAAAATAATCTCAAACAATAGACCCGGACGAATATAATGGTAGCCGAAAAATGAAAAATACATTTCAGTAGTTAGTAAAAAGATTAAAGAATCAACAAATAGAAAATAACATATATAAGCTCACACACACACACTGACACACATATACATTATAACATTTTCTATTGTTGAAAAGGAAACACTCTAAAAGAACTAAACATATTAGAAAAGAAAGAGATAGAAATGGAGAAGAAAAGGGAAGAGGAGAATGTGACAACTCCTCCCTATGCTCTGCAGCCCTTCTGTCTGCCGAATATGATGTGCTTGAAAAGACTGAAGCACACAAATGCACGGGAAAAATACCATAAACAAAGTAGTGGTACAATATCAAATATTTAGGGTAAATCGTATAACCAACTAAAAACAGTCCTCAAATAGGCCATACAAACACAACAAACACATACCATTTCTACTATATTGGCCAATGTAGAAATGATCCCCCTGCAAAATGCATAAATCGTAATTTTGCGGTTAAAAAGCACATACGTTTGTAACCACCACAAAATCCAAACATCGTCCACCGAATTTTTCATTGCTTTGATGCTTTTTTTTGTTTGACTGCATTTTCCCTGTCGATTTGAATTGCCGGAGTGAAAACGAAGACAGAGAAAAAAGCGAAAGAGAGAGTAAGAGAAAGAACAGCACAGCTCACACATCACATTTTTATTTGTTACGATGAAAAATGATACGAACACACAATAAAATTAACGGGAAGATAATAAATGGCAGCGAAAAAGCGGTCACACAAGCCTTAAAATCATATGAATATGCTGCACACTTATAAAAACTGTTTTCAACATAAATCGTCAAACCCTAGTTTGTTGTTTGCATGCGTTATACCATTCGATCCTTTTGAGCACATTTAGCTTGCAATTTAAATAAAAACATGACAATGCCGACAACCACATCGATGACGACGACGACGACACACATTTTGGCCAAAATGCGAACAGTTTGTTGAAAACTGTTGCATCCATTGCTCAATAGAAAAACCAGAATTTTAGTTCCACATGACTGAACATTTTTGTCATAGTTCTCAAACACACACCACACCATTTTATGCACTTTTTGAGATGGTGTGAGAATTATTATCGCTGTTAACGCACACAACACACACACACACAAATTACCCGTCACAAGACAGTTTGAATGGTATCAAAACTGAAAATGGCTGTTTTTGTGGCGAGCCTAACATTTATAATATGTATACTGCAACGCATTTGCCACGATTTGTAAGCAGAAGGCAATTTCATTTGAATGATTTTGTTGGTTTTATTTCCCTCGGCATCGTTGTCATCATCGCGTTGTGTAATCGCGATTTCTTTTGGGCTATTGTATGGGCCAAATTCACTTTTTGGTGGTGGTTTTTGTGCATTCATTATAATCAAGATTCATGAAGGTTTGTACATGCATCACGCAGTTGACACTGCATTAAAAGGCAAGACAATCAAATCGATTCCATTCCACATGAACGATTGCATATTCCGTTAAATTACCAATTCGACGTAATACATGAATTCGGCGTATTACTCTTAATTGCAAACAGCTATTTTGATTGTTCAAAAAGCACAAAATCAATAAATTCTATGATTTTTGTATTTTCACATTTCTCTACCGGATTTTCGCTCTTCTTTTGCCGGAACAATTATTGCCTATTCAATTTAACTTTGAATGGATTCTTCCATTTGTAGATAGTTGGTTGGCGTAGAGAAATTTTGCTGAATTTCTATTAAAACTCACATTTAAGCATCGAAGCAAACCACAAAACTGACGAGATTACATTAATTGCGATCCATCATTTGATTGAATTTTTGATTGTTCGTGTGTGCCGTGAAATCAAATTGTATTATATTTGATTGTATATCAATCTAAGTGCGCCTTCGTCTCAAAATAGAAAAGCCCAAATTTTTTTTTTTTTTTGGTGAAAAAATTCAAAATCAACTGTATTTTTGAATAAATCACTCAATAATGATTGAATTGCATCATGTCATTGATACCAAATACATTCTTTACAACAATAGACCTGAATAATTGGAGTGCATTGAAACTCTGTCTTCTGATGTGCATCGATGATCGATCTTCTTCGTTTTCAATATGAAGCTCGTGACATTTTCAACTGTCACATTTTTATGCTGTGTACATTTCGAATGTTTTTGAAGATAAAAAAAAATGCATAAAATTTAGTTGGAAATGTTTGAATTTGATTTTGATTTGGGTTGATTCAAGGCACAACCAATGAAATATCGAACGAACATGCAATTTCTTGGGAGGCAATTTTGATTGAATGCAATCAAATTACTTGACAATTCAGAGAAACATGTGTCTTTCCACGCAATTTTAAATTTAAACACATTAAGAACGCTATCATCCAAGAAAGAAATCACAATTTTTATTATTTTATTCCATTTTTTTTGGAAACATCTCCATTGATCGATCTTTTCTTTCAAGTATATTTTCGAGATAGGCTATAAAAAAATAAAATCAAACTGTTTTGATAAGTTTTTTGTACTAAAAAGGCCCAATTGTATGTAATGTGACACTTTCATGATCGATTAAATTTTTGCTTCAATATTCCAATTGAATTTTAAAAATTGTCTTTGTATAAATATCAAAATGAAACAATTCAAAACAATTCAATTGACTGGTTGGTATGTTTTTTTTTGCCGTCGTTGATAGTTTGAATGAGAATAGATATAAAACCAAAGTCAGCACTTAATCAAAATGAGCGTGTGTGTATGCATGCTCTTAACCTATCGGAGGGGCGTCATATTGGCGTATAATTTCAATGTGCTCTCGACTTACATATTGCACTCTCTATTCGCACATTTATTCATCAAACTCCGCCCCTGAACAAAATAAAATATATATCTCATTTTCAGCAAACATTCGACTGAATGCACCCCAATGCACTCGAACCAATGTTTCGCTGTCGAGTATGTGTTTTTGTTCGTATTTGAAGATATTTATCAAGCCACAATTACACACACTTGTGGTGAATCGACAATTTTATTGAAATCGTTGAGACGAAAAGGAAAAAGCCGTTTTCTATTTTTCACTGTTGTCAGAAAATGCAATGTCGGAATGGGCTGTGAGTGTGGAACTCACGGTCCCTCTCAGGCATAATAGAACTTATGTTTATAAAGTCAACGTGATGGTAGGCTAATCGAGTCCTTTGCTTTTATTTAATCGCCCAATTTTGCTGTTTCAATACGATCGATACACTATTTGATATAATGCATTCAAGAGAAGAAAAAAAAAACATCTGCGGCGCACTTTCCTTCTGCTTGTGTCAATGCAGCATTAGAAAAATACACGAGATTTATTAAATATAAAAAAATATATTTTTGGCGTCCGTCCTTTTGTTGAATGGCCGCTTTTGTTATCTTCTGTTTTGCAAAGGAACATTTCAACATTGGCCTTTATTTTTCATCGGAGGTTTTTTTTTTCGTTTGAAAAACGGTCCTAAAGGAGGTGAGTTTTTAAAGTGGCTTTTGTGGTTTGATATCAGGCATTGAAATGCGTTTTGAAAAGCTGATGTATTCAACCAAATTCTTATGTTCCAAGGAAAAGAGGAATAAAGAAGCAATATTAAAGGTTGTCGCTTTTGTCTCTTTTTCTCGATCAATTGTATCTATTTTCCAAAAATAAATGATGTCTCGCTTTCATAAGATGAAAAAAAAAACCATATGCATACCCAACACAATGGTTTGCTCTCGTGGACAACGCATATAATTTTTCACACCTTTGCCTCGATGACAATGAAATTATTGTTTTTTTTTTCTGTTTATGTTGTTGATGATTTCGGTTCTTTTTTCGGGAATCGTCAAATAGAGAAAAGCGCCAAACAAATTGCCCATTATCGATATTGGTATATCGTTCGGGTCAATATGAAATACACACTCCGTTTTGAAGTGTGTGTATATGTTGTACATTTGTCGATGTTTGACAAAATTATGATTGATTTGCCAATTATATCGATCGATTTTAAAACATAGCCTGAAATATGAATACTTCAATAACAAGTAGCAAAGTGATCGAGTGAGCAAATCCTTTGATTCTCCTAAACGGCTTACATGTTAAAAGTAGCAAAAGAAAGCGTGTCACAAATCAGATTATTGAAATCGTTCATGTGACATTTTTGCCATATAGCATTCAAATATATTTGAATGAAATGTTTTACTTTTCACTCAGTTGTAAAAAGTTGTATTTTTTTTTTTTTTTGAAGTCGAATATGGATTTCAAAAAAAAAAATGGCATTTCAATAGAATTTGTCACTTATAATTTGTTGACTTCATGTTTGAGCACACATTGAAATACATTGATCTTGTTTCAAATCACTTAATCTGATACTCATAGAACAAATACTCAACTTTTAACTGACAAACCACTTTTGGCACAAAAATATGAATGAAACCGATTTTGTGCTCTTGGACTTTGGCGTGCCGTAAGGGTTTATGAATAAAATCGGTGCCATTCAGTCTGAACCGAAGTGAAAATTCAAGAGAATGACCAACAACAACTGCAAGGCACAGAGATAAAGATCTATAGAGCACTTACAATTGAAATACAAACGTAGTAGAAGTTGTCAACTACTTTACCATCAATAGACTCAACTTATATCGGATTACTGTAACACGGCTTGTAATTCAATTATCGAAGCACACAAAAACTATATTCGTGACAAGCCATATTGATTTTTCTTATATGGACATCCAACGTAAAATTATAGGTTTTAAACGAAAATATCCATATCTGTAACATTAGATTCATCCAAAATACTAATTAGTTCTTTTAGTTTCGTCAATCATTCGATGCATTTGCATAAATACTTAGTTCATACAATTAGAATGGAATTTAAAAAAAACTTGTTTTGGATGTAGCAAAAATGTCTGTTCAAATGAAAAATGAAAATGATGTTGTTGGAAAACGACAAATGATAATTAAAATCTTCAACCCGTTTAAAACTTACCTGTTTACTTACTTCATGGGTCCTCAATTGTACATAGATGAAAAAGAAGCAGTGACGGTGGGACACGTGCAGGATATTAAAGTTTGATTTTTTTCTCCATGTTTTAATTGACGGCCTAAGAAGAAAACAATAACATACAGAATATTCTGCAAAAAGACGAATACAAATTTATGTGAGCAAAAACCAAATATACAAACAGACAGCGCAAAAGTAAAACAGCCTACTTACATGTGTTTCTTATGTAAGTAGGCTGTTTTACCTTTGCGCTGTCTGTTTGTATATTTGGTTTTTGCTCACATAAATTTGT